TGGTAAGGCGTTTGCCTTGCATGCAGCCAACCCAGCCGAGCCGGGTTCAATTCCTGCGCCCCTCTCGGAGAGCCCGGCAAGCTACCGAGAGTATCTCGCCCCACATGGCAAAGCCTGGCAAGTTACCCGCGCAACGTATTGGATATGCCAAACACAGTAACAAGAAGTCTCAAAAAATGGAGACATCGTTACTGGGCCCGCTGGAGCAAATCATGAACAATGGGAGGACAGTGTTTGTTTGTTTGTTTGTTTGCTGCCGATGCAAGAAAACAGCAATAGACTGCAAAAAAAAAAAAAAAGACTGTGTTTGTGTTCCAATGAAACACATACAGAAATAGGTTGGAGTCTGTTGAGCAGCATGTGGGGTATTGGTCTGGTGAGTTAGGCAGGGAGGCTCACTTCCATTAACTGCGCTGAGCCCTGAGACCCCCAGAGCGTCGGTCTCAACGCCACACATTGGTCTCCGCCCTCTGTCTCTTGTACCCTGCCGAGTTTCCCCCCAGGAACTGGGAGACAGAGGCGGCCCTAAGAGTTGCTTTAAATTTGCAGTGAATAGCTTCAGTGACGCCGTTTCTTTTCATGAACTTTTATTTTATGGTTCTGGGACCACACACCGTGGTGCTCAGGGCTCACTCCTGGCTCTATGTTCAGGAGTCGCTCCTGGTGGTGCTCAGGGGACCACACACGGTTCCTGGGTTTTACCCTGGTTGGCCACGGCGTGAGGTAAATGCTTAAACCCTGCACTATCACTCCAAGCCAGAGAGTTGGCAACAGTGGCAACACAAGAATGTTGCATTTCTCAAGAGCTGTCACATCAAAGGCCCTGCAGAGTCACAGGAGCTTATGGAGCCGCATGGGAGCAGCTAAGTATTTCCCAGTATGGGGGAGATAGCCCCCTGGGGGTATTAGAATAGCTGGAGGGTGGTGCAGGCTTGGGGTGCTGCTGGTTTATGTGAGGATTTCCAAGTGTGATCCTCACAACCCCGCTCCTGCCACACAGTGGAAGTCAAATCAGTTTAGGCAACTCTGACACGGTCTGACGGGCTCTGAGGGTTCCACACGCAGAGTCAGAGTGGGGAGAAAGAGAAAAGGAGGGAGAGGGGAGGGGAAGGAAGCCCTGCACAGTCCGGTAGATCCCAGCTCACATGGGAAAGGAAGCTTCCACTGTCTACTGGCCTGTGAGTCCCCAAATGAGAAGTGCCATGAGAATGGGCTGGGCCCATTCTATCCCCGCCATAAGAGACGGTCATGAATTACCACTTCAAGCCCCTATGATTTGGGGAACAGCAACAGATCTTTACAGAAACCATTTACATTATCGCCCAGTGAACATCTGTGGGATGGGGAAAATTGACATGTGAGGCCACAGGTCAATCCAAGAACATGAATCAAAGGGAGCAGATAATTGGCAACAGGTAATTAAGTACCAAGTCATGAGTAATGAACAGCAGGCAGGCAGGCAGGCGGACTACATATCTCCAAATAACAGACGAGGCCAGAGAGCTGGTAGGAAGCTAAGATGTCTGTTCTGCAAGATGTCACCACAGCAGGCTGTCCTAAGCACTGTGGGCAGAGCCCACCACTTCCCAGGAAATAAACAAAAGACTTATGGAATGTGCGTGGATGTACCTTGCTGGAGTCCCCAGACAGCTCCCTGACACCCACAGCCTGCCACCACCGTGGGAGCTGATGAACTAGCCCAGTTTTACAGACTCATGATTAAATCCCAGAGGAGATCAATTAACTGCAAAATCTCTCAGATACACCAGTCCCTGGCTGAGACCTCTGGGGAGGGCCAAGTTCCCATCTCACCCGAGCCCCGGAAGCCCCACTCAAATGCCAAAAGCTGCGGCCACGCCAACGGCTGGACTCCAACACTTATGGTTGAGCTCCGTGGAGACACTGAAGTTTCAGGTACACAGATTTATTTTGACTGAGAACTCTGAGGCCTCCTTGGAGTGGGGAGGATGGGTAGCCTCTCCCCACCCCCACCCCATTCCCCTACTTCCAGAAGCCCCCGACAGCCACACCTACATCCATGACCGCTGCCATGTAAGCTCACTGCCCAGTTAAATATTCTGAATTTTCTGGAGAGTGGGCTGGAGTGATAGCACAGCAGGTACGGCTACCCGGATTTGATTTCTCCGTCCCTCTCGGAGAGCTCGGCAAGCTACCCAGAGTATCTCGCCTGCATGGCAAAGCCTGGCAAGCTCCCCATGGCATATTGGATATGCCAAAATCAGTAACAACAAGTCTCACAATGGAGACGTTACAAGCTCATCAACCCACTCGAGCAACTTGATGAACAACGGCAGGACAGACAGTGCTGTCATATTTGCAGCCACCCACCAACTTCAAACTCTCCAATGCTAAAATCCTAGTAGAAGCATATACCAGGTTGGATGGGAATGTATTGTAGAAGCCAACTAAGCTCAACAAACAAAACACATTAACACAGAAGACTCAGCTAGTAACAATAGCTTAAGAAACACTCAGACAATGACCCCATGGTGAGATAGAACAATTTTTTCACAATTTTTTTTTACTGAAGTTTTTTTTTTGATAATTCATTAGCATTTAGTGGTAACAAGCAATATGAAATAAATTACTGTGGTCCTGTTGCGGGGTGGCTTGAGGGGGGGCTTGGAAAATGGGGACAATGACAGAGGGAAGGTGATGGTGGTGGTGGGATTGGGGCTGGAATACTGAATGCCTGGAACAAATCATCATGAAAAACTTTGTAAAGAACGGTGTTTAAATAAATTAAGAAAAAATATAAGGAAAAGGACTTTTTTTACTTTAGAATTATATAAAATTTAGACTTGCACAAGAATTGAAAACATAATAGACAATTATTATATAGACAATTTCCATAAACGTCACACTAGTTTCTTTCTCTATCTCTTTTTTTTAAAAAAAAAAAACCACACCTGGGGCTGGAGCTATAGCACAGTGGGTAGGGCGTTTGCCTTGCACGCAGCCGACCCGGGTTCGATTCCCAGCATCCCATAGGGTCCCCTGAGCACCACCAGGAGTAACTCCTGAGTGCAGAGCCAGGAGTAACCCCTGTGCATCGCCAGGTGTGACCCAAAAAAGCGGAAAAAAAAAAAAAACCAAAACCACACCTGGTGGTGCTCAGGGATTACTCCTGGCAATGCTCAGGGGACTATATGGGATGCCGGAGATTGAACCTGAGTTGGCAGTGCAAAAGCCCTCAGACCCGCTCTACTACTGCTCCAGCTCCTTATTCTTTTTTTTTTTATTAGTGAAACACCATGAGGTACAGTTGTAGATTTACAATTTTTTGTGCTTGGGTTTCGATTATACAATGATCAGATACCCATCCCTCCACCAGTGCCCATTTTCCACCACCATGGATAATATCCCCCCACCCCCATCCCCCCATCCCCCCCTGCCTCTGTGGCAGGGCAATCCCCTGTGTTCTCTCTCTCGTTTTGGGTGTTGTGGTCTGCAAAAGAGGCATTGAGTGGCAAACATGTTCAGTCCATAGTCTACTTTCGACATGCATCTCCTCTCCTGGGAGGATCCTCCTAACACCCTTTATTTGGTGCTCCCTTCTCTATCTGAACTGCCCTTCCCCTAGAATACCCGGTCCAGCTCCTTATTCTTAACATTATAAATTATATGATAAATTAACAACACATATATTTATGAGTTTTTAAAAAATAAATGTCTACCGAAGTACCACTGATTGTAGAGATGCGTTTATACCCATGATTACATTATATATAAACATACTTATTATATATAATATCAATATATATCATTATATAGGTTTCAGGTATGTAGCATTACAATTCTATATCCTATCTTATAATCACAATCAAAATCCTAGTTTTCATTTATAAATGTAATAATTGATCCACTTTACCCTCCCACAAACCCACCAGGTTGATTCCTGAGCACAGAGGCAGGAGTAAATCCTGAGCACTGTGAGGTGTGGCCCAACTCCCGGACAGACCCTCCTTCCCCCTTCAAAGGATCCGCTTCTGTTTAGTTCTGTTGGCTGGTGTCTTTGCTTCTCTATATTCCACATTTGGCATGGTAAGTTTTTCTCCTTCTGCCTTATCTCACTTGGCACCACACCCTCGGGTCACCTGACCAGGGTCACCCCCGCAGGGCACTTGGGTGACTTCTAGATCTTTAAGGGACATACATCGTCTTGAACAGTGGCTCAGGTTTTAATTTTAGAACGAGCCAATCAGAACCTTGACTCATCCTCAAATGAAAATGAGATGTCTTCAGAACACACCCCTTAAAAAATTATATAAAAAAATTTTTTTAAAGCACTGTGATTTACAAAGTTATTCACAGCTGAGTTTTAGACATAGGATATTGCAGCATCAATCCCACCATCAGTGTCAACTTCCCTCCATGGTGTTCCCATGATCCCTGACTCCACCTCCCTCTTGCCCCACCCCCCCCAAGTCTGCCCTCTTGACAGGCACCTTTCTAAGTTTAGAGGTTAAATATGGGTCTCTGATTTCTGTGTTGTTGACTCTGCGGTTTGGGCATTTGGCTCTGTCACTCCTTAACACCTTCTTTGTATCTGACTCCCCTGACCTGGCCTGGCTGCTTTGCATCTATCTCTTCTCCACTCCCTTTCACTCTATTTCTTTCCTACTCCTTCGTATCTGGGGCCCAGGGTGATGAAGGCATGTCCCCCTTCGAACCATTGCATTCCCTCATCCAGTTACTCTAAAGACCACATAGAAGTGATATCGTCCTGAGAACACACCCCTTTTATTTATTTATTCATTTTTCACACACCCTGCACTGGTCAGGGCTTATTCCTGGCTCAGGGACACTCCTGATGAAACTAGGGCTCTGGTTATTGAACCCAGGTCAGCTAAGGCAAGCAGATGCCCTCCCTGCTGTTCTCTCTCTCTCTCTCTCTCTCTCTCTCTCTCTCTCTCTCTCTCTGGGCACATCCCTTCTAGAGAAAAGATGGCATGTCCCAGTCATGGTATTTCACTCACCCAACAGCGTGAAGGTCTTCTGCGTCTCGATCATGTCAGCCCTGTCATCCACGCCCTCGATCCGAGTGCTGCCCCCCATGCTCGTGTAATTAAACTCTTCTGCTCTTCCTGAAATGAAATACAGGACTGTTGGGTCTGTGCAGAAAAGTCTGGAAAGATATGCTGGCCAGCAGAAAGGGGATGGTCACCAACCTGCTGCATGGATCACGTGACATGCACTCCTCCAGGCCCAGAGAAAATGCAGGGCTCAATCCCTAGCACCCTTTAGGGTCCCCCAAGTTTCGGCACCATCTCCAGCACCACAGTTAGTCACTGGAGTGTCCCAGAGGTCACTCTGTATTTGAGCACAGAGCCAGGAATAGGCCCAGGGCACCACTGAATGTGGTTCCTCAACAAACAAAACCACACCTATTATTATTCCATCTTGTTGTTGTTGTTTTTCTTTTTTTAGAATTTTATATTATAGACATAGAAGGAGTGATTTGGTGAAGGTCCCACAGCCAGTATCAGAGAAAGAATTTATAGACAGACTTGTCTGACTCCAAAGCCTGGGGATTCTGTTCTCATAATAAGAGTTTAATACAGAATTCTTGAGCTTCACTGCACAGACTGTGGATTTCACACCTTAAGACACGTGATTTGAAACGCTTTGTTGAACATATGCCCTTGTTACATCATACCTATAATTAAGCTATGACCCGGTTATACATGTAATATCTGAAAAGAAAGGCAATAACACGCAGTACAGCTCATGGATACTTCATATCTGTACTGTAGACAAAGCAAGGATACCAAGAGGGTAAAATCAGTAAAGAAATTTAGATTACACAAGTGTAAGTAACTGTTTCAATAGGAGGATGTGCATCCAATTCCCACACATGAGGCGTCAACTCTGATAGTTCTACCTGGTCAACAGTGAAAGGCCAGGCGAGGAGAGCTGAGGGTGCCCAGTGCCCAGTGCCTGTGGCGGATGCTTGAGCAACAGAGTAGAGTCAGTGATGACTGGGAGAATGACTCTGAGTCATCCAGGAAGTTCAAATGATAACAGCGGTGCTATCTCAGGAGATAGGGAGCCACAGCACGTCAGAAGAAGGACAGTGCGAGATACAGAGAAAGGTCTGGGGCTGTGCCACCTGAGGAGGCGGCTGTCTGGAAGCCACAATTGCTCAGCTTTGGAGAAGACCTCTGGGCCTTTGTTCCTGTCTCCCTCGCCCTCGCACCACCCCACCCCAGCTCCTATTCTGTCCTCTGATTACTTAGAGCATCAATTCCATCCCCAAAACCCAAAGAAGTCATTGAGGAGAACGGTTTTCTCTAGAACATAATTTTTTTTAAACTTTAAAATATTCCATTGGTTTATTACTTTGAGAACCAGGAGTAATTTACTACATCCTACTGATTCAGCACAGAAAATAATTTCCATATTTTTCTTTTCTTTCTTTTTTTTTTTTGCTTTTTGGGGTCACACCCAGCAATGCCCAGGGGTTACTCCTGGCTTTGCACTCAGGAATTACTCCTGGCGGTGCTCAGTGGACCATGTGGGGTACTGGGAATTGAACCTGGGTCGGCCGCGTGCAAGGCAAATACCCTACCCGCTGTGCTATATCACTCCACCCCCCATAATTTAATTTTTATAAAAACAAATTAACCTACAACTCAGACACCTTTGTCAGAGTGGGGCTCGACCACACACCGTACATCACTCACCTAATTTAAGGTGCCTGAACTCTGGCTGCTGAGCAGATGCGCAAAGCTGATAGAAGATGTGGTAATTCCGCTCATTCTCCGACTGAAATGAAGAGAAGCCCCAAGTCACACCAGTGAAAATGCTGGGTGCTCCAGAGACCCGATGACTGAGCCAGACTGGAAACCCTACGCTCACAGACCCCGACACTGACGTGTGAACCGATCTGTCCTTCTGGTCCCGGACAGACCTTCCTCTCTCTGGAGGGGGAACTGGGGGCCCAGCAGCGTCTTCCAAATGACAACCCCAAAGGAAATGTCATTCCATGAAAACATTCGACAACACAGGAATGATGTAATTCTGGCTGCTTGAACTGGTTAAGAAGCTCTCTCTGGGGGCTGGAGTAATAGCACAGCGGGTAGGGCATTTGCCTTGCACGTGGCTGACCCAGGTTCGATTCCCAGCATCCCATATGGTCCCCTGAGCACTGCCAGGAGTAATTCCTGAGCACATGAGCCAGGAGTAACCCCTCTGCATCGCCAGGTGTGACCCAAAAAGCAAAAAAAAAAAAAAAGCAGCTTTCTCTGTCTTCTATTTCTTTCCAGAAAGTCTCTGTCTCTCTGTCTCTCTCTCGTTTTTCTCTTAAGTTTACTTCTCATCAGCTCCAGTTCCTTTCCATTCTTGAAAGGGAAATTCTAACAACTTTGCCTACTTTGGCTGTTGTTTCTGTTTTTCTGGTTCAAAGGCGCTAGGTGGTGAACCTGGGAGCTCAGGAAGCGTGTGGTGCGGGGATCCAACTCCAGCTCCCTGTGTTCAAGCCTGCGCTCAGCCTGTGACCTCTCTTGCAGGCAGACCTCAGTTTGTTCTACAAGGATCACTGTTGTTCATCGATTTGCTTGAGCAGGCCCAGTAACGTCTCCATTGTGGCAATTGTTACTGTGTTTGTCATATCGAATATGTCACAGGGAGCTTGCCAGGCTTTGCCGTGCGGGTGAGATACTCTCGGTAGCTTGCCGGGCTCTCCAAGAGGGGCAGAAGAATCGGACTCGGGTCGGCCATGTTGGACGCTTGCAAGGCAAACACCCTTACCTGCTGTGCTATTGCTCCAGCCCTTTTAGAAGGATAAACTTAAGTTCCTGAAATAAGGATTTCTTAAGTGTCTTGAATCAAAAATCAATCATCTCCCTCACACCACCCCACTGACAATCTAGCATGATTCTGTTTTTCTTGCCTTTCACTGTCAACAACTGTTTTGTCCCCATCTTTCTTCCTGTGCTTCCCGAAGACCAGGCCTGGAGTATACTTGGAGGCGGGCCCACACACTCTTGTTGGGCCACTGGGATCCCATGGATAGTGCTACCAGGCTTGCCATAGGTCACACCACAAACTCACGGCCTAACTGATCAGGTGCTCTGGAATGAGCAACCCCTTGGGTTCTGCACCATCAATTTTGTTTTGTTTTGTTTTTAAGACACAAACCGACAAAAAGGAAGATGGGTGTAGCAGCACCTCTCAGCCTTGTGCGTCCAAGGGCTCAGTCTGACCCCAACACCACCAGGCTCATCCCAGTAACTAAAGACCCCGGCACCCTGGGGGGCTCCCTGCTCTCCCCAATAGGAGACAGAAAAGGTCAAGGAGACCAGGGAATGTGCCTCTGGTCAGAGGCTGTGCCTGGCGCTGCCCAGACTTCCTGAGCAGGCGGCAATGGTCCTGCTGGCCCTGGGGTAACTGTGGGGCCCCAGGACACAGCCACTAGGAGGGTCCCAAATTTGAAAAAGAAAGAAAGAGATAGGGAAAAAAAACAACACAAACTGTAAAGGAAAGCCAGAAAACCTCTATTTGGGTCACACAATGTCAGTGGCCTAATGAGTCAACTATACTGTAGCACTGTCCTCCTGTTGTTCATGGATTTGCTCGAGCGGGCACCAGTAACAGCTCCATTGTGAGACTTGTTGTTACTGGTTTTGGCATATCAAATACGCCACTGGAAGCTTGGAGGCTTTGCCATGAGGGCGAGATACTTTTGGTAGCTTACCAGGCTCTCTGAGAGGGACAGAGGAATCGAACCTCGGTCGGGTGCATGCGAGGCAAACGCCCTACCTGCTGTGCCACTGCTCCAATCCAAGGAGTCAACAATGCTTTAAAGACTAGGGTGGAAGGGAAACCCCACTCAGATTTATCCTTACTTGGAAGACAACTCTGGACTTCTCCAGGAGGTAGGTTCTCATGTTGGCTCCGATGATCTGGTTCCTCTCGTCGAAACTGATCTCCGTGTATTTTCCAAACCGACTGCTGTTGTCATTGCGGGTGGTCTTGGCATTGCCCACCGCCTAGGGGAGGGACACGGGGAGGATTGTAAGAGGTGGGGACAGCGTGTCCTGGAAGCAATTTCCGGGCACTGAGTCACAGAGAGAAGCACCTGGGATCATGGCTACAGCACGGACACGTCTTCAGCCTACCACTTGCCCCCTCAGACTTGTTGGGAGACAGAAAGCACAAGGGTGCTGGTGCTGGGCAGACACTTGGTGCCACGGATCCACGGGTCCCTGCCCCCCATTATGCATAGGGCTGGAGATAGGTCTATTTTTTTTTTTGCTTTTTGGGTCACACCTGGCAATGAACAGGGGTTACTGCTGGCTCTGCACTCAGGAACCGTTCCTGGAGGTGCTCAGGGGACCATATAGGATGCTGGGAATCAAACTCGGGTCAGTTGCATGCAAGGCAAACGCCTTACCCACTGTGCTATCACTCCAGCCCCTGGGGATAGCTCTTAAGCAGCCTCACGAGTGGTTCCCAGACCAAAACCAAAACATCGACAGTTCTGATGACTCGTGGGCCTGTCATCTCTCTGTGATGCCAGAAACATCAGTCATTCTTTCAAATATCTCTTCTCTATAATACGACAAACAGGCCTCCCAGAGGCGGGAGGACTCAAAGAGATCAGAGAAGTGCCTGAATTCATACGTGGCCGAACAGTTCAGACACTCGATTGACAGTGCAATCTTTCTTCCAGCCTTTATTTCCATCCTTACTCACAGCCACTGGCTATTTCAAACCTTGCACTAAACCAGGAGAAACTGTTTCCCATCCCTCCTGCGCTAAGCACAGTCCCCTTCTGTCGCTGAACCCCAATGCACCCTCCTTAGGTGCACATCCTCCCTGCAGTGAGCCAGCTGCACCCGCACATCCTGCACAGGCTATCAGGGTTCCAGCAACACATACTTCCGACATGCATGTGCCATGCACTCAATTTAACTGGTACCGCCTCTTACTATTTTGTTGTTGTTCTGTTTTGGGATCACTCCTGGCTCTGTACTCAGAATCACTCCTGGTAGTACTCGGGGGACCATATGGGGTGCTGGGGGTCGAACCCAGCTTGGCCATGTGCACAGCAAAAATCCTGCCTATTGCTCTGGCCCAGGCGCTTCTATATCTATTGGCGTCTTGGCCTGTGAGTGAGGTTTTCCAATGTGGGAGCCAGAGGTCTTCCTCTTTTCTCTGACCTCCTAATGGAAGAGCGGCCTGAACAAATGAGAAGTATCTACTGAGGAAAGAGAAACAGGCGGTCTAGCTGCATAATGGTCTTAGTTATTCACTGTGCTTCCAAACCCATCTTCGCCTGTACTGTGCCCTTGGGCTCTGCCATGAGCCATTCCTACGTGCCTTCGTCCTCTAATGTAATATTCTTTTGTTTTTTTCAGAGCAGGGCACTGCCGGTAGTACTCAGGGATTGCTCCTGGCAGGGCTTGGAGGCCCATCTGGGATGCTGGGGACTGAACCTGGGTTGGCTGCATGGAAGGCAAACGCCTTACCCACTGTGCTTTCCCTCCAGTCCCTTGAGTGCAGTACTCCTATGCCAGCTGCCAGCCCACTCTCCCACATCTCCGATAGTGATATGATGGGGAGTCAGCCAGCTTGGGGGGAGGGATGGAAGATGCTTCGTAAATGGTGTCTGCCAATTTATGTAAGCTGTAAACAACCCCCATATGGCTGACTGCAAAGTTTGAAAGATTTAACTATCAGTTTGGGAAAAAATATCCTGAATATCTAACAGTCAGCTCCTGAAAGCTGTCTGCTGGCGGAAGGGCTTGCTCCGTGTGCCAATCACGTCTGAGGTTACAGACACTTCTCCAGGACAGACACAGTCATGGGGAACAGACACCAGATGCAGAGTCTCCAGCCCACAGTGGGGAGACTCTTGGGAGCTGTCGTTGCTGCCCCAGGTCCTTCAGATCCCCCAAAGGACAGACCTCCGAGTCTCTTCTGGCCCTCACTTCCCTCAGGCACAGGAACTCAAGTTAGTGACGTGAGGAGGTTTCTGCAGCCTGTCCAGCAAGGATGCAGTGTCTCTCCACACTAACAAGAGATTCTCAGGAGCCAACGAGGTCTCCAAGAACCCAACACTGAATCGTTCTGATTAGGGATTCAGTCCTGTGCAGGCCAGTCCCAAACCCAGGCAGCCACCAGGGCTTCTGACCAACTGGCTGCAAACCAGAGGTTCCCACAACACCCTCTTCAGGTGTGATGAACTTGCTGGGCTGTTCACAGGAAACCGGGGATTTGCCGGATCACTGATTGGCTGCAAAGGCTCTTATGCGCAGCCACAGTGCAATGTCTGGTGAAGGGGCCTGGAACTTCCAGACCTCTCTGGGAATGCCGTGACCTTGGATTCCACGCAACCACCTCCTGGGAGCTCCTGGAGGCTGGTTCCCTTGAGCTTTCCTCTGGCTCTCATTGCTTAGGTAATGGATTGCACGTTCCAGCCCTTGTCCCCCACTGCGGCCCCTGACGAGGGTGTCAGCACCCTCTGGCTATGATGGCTTCTGCCAGAAACCAGATCCCACTCCTGTGCCCCCCAGAGTCCATGATTCAGATTCCTTTATCATCCTCTGTGCTTAAGAAGGGCTGAGATTTGGGGAGCTGGCAGCAAAGAACTGGGGACAGAGACCACGTGGAGATTTCTCACCCATCACGCTGTCACCCAAACTCTTCCCATAAAACCAGGTACATGCCTCAGTGATGGGGTTGGATGCCAGGACCTTCTCCTCCACATGAGTGTTCATGCTTGACTTGCTGACCGTGGCAAAGTACCTCATGGCGTAGCGTGCGGACACGGTTTTTCCAGCACCCGACTCCCCGCTCACAATTATTGACTGGTTCTTGTTATTCCTGAGGAAAATAAGGAAGGGATTTTCCCACAATCATCTCTTGGTCAAGAGAAAGGGCAACTGGGTGAAAGCACTGCAGGCCAGCCAGGGGCAGGGGACTTTGTCCAATATGCCAAGGGATTTCTAGTCTGTGTGCTGTGGTCATGCTGAACACATGCTATTATTTTGTCCTTCTGTAGGCCATGTGGAGGATCTCCCAAAACAATCTCAGGTCAGAAAATCCAAGGAGTTACGAAGTGAATGCAAAAATCATTACCTTGAGAGGATGTATTCTATTGATTTGTTGTTTTTTTGTTTTTGTTTTGGGGTCACACCCGGCAATGCACAGGGGTTACTCCTGGCTCACGCACTCAGGAATTACTACTGGCAGTGCTCGGGGGACCCTATGGGATGCTGGGAATCGAACCCTGGTCTGCTGCATGCAAGGCAAACGCCCTAACCACTGTGCTATTGCTCCAGACTTGGATATATTCTATTGAAAAGGGGACAAAACAAATCCACAAAGGAGATGGTCCACCTCATTCATTGCTGGTGGGAATGCCGACTGGTACAGCCTTTTTGGAAAACAATATGGACATTTCTCAAAACACTAGAAATTGAGCTCCCATTTGATCCAGCAATAGAAATTCTGGGAATATACCCTGGGGACCCAAAAACAGACAGCAGAAACACCAACTGCACTTTCATATTATTGCAGCACTATGTACAATAGCCAGTATCTGGAAACAACCTGAGTGCCCCAGAACAGATGTATGGATAAAGAAACTATGGTACATCTACATAATGGAATACTACACAGCTGTTAGGAAAATTCAGGTCATGAAATCTGCCTATAAATGGATAGACTTGGAGAGTATCATGCTGAGTGAAATGAGTCAGAAGGAAAGGGACAGATATAGAATGACTGCATTCAGTTGTGGGACATATATATATATATATATATATATATATATATGAAAACTAATATCCAAGGCCAGAGAAAATGAGCCAGGAGGACTGGTTGGTCAATGGTGTGGAGATGGAGGGTAGTTAAGATAGAGGAGGGTCCATTATGACAACAGTAGTTGGAAATGATTGCTCTGGACAAGACCTGAGTGATGAAAGCAGGTAAAGGGATATACATGATAAACTTTCAGCATCTGTATGACAAACCATAATGCCTAAAATGATAGAGAGAGAAATATAGAGAGAAGGGAGGTGCCTGCCATAGAGACAGGGTGGGCTGGGGGGTGGCTTGAAGGGGTGGGAGGGAACCTGGGGACACTGGTGCTGGGAAATTACACTGTGGAGGGGTGGGTGTCGGAATACTGTATGACTGAAACGCTGTCATGAGCAATTTTGCAGTGTTCTATCTCACGATGATTCAATTAAAAAAAATAAATCAAAGGGGGATGGTCCCGAGGGCACCTGGACAAACCTGCAGGTCTCTGTGCGGGTCACAGAGGTCGCACTTAGCTCCTCCAGCAGGGGACTGTGACAGTACCTGGGGATGCACCCAAGTAGATCCCTGGAGACGCAGCACCCAGGGCTTGCCTTGGGGCATCCTCTGCCTGGAGTCACATGCCTGGGCTGTAAGGGGTGTGGCAGGAACTGCACTCATGCACACACAGCATCGAGGCGGGCACGGTGTGCCATTCCTATCAACTAACCAGGAACCGTTCTGCACTCCTGGCTATGGACCAGAGAGGGTGGCCGCAAAGGACAGCCATCTCCAGATAGGCCACTTCCTCTCTACAGACCCCCATTCTACATGCTGAGGCCGGAGTGGACCACGAGTGGCCCACGCTCAGATGTGGCTTAATTCACACAAATCAAAGATGCCCTCTGCAGTGCCACTGGATACCAGTGAGTGTGTGTGCCTGTGAATCCGGCATGTGCTTAAGGAGAGGGCTTTAAAGGAGGGTCCTAAAGGTCACGAGGTTGATGGGAAGCCTCACAGCAGCATCCCCGAGTCCCTGAGAACGCTAGAGAACACAGTGACTCTGGCTGCAGCTCCCTCTGTCCCCCATCCTACACACAAACAGCGCTCGCTCTGGAAAGTGAAGGGCAGAGCTGGACAGATAGCACAGCATAGTCAAAGCTTGCCTAGTTTTGGGGCCGGAATGATAGCACAGTGGGTAGGGCATTTGCCTTGCACGCGGCCGACCCGGGTTCGATCCTCGGCATCCCATATGGTCCCCCAAGTACCGCCAGAAGTAATTCCTGAATGAAGAGCCAAGAATAACCCCTGAGCATAGCCAGGTGTGACCAAAAAAGAAAAAAAAAAGCTTGCCTAGTTCCATCCCCGACACTGCATTGGTTCTCTAAGCCCACCAGGAGTAAGCTGCGGGCACCAACAGGTGTAGCCCAACCCAGAAAAATAGACCCCCCAAAAAGAAGGACTAACCCAGGACAGATAAGACGTTGCTGTGCTGGGACACCAGGGCTCTGTGGAGGCAGGCAAGGCCCGTGGCTGGCCAGGCACTGCAGAGCCAGGGCTATTCCCAATGCCTGTGTCGGCAGAGGCAAGGCCGCACTTGCCAGTTAGGGTCTCTCCCCCGGTCAGTGAGGGCGGACAGGCCTGCCGGGGACAAACAGCCTCGCCCCTGTGGGGCCAGCCAGAGCCCTAAGCAGCCCTGTTGCCTTGACCTCAGACTCTTCTCAGTGGACTCTGTCCTGGGAATGTTCTGGAGACCAGCAAGGAGCCAGGGCAAGTCCCAGGGAGGGACAGAAACTCGCTGCAGTAAAGCCCAAATTAAGCGCTGAACTGGCGATTCTCCCTCCCAGGTGCTCCTCCCCTTGCTGCTGGGAGCTGCCCCATGTCCCAGAGCAAAGCTGCCCTGAATCCCAGTCTCCCTGGGCCTGGGCGGGGACACGGAGTAGGTTCTGGTCAGCCAGGAGCACCCGGACCCCTGGGACACTCTGTCCCTTAGACTGTGGGACAGGGTGGGATGCACAGGAGATGGCCAGGCCGAGCTCAGCGCCGAGATCAGGATTTTCAGCCCAGGGTGGAGGGAGCCGGAAGATGCCAGTTTCCCGATGCTTCACCCAAGGTCCCACCAGGCTGGTCACAGACTGTCGTCCAACTTTGCCGTGGCTGAGAAGTTTGCTTGCTCATTGGCTCCCAGTCACCATGGTTTACCCCGACTCTAAGGGCGGAATTGAGGAGCCAGGTTTCCTGAGCATCCGGTTCACTGACCTTACAAGTGCAAATGCTCTGCAACCTGCCACAGCCCTGGCCAGCCCGGGACTAGGACAGAGCAATTAGCAGATCAGATGTTTCAGGTTTCAAGCTGCGGAAAGAGGGCTACGTGCGACCTTGATCCCCATGCCAAAGGGACTTAGACTTGGTGATCACTGTGAAATTTATTTAGCAACCTGTGAATGAGCTACCAGGAAGGGTGCTTTTTATCCTCCATACTTTACAGATGTGGACATTGGAATAAAGCGAGAATAGCGATGGGAAAAGGAGTTTACACACATATTTCTCAAAATCTGAGTACAAATCCCAGCCCTGCCTTTGACTTGGCGGGTAGCCAGGTGCGGGTGTCTGACTGCTGTCATCTCAGATTACGGCCCGATACCTTCATCACGGACTGCTCTGGGGCGCCAGGATTCCCCAGGAGCCTGAAGCGCAGAAACACCACAAAACCATGCCAAGAAACGGGCATAAACCCCACAAAGTTCCAAATCTCCTAAACTGAAACCTGGACTCTTCTATCATTTATTCTGCAGCGTTGGACTGATGGAGACACTCAAGCATCTCACAACGGAGTGAGTATGCATCTACGGTCCTCACTTTGTGAGTAGCACCAGCAACTTCTACCTCAATTCCCAACTGCCTCAAAGGAACCAAGAAATCCGGCTGACAGCCAGTCACTGGAGCAGTTATCTGCTGCAGTCGCTACCCACACAGAGTTCTGCGCCACAGGCCGTCCCCTCCAGCCCGGCAGGATTTCCACTCTGGTCATTTACTGTCACTGTTATTTCTTGGACGTGCTCAGGCGATTTTGCCATGTTGGGGATGGAACCTGGGGATGCCGCATGTAAAGCCAGTGCTCCAGGCCTTAGCGCTGTCTACACAGTCCTGGGCCGTCTTTTTATTTCTGAAGCACAACAGTTTTATTTAAAGAGATATGGAGAAATCAGTCAAGATGGGAGATGTGTGCAGAAAGTGGATAAAGGACCGAACATGATACCCTCTCAGTGTCTGTATTGCAAACCATAATGCCCCAAAGTAGAGAGAGAGTACGGGGAATCATGTCTGCCATGGAGGACTGACGGGAGGGTGGGAAAGGGGGGGTATACCAGAGATATTGGTGGTGGGGAATGTGCACTGGTGGAGGGATGGGTGTTTGATCATTGTGTGATTGTAACCCAAACATGAAAGCTTGCAACTAACTATCTCACGGTAATTCAATAAAATTTAAAAAAAAAAAGAGAGAGATATGGAATGGTGTACATGTGCGTATGTATGTTATGTGTGTGTGTGTGTGTGAGAGAGAGAGAGACAGACAGACAGACAGACAGAGACAGAGACAGAGAGAGACAGACAGAGACACACACACAGGGGAGGGTATATGTTCAAGAGAGAGCACTGGCTTCTCTGGGGCACAGAGTTGAGAGTCCACATCTCAGACTGAGGTGCAGGAGCATCAACAAGGTAGAGAATTGCCATCACACGAGTGAAAGGAATCCCATCCTGCGGAGAGCACTTTAATGTGAGCACGGCAGGGAGTCTGTCGTGGCTGTGAGGACCCGGCACCGACGCAGGGGTTGAGGGAGAGGGGCGGGAAGCTACCTGGCCATCTGCTTGTAGGCCTCCTCGGCCACGGCGAATATGTGGGGGTCCATGTCGCCCATGTTCTGCCCGCTGTAAGCATGGATGATGGCGTCTCCATAGATCGGCAGCTGCTTGTATGGGTTCAGAGCCACCAAGATGATTCCTGAGGCGAGGTACAAGACGGAGTCACAGGACTTTGTCACTTTTCTTCCAGGCTCACGTGACCTCAGGCAGGTCACCTGGCCTCAGTTCCTGCCCATCCCACCTGAATTTCTGGGCTACTCTAAAGGCTGAGAGGAGGGGAGATGACGGATGAGGATGTCCTGAAACTAAGAGATTAAAAAGAAAAAAATGTGTGCAGGGTACAGGGGCTCCTAAGTGAGCTCAGGAGGTTACGGAGCCTCCCCAGTGACCCCCAGCCGGGGGCAGTTGCTCAATGTGAGGTCCTCAGGCTTCGAGGCTGCTTGGGCCGGGCCACCCTGGTGGTGCTGGGGGCTTCCAGGGCTGCACAGGGCCCACGTGGAGCCGGGATCTAACCCAGGTAGGGTGCATGGTAGGCACATACCCTAACCACAGGACTGTCCACATGTAAATACAATGATAATATCATTGTCCCAAATAAGCAATAAATATATGAAATCTGATGAGAAATTCAAATACCAGTTTTATCTACTTTTTGGAGGGTGGGAGGGGCTTCACACCTAGTGGTGCTCAGGTGCAAGAGATTGAACCTGGGTTGGCTGTGTACAAAGCAAGTGCTTTTTCCCACTGTACCATCTCTCCAGCCCCTGTTGCTGGATGTTTTTCTCAGTAGTCTAACTCTGTTGATGCTTCTCCCTCTTCTGACACTTCCTTTTATGAAATTCTAGAAGATCAAAATAATCTTACAAAGAACATCTGTTTCTTTTTTACGTTTCCTTCTCCCCTCTACCCTGCTTTTCACTGATGTTTTTAGAATATCTGAGGGGTCACACACATGGTTGAGGAGGACCAGGGACTCCAACGGCATTGCTGGGATCACACCAGCCCATGTATGATGGTACCCAGGGGAAAAAACTCATGACCTCACTCACACGGCAGGTGCTTGAGCAGTGAGCTACATCCTTGGCCCATCTATCTGCTCCTTTGTGCAGAAATGTGGGGGGACACACAGGGTGTGATTCCACAGTTTGACAGAAGGTGACATCTCTAATCTTAAGGAAAAGGGACTGCTAATCCGGACGGTCCGGATTGCAAGCACGAGGTTCCAGGACCCTTCCCGCACTCCCCGCACCCCCTCCTCACCGCTGTAGGTATAGATGAGTTTGGATTCTGCAAAGCGGACTCTGAGATTGTGCAGCACTGCAGGCTCATGGAGGTAGCTGAGGGCCGTGAGGTCGTTCTCACCCACGAGGATGTCGGGATTCCGGAGAGGAGGCAGAGCGCCTGGAACAACGGAGTAATCCAGCTCCTGGGGATAAGATAAAATGAGAGTCCTGGGAGGAAAAGCTCTGGGGAACAGCTTGGTGATGGGGAACACTTGCTTAGGGAGTGTAAGTTTGGGTCCTGGGGCTGAGGGGTGTGCTGACGCCCATTCCCGGCTGCACACACAGGCCCTGCCCAGGGAGGGCCATTCCTGCAGAGAGGGTCCCTGATGGGTGTCTGAGACACCACGGGCACCTGATGCCCAGCAAGCACCACGGCCAGGCACGTGTGGGACACACAGCCACACAGCTGCAACAGTGACGATGACGGACAGGTGGGGAAGAAATTAAGCACTGACGGCATCAGAGTAAGAACCGTGTTCTGTGCTCTGCTGAGCTGCTGTTCTCTGTGCGGGGCTCCCCTCACCTGGCCCCTCACCGGCACCACAGTGTCCCGGGAAACAATGGTGTGTAGCAATGGGACTCATCTGTGGTGCTGATGCTGAGGGAAGTGGATTCAGTGCCCAGGGGCCTGGCTGTGCCCAGCGCTCATCTGTACAGATGGCCTGGATGGTCAGAGGCACAGACGCCTCAGGAGGCCACAGGGCACCCAACAGGCTGCGACCTGGATGCCCCATCTCCAAGCCACGCTCTGGGACAGCACAGCCAGAGCTTCTCTACGTAGGGGGTAGACGCTGAGCCTGTAGAGGCGCCTGTTTGAACAAGACACCAAGACCCAGGACCCCAGAGCTCAGAGGCTGTGAGATCCCAGGCTTGGAGATGAAGTTCAGAGGGAGAGGGCTGGGCACATGGGGTAACATGGGTCCAAATCTCAAACCCAAAAATCAGATAAAAATATAGGTTGGCAAAGGTTTGCAGAAGATGGACACGCTTGTTGCTGGGCAGTGTCTAATAAGGACCACAGGTCACACAGACCACAGAGACCACAGGCCACACAGACCATAGAGACCACAGAGACCACACAGACCACAGATCACATAGACCACAGACCACACACACCACACACACCACAGAAACCACACAGATCACACAGACCAGAGACCACACAGACCACACAGGCCACAGAGACCACAGAGACCACAGAGACCATACAGACCACAAAGACCACAGAGACCACAGAGACCATACAGACCACAGAGACCACAGAGACCACAGGCCACACAGACCACACAGAGCACAGAGACCACACAGACCACAGGCCACAGGCCACACACACCACACAGACCACACAGGCCACACAGACACACAAACTAGACCACACAGACACACAGGCCACATAGACCACACAGAGCACAGAGACCACACAGACTACAGACCACAGAGACCATACAGGCCACAGAGACCACACAGACCACAGAGACCACAGGCCACAAAGACCACACAGGCCACACAAACCACAGAGACCGCACAGACCACACAGACCACACAGAGCACAGAGACCATACAGACCACAGGCCACAGGCCACACACACCACACAGACCACGCAGGCCACACAGACACACAAACTAGACCACACAGACACACAGGCCACATAGACCACACAGAGCACAGAGACCACACAGACTACAGACCACAGAGACCATACAGGCCAAACAGAGACACAAACCACACAGACCACATAGGCCACACAGACAAACAAACCACACAGGCCACACAGACCACACAGACACACAGGCCACACAGACCCATTAGGCCCAGGGACCTGTACCCGCAGCCCCCATGATTGGAGGCCACAGGCTCCAGCTGAGGCCCCCTCTCCCCGTCACAGCTGCTCTGGACTCAGAGACTTGCCCAGGGCTCTCTGGAGCTGAAAGAGCCGCTTTAGGAGGAGGGACACAAGCAGGCCCTGGACTGTCCACGTGCACAGTTGAGCTCCGGGTGTCAAACCATCAGAAGGCCTCACCACTGCCTGGCCACTCCCGGAACTGTCACCTCAGGGTGGCTGAGGGCTGTGAGCCCGGTCACCCGCATGTCTGCTTCCCTTCCACCCTCCCTGCTCCTTCTGCTGGAGGGCTGGGCTGGCCGGCTCACAGAGGGTCCTGCAGTCCCTTCGCTCAGCGCTGGCCCTGTCAGCTGAGCCTTCACAGCGCCCCCAGTGAGGGACGAGCAGAGCACAGGTGCCGTGCTGCTCAGTTGGGCCGGTCTGGGACCTGTGCGGAGGGGTCTCCTGGCAGCCACTGCGGGTGCTTGGCAGGGATGGGAGCACTGCCCGGGGGAAGCAGCTGGTGACAATCTGGGACCCTGGATGAGAATCCAGAACAGGTGCTGGCTCTGCTGTTCCAAGGCTGTGAATGTGGGCCTGTCCCCATCTATACCCATTTTTATGTAAGAATCAAATCAGGAGAAGGGCTGCTCATACACAGTGCTCACTGCTCCCTGGCTGGAGTTTCCATTCCCAGGCAACCACCTCCTTCCCCAGTTCCGCGTTGCGAGCCTGTGCGTGTGTGAGCGGGGAGGAGGGTGAAGGCGGAAACTGAGGCCGTCACATGGGCAGCTGGAGGCCCTGTTCCCTGGCAAGCGTTAGACAGAGGACTAAAGTGCGGAATAGCCGCCGCTGGTCGCTCTCCCTGCTTCTCCGCACTGCTCTGGATAGTGGTTCAGGGTGAGACAGGCTCCACCTGAAATCCTGCTTACGTTAGGAAGCGGCAAACTATGGCTGCAGTGTTACCTGGCTGGGACTGCAATGGTGTCCAAAGAAAACCCCTGCAGTGCAGGGGAGAGGAGGATGGGCAGCAGGGGGAAGGGGGCGGGAAAGAAGCCCCTGGAAGCAGCAGTGTGCTCTCCCAGGGTCACTCCCATGCTTCCGTCCACAAATGGATGAGCTCATTGGCACTCCATCACCTTGCCAAGGTCATTCCATCGGTGACGGCACTGGGCACGTGAGGAATCCAGTCTCACCAATGGCCCAGAAGAATCTGGATCCGGACAGTCTGACTCTGGGGGACATGCTCCCACTGGCTCCAGTCACCTCCCTTCTCTGGAAACTACCCCCCAGACCAGGACGGCCCCACTGATACCACCTGGGAACTTTAGCTTTGGTCAATGGTGCAAAGGTCCCCAGATCACTCCCGGCATCTTCATGGGCTGTGAAGCCTCTGTCTGGCTCTGTATTCAGATACTGGATCCTTAAACGGGGAGGCCAACCTAGTGTGATTGCTTATACTTGCTCCTACCACGACGTGTGCCCGCAATGAGAAGGTGACAATGTGCAGCCACAGAGGGAACCCGGAAGGTAGCAAAGAGGACTTGGGACAGGCGCCATGTCAAAGCCCACATGCCAAAGGCTGGAAGTGAAAGCTAGATGGACCAGGAGTAAGTGCTCATCAGAACGGCCCGTCTAGGGGACAGATGCTGAGCCTCGTCTCTCCCTGCTCACCTGGCCACATCACTGACAGTCACCACATCACGCAGATGGCATCTGTCCCCCAGTAACAAGAGACAGGGGCCTGGTGGGCACAAGACGTAAGATTATCTTCACTCGAGGGGCAGCACAGGCGTGGCTGGGACTGGAGGAAGTGGGGCGAGGTGGGCATGGCACAAACACAACAGAGTGTCCCTGAACCGCTGGCTATTCCGGCTGCTCCCTTGATCACCCTCTCTGGGGCCACCCCTGCTCCCCCCCACCGCCCCTCCCCCATATCCACATCATGGTCGCTCTGACCAGCAGGGACTCTCACCGTTCCATCCTCCAGCCGGAGTCTCAGCACGCGGTCCCCGGCCCTGTAGTCCTTTGCTATCTCGGCAGACTTCCAAACCTCCTCAGCATCATGAATCCAGACCCTGTTGTACTGACCGACAGAATAAGACAGGCTTAATTTCAGCACTTGACAAACAAGACATTGCCAACAAGACACTCGTGTGTGTGTGTGTGTGTGTGTGTGTGTGTGTGTGTCTGTGCTCTGGGGGCTGCTATCTTCAGGAGGTGCCACAGATGGGGCTTGCGGCCCACACCGCAGTTCTGGGGATCACCATTGCTGGGAGAAAAGGATCATTCTGGTTTCCTTCCCTGTATAGCCCTCTCTAGAAGCCAATTTCAAACACACCTTGCAACTGCCAAACCTCCAAGATTGAGTCAAGGAAAGCTTGTTGTGGGACTGGAGCAATAGCACAGTGGGTAGGGCATTTGCCTTGCACCTGGCCGACCCGGGTTCAATTCCCAGCATCCCATATGGTCCCCCAAGCACCACCAGGAGTGATTCCTGAGTGCAGAACCAGGAGTAACCACCGGGCATAGCCAGGTGTGACCCAAAAAGCAAAAGAAAAGAAAAGAAAAGCTTGTTGTTATGTGTCCTATGGGTGCACCAGCCCAGACTAACACACACATCTATTCTCACGCATGCAGCAGGAAGAGCGGAACTGCCCTCCAGACTTCACCTGCAACACCTAAATGCTGCTCAGGATAAAGACAAAGTGTCCTTAGGGACTGAAGAGATAGGATGGCAGGGATGGCACTTGACTTGCTTGCACCTCACCTGTGTTCAATCCTTGGCATACCATATGGTTCACTGAGCATCACCAGGAGTGATCCCTGAGCACCAATGAGCGTGCCTGCCCTTAGGCCTGCAGCTGTCATCACAGAACCTGGCTCACTTCTCTTTTTTTTCTTCTTCATTTTTTTTTCTGGCTCACTCCTCTTTATCCTCCAGTCCAAGGGTTCCGCCAGCATCACACATGGGCTATTCTTGTTCTCCCACACATACCCCACGTCTCGCAGCCTCCTGCAGTCACCTGAGGCTCATTTGGTCATTAATTTGATCATCAGATCACTTGATAACATCTGCCACGTGTGTGTCAGGAGGCTGGGCAGCTAAGAGATACGTTTATCTCTTTTCAGTCATCACGGCTTCTTATGAAGCCAGTCAGTTTCTGTCCTGCTCAGGTCACCTCTCAGTGATCTTTACCAAAAGGACACTTCCCAGGGAACAAAAGACTGAGAAATACCTGCCAAGATGAGCAAGTAGTGGGGAACTGTCACAAGGAGATGCTGGGATGTCCCAAAGGGAGTTCCTGAACCCAAAGGCTCCACAACCCAGAATCCTAGGTCTAGCTGGAGTTGTGGAGGTTGAGCAGCCACAAATGACATGACGTGCTCTGTGAGTTTCTAATGCTTCAGAAGTGACAGCGCAAATGTCATGGTCAAATGTGACTTCTGCATGTGTCAACTAAACATCTGGCGAGTGACTAACTGGTAAGCTATGTGCCTCCAGTTGATGAGGCAGAGGGAGCCTTAGACACACAGACCCACCTCATATAGGCACACACACCCGTCCTGTCCTGCTGTTTCTTACCTCGGCTTTTCTACTTCAATAACAAGAGCTGACCACTAACCCCATAAAACTGAAAACATTTCCAGAATATCACAACCTTTCAAAAAGTTTACACACACACACACACACACAGAGAGAGAGAGAGAGAGAGAGAGAGAGAGAGAGAGAGAGAGAGAGAAAGAGAGAGCACATGCCTGCCATAGAGGCAGGCTTGGGGGTGAGAGGGTGATGGGGGGTGAGAACCTGGGGACACTGGTACTGGGAAATGTACACTGGTGGAGGGATGGGTGTTGGAACACTGTATGATTGAAACCTCATCAAGAACAGCTTTGTTCTATCTCACAGTGATTCAATTGAAAAAAAAAGTTCACTAAGAACTTCAGAACTGAAGGGTCTTTGGAGCTGGTCCCCTCAAAGGTGTTTGCCAACGCTCTTCAGGGCTGCAGTAGGCTGCCTCACATTGAACACGGGCAGAATCGGAGAAGCTCTGGTGGGCGTGGAAGCGGGGGCTCACTGACGCCCTGAAGGTTCTCCCCCAGTAACCTGAGCTGTCAGCATCACAGAGTCAAGCCTTGTACCTTACTGAGCCCCAAACCCAGCTCCGAGTGGTCGATAACCCACTGACTACACGGTCTCAAAGGTCCGGCCCATCCCTGGCTTGGTGAGTGTGGCCGGGAGAGCAATCCTGCACTCCCAAACACAACCATGCTCCTGGAAGCGTGTTGCCCGTTCCTTCCAGCTGAAGGTCGGAGTGAATGGCAAGTGGTTCAGTGTCACGAGCCAAGTGTCTGTGGTCTCTGGTGCAACAACCTCCTTGACTGTTCCATTCGGGTGTTCAGGTGCCAGCTGTTTATTTTTTTTTCTTTTTGGGTCACACTTGGTGATGCTCAGGGGTTACTCCTGGCTTTGCACTCAGGAATCACTCCTGGCGGTGCTCGGGGGACCATATAGGATGCTGGGAATCAAACCCGGGTTGGCCGTGTGCAAGGCAAACGCCCTACCTGCTGTGCTACTGCTCCAGTCCCCTGCCAGCTGTTTAGAGTCCACAGTGAGAACCCAGCCTGGAAGGTAAACAGCAGGAAGCTTACCCAGCTCCGCCAAGATACACCCACCTGGCCGGGCTCTCTTCCTCCAGTGCCCCGGCCCGCAAGGCGGGGGAAGCACCAACCCTGCAGCTTGTACACAAAGAACCCCACTGGGAACAAACCCAGGGCCAAACTCAGACCCAGAGACCCTCCAAGCCCTCGCGGGCACCCGGGGAGTGGACAAAGACTTCTGGGAGTGAATGTTCCAGAAACACACCATCAAGTGCCCAGGCCAGACAGCAGCCGCTTTCCAGTGGCCTTCAGAGAAAGGGTTCTCTGCCCGGGCATGAGGACAGGCTCGAAGACCTGGCCTGGTACGGACAGCAGCATGAATCCCCTTCTGAGGAGGGAAACCACCGTGTTCCAGGCGGGGCAGCAGGGGAGCCCAGCTACCTCTCTCCTCTAATCGTCTCTAGCACCGCCCAACTCCCCACAGGTGCCAGCAGTCACCTGCTCCTCCCTTGTGGCACTTTCCCTACCACGCGCCACCTCAGGCTGGCTGCACAACTTCCTCTTCAGCATTCTGTCCCCTCCCCTGGTTTCGGGTCACCTCCTGTCTCTGTGGCCAGCTTCTGGGTTTCCTGGACACCAGCTCAATAAGCTCATGACTCGGGCACCAGAAACGCAGGATTTTCACTCCCTGGTCTGCCAGGTGCACCAAAGAAAGATTCCACAGATTCTCTCTCACAGGTTCCTTTTTTTTTTTCTTTTTCAAACTGATCAGTTGTAAGGAGTAGAAACCAGCAGGAAGGCGCCTTTCAGAAAGCCCCTCTGAACACAAGCAGGACCCTGGCTCACGGTTCCCTGCAGTGCCTCAGGCCTGTGCTCTGTTAGCTGCTGAAGGGCTGAAGCTCACGGGCCAGAGGAGCCCAAACCGGCCCCTGTCCACCCTCAGGCCCAGCAGGCACCTTCGGGCCCTCCGGACAGGCAGCAGATGGAAAGACATTTCTCATTTCTCACTCAGAAAATTCCTGGAGGCAAGACAATCCCTTAAAAAACAAACCAGAACAAAAAACTTCCCGAACCTCTCACAAGCCTGGTGGTTCTCCTCAGGAAACACTGAATACGTGTTTCATGGAAGACAAGATGTTTGTCAAGTTTTTGATAAGATGCTAAGTCCATGAACTTGAGTTAAGCCCAATGCAGGTGCTGGCTTTTTTAAAAAATTTTACCTTTCTTAAAAATTGAATTGCCGTGAGATAGAGCATTACAAAGCTGTTCAGGACGGGGTTTCAGTCATATATTTTCCAACTCCCATCCTCCACCAGTGTAATCTCCCAGGTGCTGGTACTCCTGACAGAGGGGCAGAGATCTGTGGCAACAGGGGTGCGGTAGGGTGAGAGGAAGGACTTAGAAAGCTTGGGTTGAAGGACTTAGAAAGCCCTGCATCGAATGTGGATTGGATTGGATTGCCAGCACCACATATGGTATTCTGCAGCCTATTAGAAATGGTCCTTGAGCACCACCAAGAGTGGCCTGAACCAACAACCAAACCAACCCTCTTAACATGCTCTGCATAACCTAAACAGACACTACATAAGCAGGGGAGATTTCCACCTCTGGAATGGACAAGGTGGGGGTCATATGACTGCCTGAAAAGAGGTGGGCTCAGGGTAGGGCGTTACTGCAGATACAAAGCCATGAAGCTCATCTCCCCTTGGTGCCTCTGGGTCTTAGACCTGCCCCTCCACGATTTCCTGTAGAATCTGCACATACGCAGATTCCCTACACTGGGCTTGGTATCTGGACGGGATTTACCATTTGTAACAAGAGACTCCTGCTCATATGACGGCTCACATCTCTGAGCTTCCGGGAAGATTAAGATGGGTAGATCACCTAGAACCTTCTCTTGTCCTCCACACTCCCTTCCAAGAAGGGCTTTGTCTAGCAATTCTCCTTTGCCTCCAGTAAGATGAAGATATATATTCAGATTTTTGATAACTCACATTCTCATTGGTGAAAAATAACGCTTTACTCTAGAGCAATCCAACATGCATTTAGAACTCCTGCTGTAGAGAAGAAAACTGTTCCACTGAGCTGTGCTTGTATTAATTCAAAAAGAAAAATATCTGCTTAAACCACTTAAACCAGTGGTTATTTCTGTCAACTACATCTACGGGGGTAGGTGGGGGGAAGTCTTTTAAAATATAAAGCAAGGGGCTGGGGTGAAAATACAGTGATCGGGCTCTTGCTTTGCACATGACCAACTGGGTTCCATCTCCAGCAACCCATATGGTACTGTGAGCACAGCCAAGAGTAATTCCTAAGTGCACAGCCAGGAGTAACCCGAGCATTGCTGGGTGTGGCCCCAAAACCAAATACGCATGTGTATATACACACATACATGTATATATAATATATATAAAACAAGAGAACGTATCAAGAAAAGTGGGTGATTTCCACTCTCACATCTGAATACCTTAAGGGGGACTTTTAAATTTGATCTTTCAAAAGGGACTACCAACACTTTTTATATTCTTTCCAAATAACTGACCAACCCCAGCACGGCTCTGGCCTCTGTGTGTGGGTCCTTTCGGAGGAACGGGTGGGACCCTCAGGAGAGGAGGCGAGAAGGCACCCCCTGAAGGTCAGAGGTCAGCAGGCCTGCGCAGTCACTCCTAAAACCAAGCACAGCTAAGAGCCTGCAGGTGCACCCAGGACCTGAGCTTCCAGAATCCCTCAGCCCTGGGGTGGCGGCGACCGAAGGGTGGACATCAAAGCGGCGCAGACACGGGTCTGGCACAGCCGGAACGACCCGGGCCATCCCGAGTCGCCGCCCCCAGCCTCTGGTGCCCGGGCCCTGGCGGGGGTAGGGGGCTCCGGACTCCCGCGCTGGCCGGCGCCTGATTTCTGGCCGGCTTACACGTGCATCCCCGAGCGCCCTTCCCGGTGGGCCACCCTGCCTACCTGCGTGTACAGCTCGGCCACCGCCATGGGCGCCGCAGGCCTGGCCGCGGGTGTCCACTCGGGGGGCTCGCGGGCGCGCAGGCGCAGTGGGCAGCGGCACTCGGAGTCCGCCCGGGCTTCCCAGCCGCTCCCCGACTCCCCCGGCAGCGCCCGCAGCGGAGGGCGGCCCCATTGGTCGGCCCGGCGCGCTCCGCACGCCCATTGGCGGGACACGGCCGCGGCACCGCCCCCTCGGCCGCGCCCACCAGGTGAGCCCGGCGCGCACCTGCCGCACCGCCGCAGGGAGCGTCTGGAGCAACGCGGGACGCAGAGAAATGCAGTGTGGGAGGTTTGAATCAGACGAAAAGGACGGCCCCTAATCGAAGCTGGCACCTCAAGAAGCTAAAATTGAAGGGGAAATTAAAGTAGACGGAAGAAAAATAATAAAACAGGGTAAGAAATGGAGGACATCTGTACAGAATGAAATATCCCCACCTATGAAAGCAATTATGTTCCGCTTTATTATATTCTCTTGAAAAGAAAGGAAACGTTTTCTCTTCAAAGGCTTCACTGATTATGTCGTCTGGACATTGTATTTTCATTGACACCATACATACTAAAAAATGTTTATAATGAAAATGAAACAAAATCCTTATATATAGGTTTGTAGGATCTAGCTAAAGTCAGCCAGGGAAGGAAATAGACAGATTTAAATGACTTTTCTATTAGAAAAGAAGACATTTCTCAAGTCAACAATTAAAAAACTTAAGGGAAACACAGAAAACCAAACCCACAGCAAGCGGCAAAAAGGAAATAATGATCAGAGATCAATAAAACAGAGAAACAAGGGAAAACCCAACAAAACTAATGAAAAAGACTGAGGGTATGTTTATAGCATAGAATGTACATTTATGTTGCATGTTTCATGGACTTATTTATTAAACATTAACAGATTCTTTATATTCACATCTTTATTTGAACAATTTTGAAATACTTTAAGAATTCTATAATAGACTAAGATTGCTGAATTTTACTGAGGATTTAGTTCAATAAGACTCAGATTCTGTAATTGTTCATTATGAAGTTTTCATTAAGCATAATCTCCATTTCACCTAGAAAGCATCTCTCATTGGAATTAAAAAAAAAGTTCATATTTCACCTCAGTAAGAGCCTTTAAAACTTGGGTTTTCACTAGACATCAGTTAGTACTCAGATGAAAACCAAGACAATATCAGATTGACATTTACACTCTAAATTTGTAGTTATCTAATGTCTTAATGTCTTAGTAAATGTGTGTCTTTAATGCCACTTGTCTAATTGTACCTCTGAGTGTCGAACGTTCTGTGATATTACGATGGGACCTTCCAGTGTCTGCTACTGTGCAGGTAAATGTGCAGATATTTGCATATAATCCAGTTAACACTGTGATATGATTGAATTGTAAACAAAGTTGATTAAAAGAGAAGCTTACTATTGTAGTGTCTACTAACAATATCAATTACATTTTAAAGAACATCGTATGTAGCAGCGATTTAAAATATGCAGTAAACTATGGTCATAATGACTTCTATGCTATACAGCAAACCAATATTCTCCTTAACAGTCTATGTCATAGCAACACAGGTCAGGAAGTTACTTGTCCAACTACTTTACATATTGCCAGTTTGCTTCTGTGATCCAGTTCATCACAATTGTTTCCTAAACTGATATGTATATTCGGTGGCAATTTTTCTCTCAATTCTTCTTGACAGCACAGAGGATGTTTTTTGTTGGTGCCATCCTATCATTTTCAGACCCGAGCTATGAACCCCAGGCCCAGGCTGGCTGGAATCTGAATCGTCTCCAGCGCCAGAGAGGACGGGTTGAAGGGGAAGGTGACAGGGAAGATGTGCTTGGCGTCCATGAGCAGCTGGGGCGAGTCGTTCCTGTCTCTCAGTCGCATCTGGGAAGGACAAACAAAACAGAGAAACAGAGCATCAGTTCTTTGAATCGATATGTTTACATATTTACCTACATTTTGGTTTGTTTGGGTTTTTTTTTTGGGGGGGGGGGGCACACCAGGCAATGCTCATGGGTTACTCCTGGCTCTGCACTCAGGAATTACTTCTGGCATGCTGGGGGACCATATGGGATGCCGGGAAGAGAACCCGGGTCAGCTGCCTACAAGGCAAAACTGCCCTACCCACTATACTATCGCTCCAGTCTCTCTATTTACATACATTTTGGACCACATCTGGCTGATGGTGGGGTGAATGGGTTGCTCCCATTGATACCAGTAACACATGAAGCTGGGGGCTGAACCTGAGCTGCCATCATGCGAAGTATGCACTCTAGCCTGTGAGCTACCTCCCGCCCCCATAAAGACGCTTTTCTGAAAAAAAAAACAAAAAACAAAAAACAAAAAAACAAAAAAAAACAACCTTGCAACTAATGAAAAACAATTATTTTTAAAAATAACTTTTTATTTTTGCCACACCCAGCAGTGCTCAGATTTTATGCCTGGCTCTGTGCTCTGGGATCATTCCTGGTGGGGCTCAGGGACCATAAATGTGTCTGGGATGGAACTTGGTTCTGCCAAGTGCATGACAAGCTCTCTACCCATTGTGCTGCAGCTCCAGTCCCTAAAATGAACGAACTATAAATAACAAGTACAAATACAAAAAAAAAAAAAAAAAAAAAAAAACCCCTCATCATTCTTAAATAAATTGTAAAATTTTATTCAAAAGTCAATAGTTGATGAATCAAAGAGAAAAAAAAATCCCAAGAGACCTGCCTCAAGTGCTGGGAGAGAAGGCAGTTGGGATAGAGAAGGGACCTTTATGACAAAGAGAGTTAGAAATGATCACTCTGGACAACAACTGTGTGCTGAAAGGAGGTAGAGGAACAAACATGATAACCTCTCAGTAACTGTACTGCAAACCCAAAAAAGGGGAGAGGGGAAAGAGGAGAGAGGAGAGAGAGAGAGGAAATGAGAAAGAGGAGGGGAGAGAGAGACAGAGAGAGAGAGACAGAGAGAGAATGAGTCTGCAACAGAGACAGGCTGGGGTGAAGGTCGCGGGAAGGAAACTGGGGACAGTGGTGGTGGGAATTGTACATTGGTGGAGGGATGGGTGTTGGAACACTGTATGACTGAAACCTGACCATGAACAGCTTTGTAACTCTGTATCTCACAGTGATTCAATAAAAAAAAAAAAAATTAAGGAAAAAAATCCCGAGAGAGCTTACCTGAATAGTACGAATAAACGCTACAGAGACTCTTTCTTCAAACTCGTTAACTGGGGTATATAAATTCAACACTTTGACGATCTGAAGGGATGAGATGATCAGAGTTCTCGTCAGATTATCAATCACACCATGACTGACACAATTATTAATCGCACAGCAGAGACCCACTCCAAGCCCCTCCACCCTAATCCCACAGTGGTGATACCCTAAGACCCAACAGCTACTTTCTACACATACTCTATGTATGATCTGCACATTTTGAAGATGTGAACAGTTCAAGAGTCAGCACAGAAATCAATAGACAAAATAAAAATAGATGTTTTTGGTCTTTTTTTCCTGGGGAAGGGGGAGGGTTAGGCCACACCTGACAGTGCTCAGGGGAGCCATAGGTAGTGCTGGAGATTGACCCTGGGTAGGACACATACAAGGTACAGGTCCTATCCACTGTATTCTCTCTCCAGTCCAAAAACGAGATTATTTTTATGCCTGTGCCTCGCCTTGTACTAAATTTCTTCAAATGTCATCCTTTTCCTCTCCCCTCCTTAAATCCAATGCTCTACGTAATGGGACTTCCCCAGAAACTCCTCCAAAACATTCAGTTATGGTGCTTACCACTTCCTTAAGCATTCCTGCAATGTGCTAGAAAACTTACAGTTGAGCTAGCTGAGTGCACCTTTCTTCCCCATTATACTGTAAGTTCTTTTCTCAGTTAGAATTATTTCTTCTTTGTCAAAAATTAAAAAAATATCTCCCACAATAAGAAGTATGGTGCTGTGGAGTCAATGAGTAATGCACTGAACTGAAGGTACAACGATCACCTATCTTACAAAAAAGAAGTGTGAAGAATCATCCAATTTTGCTTGGATGATAAAAACATTTTATGGAACTCAAGAATGCAGGCAGATTTCTTTCCTGAGAGCACGGGCTTTCTCGCTGTGTCCATGGTTGTATCTTGCTGTCTGGAATGCTGGGCAGGGCACCGCTGACAACAGTATCACTCAGTGTTGACGGCGGAGGACTAGAACCAAAATGTCCTGCTCTCCGGGGAAACTGCTTCAAGACCCGTACAGATTCACCTTCTCTGATGTGGGTGAAGTCAGCTTGGAGACAGGAGCAATGGCTAGAAGACTCCTTAGCCTGCCTAAATACCACCCTTTGGGGGGGCCTGTTCTCATCTGGGGCGACACCAGCAGTGCTCATGGCTTACTTCTGGTAAGGTCTGGGGGACTATATGGGATGGTAGGGACTGAACCTGGGTCGGCTGCTTGCAAGGCCAGGTACCCGACTGCTATACACTCTCTCTCCTGCCCCTTAAGTAGCACTCCTAAGAAACAGTAACTGATTCATTAGAGAAGCTGACTACCTGGGCAGTAGTCAGAGCGTTGCACATGGAGCAAATGGCTTCTGCGTCGTCATCCGTTTTCTTCTTCACCTGCAGGAGCTGAGCAGCTTGGATGAGAGGCTCCAGGGTCTCCTTGGCGCCGCTGTTCATCAGATTCTTATCACGCAGCCACTCCTCTAGCTGACTGACATTGTACCTAGCGCCGAAGAGAAAAGAGAGCGAGAGGATGAAGATTTATTGAAAGTTGTCATAAATGTCTTAATTTGTGTGTGTGGTTTTGTCAGGGATTTCATTTTCGATGACAGGTAGCATTCTTGTTCGATTTTATTAAATCTTATTACCTGCGCTTAAAATTTTTTTCATCACAGCCATGAGATTTATAATTTAGTTATGTAAGAATAAGTGACTACTTTCTTTGACTCCACCGTTCTTCCTGTGCTAACATATGCCTCAGAAACCTGGGCCCTACGAAAACAGGATGAGAACGCTATTCGGGTCTCCCAAAAAGGAACTGAAAGAGCTATGCTTGGAGTATCACACTTCACTCGAGTGAGAGAAGGAATCCGGAGTTCCGGCCTCCGTCGATGATCGAGAATCAGGGATGCTGTCTTGTTTGCCAAGGCATCAAAAGTCAGATGGGCTGGACACATAATGCGATTTGGAGATGACCGCTGGACTAGCGCCGTTACTGACTAGATTCCACGGGATGTCAAAAGATCGCGTGGCTGCCCACCTACGAGATTGTCAGACTTCTTTGTCAACCCTGAATAAACGGTTTGAGGCTCTTCGTGTTCCTAGAACGAGCAGATGCCACTGGGCTACGCTAGCACGTGACAGGGATGAATGGAGACATTACTGGCGTCCGCTCGAGCAAATTGATGAGCAACGGGATGTCAAGTGACTAAAGGACATAATTTTTTTTTTTAAAGTGGAAGACAAATGTAATCGTTACAGTGAAAGTTATAAAATCTTGGAGTGGGAATGATCATGCAGCAAGCAGGACACATGTCCTGAATGTGGTTGACCTGGGATTGAGCCCCAGCACCCCATATGGCCCCCTGAGCCAGAAGGGAGCCCCAAGTGCAGTCAGAAGTAAGCCCTGAGCACTGCTGGGAGAGGCACACAAGGAGAAAACGTTATAAAGTTTTACTAATAAAACTTAAACTAGGACACATTCTCTGATGGGGTCCTTATTAAACACGCCTAATTTTTCTGCGAACTTCAAAGGTGAGAACTGATGATCCTCGGACTGTTGACTGCACCCTGACCTGTGCCCCGCCTCCTTAGGGAAGACGGTTAGGGTAGACCAAGAACGCTGAGGATTGTGAGGAAAGAGGGAAAGTGAGGGTGACGCGAAGAGCCCGAAGAGGAAGAGAAACAAAGACAATCTACAGCTGCTGAGTTTTCAAAAGGGGACCAGCCAACTGACCTTAGTTCTGAAAATAAAATGTAGCAAAAGGAAGGTTTGATTCCAGTTACAACTTAGTAATCAGCAAGGCAGAGGCATGATGATACCGGAGCAGGTGCAATCCAGACAACCGAAGCTTACAGAGAGTCACAGCTACTATCTGAGTGGAAGGAATTATCTTTTCCTTTTCCTTTTCTTTAAAAATATTTTTCTGTTTTTAAAAAAATATCAAATCCCCGAGAATTACAAAGTTACAGTTATTCCTGATTGAGAGCTGGGAGGAGTTGTATTTTATTTATTTTTAGAACCACACCTAGCAGTGTTCAGGACTTTCTCCTGGATCTGCGCTTGGGGATCATTCCTGGCAGAGTTCTAGAAACCATGGGGTGCTGGAGATTGAACCCAGGTTAGCTGACATTCAAGGCAAGTGCCCTACCCGCTATATTGTTGCTCCAGTCCAATGAAAGGAATGATTTAATAGTAACTGTAGTGATGTGAGTCAGGGTAGGTAACTTGGAAAGAATGTCATGGTTTTCTGAGAAACCAAGTCTTTGGTCAGTAGCCAAAGACGTCTGTAAGGGAAATAATTTCTTCCATCTCCTGGTCTTAAAATAAATTCTTTGTTTTAAAATAAATTCTTTGCAAACTAATCAATTCCATCACAATAGAGAGGTTATGCTGAGGAGTAGATGGACATAAAGGATAGTCTGAAAATATAATGGGGCACATTTCAAAAGTCAGAAAAAATAGTCTTGATGCAACAGATACACAAAGCTGTTTTGTCAAAATAAATCTGAGGACAACCAAGCATTAGGAATCTTGAGTACGACTGGATGACTTGTTTGATGTAGTGCAAGTGCCCATCAGGAGAGGGAGCAGCTTTGTCATCCTCACGACTTTCTCATCATCTCCCCGCTCCTTCCAATGAGCCCCGCTCCGAGGAGCTGCTTCGGGGAAGGGATGTGAGCCACCGTGTAGCCAGCCGAGAGTGCTGGGTCCCCGAGCACCACCCGCTCACCTGATCTGCATGCCCTTACTCCACGAGCACATGTCCTTCCGCAGGAGCAGGTTGTTCAGGGTGATGGCGCCCACGATGTAGAACATCTGCTTGACCACCTGCTTGATGAGCTCGGGGTCCATGCCATGCTGACACATGACGGAGTGGAACGAGTTGAGCTGCCGGAGGATGGAGTCCAGCGTGTAGGTGCCCTCGTCTGCGATGCTGGACGTTCGCTTCCTCAGGCCTGTGGGCTTTACCCCAGACACGCCCTGAATCGTTTCGTGCTCCAGCATTCCAGAGACTGCAGGGGAAATCAAGTTTTAGGAACATTTTGGAAGGAGACATGATTTATATACACATGAATGCATGTGCACACACACACACACACACACACACACACACACACACAATTTAGGAAAATGAGCATCAAGATAGAGGTGGAAACTTTACCCCTGCTTCCAAAAAAAAAAATTCTAGATTTTAAAATGTTAATGAAGAAAAAAACTTGCAAACCGAAACTCCAGATTTGATGGGTAGAGTAGGTGAACAGGATGCGACACAGAGGCTTGAGTGGGGGTACTGGGCACTTTGTGGGATGAGGGAGGTGAATTGGGGCACTGAGGCCATCGATCTCAACACTACTATAAACACATAACCTATAATTAAAAAAAAATACCCCAACAAAAACGAAACTTAAAAGTTTAAAAAGAGGAAAGAATTCTTAAATGAAAACATTTAAATCTTTGTGGTTGTTTTCTCCTAGGGGCCATATCTAGGTTGTTCAGTGCTTACTAATAGTTCTTTGCTCAGGGATCATTCCAGGGGCATGGGGGGGGGGGGGCACAGACAGTGCCAGGGATTGACCCAGGGTTGGTCACATGCAGGGCAGATGCCTTCTTGAACTATCTCTCTGGCCCCTAAAAATTTAAATCTTCATGGTTTATTTTTTAAAAATTTATTTCTTATTTTTGCTTTTGGGGTCATACCCGGTGATGCTCAGGGGTTACTTCTGGCTCTGCATTCAGGAACCACTCCTGGCGGTGCTTGGGGGACTCTATGGGATGCTGGGAATCGAACCCGGGCCGGCCACGTGCAAGGCAAATGCCCTACCTGCTGTGCTATCGCTCCAGCCCCTTGATTTATTTTCTAAAGTATGAAATAGGCAATGTGTGTGGTGTCCCGGGAGAGCTTCAGAGAGTGAAGCGCGTAGCAGGCAGGAAGATGAGAATTCAGCTGAGTTCCTCAGGCAAATGACTCCAACTAGATATGCTGGGCACTCGGTAGTGGCCAGGAGGAGGAACAGCGCTGCCCCCACTGAGTCACACACTGGGAGTCTCCCCCTCGGGCATGATTTGAGGGAGCCCCAAGACAGGGATCTCGCATGCCTCATTTTTCTTTTAGTGCACGTATGACCCTCACACTGAGTATGGTGAGTGTTGGCTAACGGGGTCAGTGTGGGTGACGGGGATTCACATTTTAGAGATCAAAACTGCTGGTTCAGTCAGTAAAAAAGGGCTACAAGGGGCCAGAGTGATAGTACAGTGGAGAGGGCATTTGCTTTGAATGCAGCCGACCCGGGTTTGATCCCTGGTATCCTATATGGCCCCCCAGAGCACCACAAGGAGGAATTCCTGAGTGCAGAGACAGGAGCAACTCCTGAGCATCTCCGGGTGTGACCCAAAAAGAAAAAAAAGGCCCAAAATAAGAATGGCTGAAACTGACCTTTGCATCTGTGTTTGTTACTGAGTGTTAACATTTTGTTTTGTGTATTAAAAAATAAGTTTACATAACAGTGACAATGGTGCTCAAGTCTATAGGGTGACATAGAGAAGGGCTGCACACTCCACCACTGAAGTGTCCGTGACCCCTTCTAGCCCGCTCACCCCCAACCACTTTTGCTGGAGCAGTCCTTCCCTTCCTTCTCCCGGTTTATTATGGAATGGCATGGTGTCGGCCACACTTGTCTCGCTGAGCACTACCCAGGTGCGCCAGGCCCTCTGGGGGTCTATGGAGAGAGCACTCCTGCAGTGCTTGGAGGGCACTGTGTGGTGCTGGGACTCGGACTGGGTTGTCCACATGCAAGGCCAGCACCCATCCCACTGTACTATCCCTCCTTAGCTAAGAACTGGTGTTACTACTTTACACTCTTCACATAAAGGCAAGTCACGAGTCCCTGTGAGCACTTGTGGTAGCACTGCACTGTCTTCCCACCGTTCATCGATTTGCTCAAGCGGGCACAGGAAGTGTCTCCATGTGTGTTTGGCATATTGAATACACCACGGGGAGCTTGCCAGGCTCTGTCGGATGGGATACTCTTGGTAGCTTGCCGGGCTCTCTGAGAGGGATGGAGGAATCGAACCTGGGTCGGCTGTGTGCAAGGCAAATGCCCTACCCGCTGTGCTATCGCTCTGCCCCGAGTACTTGTGGTAGAGACCAAATCAGCCACACCAGGCCTTACCAATCATTGGCTGGAGGATGTTCTCCAATACCCGCACCAGCTGCTGGTAGATCTGAATGGCCAAGTCACTCAACACTTGCCGATATTCAGCCAGGTCAAAATTGGTGAGGCAGTGCTCATTCTGGCGAGACGTGTTGTGTTTCATAAAACCCTAGAAACCATAATGCAAAAGACAAATACAAATATAACATACTGTCTATGGAATGTCTGATCAAAATCCTCATTGGCTTTGTTCTTACTGAAAATACTCCATGTACGTGCAGGATAACCATCCCCAAATGCTGTGTTCAGTTCCATCATATCCCTTGTTTTCAGTTCGAAATATTATCTAAGTTGGCAACTTAGCATTTAAGTCTCTGCAATAGCAATGTCAGTGCAACAACAGGGGCAAAAATCTGGAAATAAACACTAATTTTTTCACTTAGCAAAATGGTAGGCTCATTGTCAAACATTAAATTATCTAAAGTACTACCAAGGTGCTACTAAACTTCTAGCTCTTAAGTTGTGTCTGTTTAAGTACTGGCTCTGTGGTCAGGGGTTACTTCTGGCCATGTTTGGGGGACCATATGTGGTCAAAGGGACTGAATCCAGGTCAGCCACGTGCAAGGAAAGTTCTTTATCCACTGCACTATGTCTCTGGCCCTAAAGTACTATCTTCTTGACTTTATTCAATTATTTATAAACACAGCAGATCCTCGAATACCCTTGTCTTGTTAATGACATCTCATTACAAAACTTGACTAGAAGAAAAAAAATTCCAGCCATCATTGAAGCAAACCAGAGAACCTCCTTTTGTTACCTGTAGTTTCCACAGAGACTGGGAACTGAATCTAAAAATGTCCCTCTACCATGTATCACTGTATCAATACATATATTTCAGTGTGAGAGCTCAGAATATGGACTATTTTAGAGATATTTGTGAAAATACAAAGCCCACTATAGAGGCAGGCACTTTTGTTGGTCACTGCCTGACCAGTCAAGTGCTCAACGGCTTCTGCCCACAGTCAAGAAGCTGCTTCCCTGTGACCAACATATCAACACGGTCTGCAGGTGGGGCCTGGCCCCTCTGGGGAACTCTGGCCTGAGACGTACATTTCCTCGGGGACCATGCCTTCGATATTCGTAATTCCCACCACCTGCCAGTATGGGCACTTGTAGGGAGTCATGTGCTAGCACTCAGCTTCTCTGCCTGTCCCAGCAAGGACCAAAGGAAATGGCTGGAGCTTTTGGGCAGAGGTGGCTAACCCGGGATTCCAGCTCTGTTCCTCATGACCAAGAGGACTTGGATAAATTTCACTGAGCTCAGTTTCCTTATCTGTGAAACAGGGTTTTAATTTCTATCCCAGGGAAATACTGTAAGAATTAAATGATGTTCTGCAGTCAGTAAGTGGATGACTTTGAGGATATGGTGGCTAAAAAGTGGCTCAACCCAGGTGGGGTCAAATCTACCCTAAATCGTGGCTCTCTGGACAATGGTGCACACTGCACCCTAAGAGCTTCTGAGTTGACACCTCCTAAGACCCTCTCCTTCTTCCCCACTTCATCCCACCCCATCTACCCCAATAAATCCTGCTTCCTATCCCCCACAAAAAAAGAATTAACTAGCATCACATATAGTAAGTATTATGAAAAACACCAAGGATGTGCCTTAATAGATATGACGTTACACAATTTCAAAATACAAAGTCTATCGTGGCGACTACGAACATATCACTATGAATAAACGTGAATGAAACTTTCAACAAATTCAAAGAACATCTTAACTTGATCACTTTCAATGAATTATGTCAAGGTGGAATTGCTTCACTAAAAAAAAAAAATCTGTGGGGCTAGAGGAATAGCACAGAAGGGAGGGCTTTGCCTTGCACGCAGCTGACCCAGGTTCAATTCCCAACATCCCATCTGGTCCCCCTGTGCATTGCCAGGTGCAACCCAAAAAGCAAAATAAATAAATTATAATAATATGTATCAGTATTCCTCAAGTCCACCTCCACTTAATGGCAAAAAGCTTAATCATGTGTAATTCTTCATTGACTAACTTTATTCCTGCTATGCTTTTTCATAAGACAGACTCTCAGTTACCACGCTGTGTGACCGTTTCAAAGCTGTGACCTCATAAGTCACTGTGAATCAGGGTTTCTTCATACTTCAACATTATATCCATAAATACTTCATACTTCAACATTATATCCATAAAACGATATGTTCTTTTTTGTTTGTTTTTTTTTGGGGGGGGGAACAAAACGCTATGTTCTTATGAGCTAGGAACACACGGCACCTGGCTCTGCTACCAAGACTCCTCACCTCTTCTCCACTGTACTGCTTCAGACAGTGCAAAAATCGGCATGTATTAGAAAGCCAGAAGGAGACAGTTTCAAAATCGTCACCTCTTTTCTGGAAAAGAAAAGAAAGATAAACTTGTATTTTCCTCAGAAAATAACAACCTGTGAAAAACTGAATCGGTTTCAGAAGGTTTATTTATCTTTGTATCATTATAAAAAACAAGAAAAACAAATGCTGTTTCAGTGGTAAACTCTGCTGGGACACGCCAACCCCCAGTTTGGTTCTTATTTGACAAGGTACCCACTATCCTGTTAGTAGAAAATCATGCCAAGCCATTGAGGGAATGCTAATTTACTATTCCTCTAAAGAGAAAATATTATCATACCTCAACTTACCCAAACTCACTTCCCTTCTGAAGGGAATGACAAGGGCTGGTAACACAGAAAGGGATCACAGGGACTAGGAAGCACTGAAACCCGGGTTAGGTTAACAGTCTTGTCAACAGGATAGAGTTTCTGGGTAGAGAACCAGAAATGGGATGGAAACATGTCTGAGAGAGTGGGTCACTAAGGCTATGTTCTGAGAAATGCGTCGTTGGGAAATTTCGTGCCTGTACAAGCATCACAGATTGTGACTCACACAAACCTCCACGGTACAGCTTATCGGGACCCCTGGGCCATTTTAGTGCCTCAGAGTGACTGTTGCTAAGCATCACACAACTGTATGGACAGGAGCAAGGGTTACTCCTGCAGTCAGGAATGCGGTATATGGCAAACAACAGGAGTAGCGACACTGAATTCAAAACAAGGATAAGAGAAAAATGCATATCAAATTAAGGGGATGGAAAGGGTTTCATGCCATTGTATCTTTTAAATTTTTATACAGGTTAACAATGATTAGATAAATGAGATCATTATGAGAGATGAGATCATTATCTCCTGGTAACTTCGAGGGAAAAAATCTTGGGTCCATTATCTTCAGAGATGTTGTCTCATGAAATAGTAAAACTTGAATTCTGAGGGCAACCACACACCCACAATTAGATGGGTTATATAGTCAGATGATATTCAGTAATTTTTAAATGCTAAATCTTTAGAAACTCCAACTTCGTAGCCACTTCACACTGTAACTAGACAGGGGTAACTCTATATAATAGGGACTGAGTGCTTCAAAGCCCTTGTGGAAAGCTCATGGCCAGGGCTCGGAGGAGGGAGTGTTGAATAGATATAAAGTTTCAGATTCATTAGATAAAAAGTTCTGGAGTTAAATGTGGTAATTTGGCATGACAGCAATGCACTGACTGCCAAGCACTGTGCAGAGGTAAAGGGAATATGTTATGTTCAAGTATGTTTTCCTCCAGTTAGAAAAAGAAAATGTTCATAAGAGATATTTTAGATTTCGAAGAGTACTGAGTATTCTCACATTTTGCTTATCTCTAGCTTGAAAGGTTTTTTAAAAAATTATTATTCACTGTATCACTGTCATCCTATTGTTCATCAATTTCATCGAGCAGGCACTAGAAACATCTCCATTTGTCCTAGCCCTGAGATTTTAGCAAGTGTCACACTGGAAGCTCTTTCAGGGTCAGGGGAATGAGACCCATCATTGTTACTCGGTTTTGGCATACCGAATATGCCACAGGGAGTTTGCCTGACTCTGTCGTGTGGGCAGGATACACTCGGTAGCCTGTCGGGTTCTCCAAGAGTGAGAACTAGACAATAAGAGAGAGCTTATTGCTTCTGGGAGCTGGGTTTTATAGTCCCTGGGTCTTGGCCGTTGATGGGATAACACGGCGCGGGGGGCATTTGGTGGGTGTAATGCCTAGCTACTGGAAGATGGGGCTGGGTGGAGGAGGCCCAGTTCTGATCCGAGCAGGCTTGGAGATCTCAGCCCCGGGTTCCACACACCTGGGTTCCTCTGCCAGCCCTTTCATGCATGAGGCTTGTCTTAGCATATGGAGAGTGGTCTCAGCATGGCTGTGGCTGGGCCCTGGAAGTCTTCAGCTGCTGGGGCTCTGCTCAGGGCAGAGAGGGAAACTCAACCTGCCCCCTCCAAGGGGCCCCGGTGAGGACAGCCAGGCGCGGGGGCAGGAGACTCAGCAAGTAAAGTACTTAGAGCACACTCTTAGCTCCTCATAGAACACGAGGTAAAATTATAATGTTCTTGTTTTTCTAGAAAGTTAGGAGGAGGGTTATGCAATATGACTTAGTAATTACTGAGTTATGTAGGACTTTCTGCTCTATTACATAATTTTATAAGACTTTTCTTTGTTACACTTTTTTATGTTGTTTTTTAGAAGGAACCAGGCACTTTAAATTTAAGAAAAATTAATACAACTGAAGAATAATGGGTGTGTGGGGGGAGTTAGGAAAAATATTTAACAGACACACCCTTGTGTGAGTGAACCATAGATAACTGACCTCTTAAAAAATCTATAGGACATATTTGTTGTTTAAGTAACTACAGCATCAGAGCCCATACACATTTATGCTCTACTGAAGGTTCAAATTTAGTTCTTTGTAAGACCTCAGAGCAGACTTTTTCAAAGACAAAACTTAATTCGTAACTGAATGCAGTCGTATCAAATTAATTTTGATTCATGTCCAACCTACGCCCTGTTTTGAAGCAGGCGCAAGGATCTGCTCTAAAGCAGAAGGTGGATTCTGTAGCAACACATCAGCGAAGACGGAGGTTTATACCTGGCAACTCAGCTCAAGTCCAAGAGGGCCGTGTCACCCCTATGCTCATTTTGGGAATGTGAACTGACCTTCAATACTTTTTTGATGCTGTTGATGGTTGACGTTAGTAACGACCTGACTTTCTGATCATCGTTCAGGTAGTCGGCGTGTCTGACGCACATAAACAAGATATATGCCGGTAAGCCTGGAATCAGATTGACAGCTACACCACGTGGCTTCAGTTCTGCAAAAAGAAGAAAAATAATCTTGCATAACATTGAAAATCTTTGGGAGGAACACAGTGTGCGCAGTCAGTTCTCATGAAAGGCCCCTTCAGCAGAAACAGATCATATGAAAAGGATCTCTTAAAAGCTCACGAAGTGGAGACATTCTGAAGGGTAGGAATGCATTTTGCTGTCTATGCAACTACAACTCCCAAATTATATACCCCTACCCTGGAATCTCAGTCTCTGGTACCAACTGCCTTCATTTTTTTCTTTTTTGTTTTTGGGCCACACCTGGTGATGTTGCTCAGGCGTTACTCCTGGCTCTGCACTCAGGAGTTATTCCTGGCGGTGCTCAGGGGATCATATGGAATGTCAGGGATCCAACCTGGGTTAGCTGCACAGAAGGTAAGCACTCTGTCTACTGGGCGATGGCTCTGGCCTCACAACTGCCTCCTTGCTCCTTGACATCTCTGCTTAAGCATGTCAAGTGGCCAATCCCAAACCCAACTCCTGATTCCGGTGGAACCTGCTCTTACTGTAGCTGTCCTCATCCCAGGAAACAACAAGCCCGTCCTCTACCAGCTTAGACCATGGACTTCCGTCTTTGGCATCCTCTTGGACTTTTTTCTTTTCCTTACATCACCTATCTAACCCAGCAAATTTTATTGGCTCTATCTACAAATTAAATCCAGAATCCTATCATAAATTATTACTGAATCCAACATGGCCTCTACAAGCAACCTTCATGGACGGCATCACCTACACTTTCTGAAAGTACTAAAAGCTCCCAAACTAGTTTTCTCCATCCCCCCTCACTCCTGAGAAGGACATTTTTTCATACTATCAGAGCAGTTCTGTAAGAAAATTTGGACCAAATCCTATCACTTTCGTTTGAAAAATCTTTGAAGTAGCTTCTCATTGATTCTTCTAGAAAATCTGAAATACTTGTTTTCTACCTTGGGGCCACACGTGGCTGTGCTCAGGGCTCACTCCTAACAGGGACTGGGAGACCATATCCAATGCCGGAGCTTTAATCTGGGTCAGCTGCATTCAAGGCAAGCACCTGACCTGCCTCCTCTTCTGTCCTCCAAATCTTCAATTCTTACGCTGGATTTTTGTGAGTGGGCGCTGTGCTCTTTCACCGGCTCACTGTGCTTCTGTAACACAAACCTCCAGCTCACCTTGGGGTCTATGTACTGCCGGGAAGGTTTTTTCCACATTAGCGTGACTTGTTCCTTACTTCCCTTGGACTCCATCCAAAGATGACCTTATCCAAGAGGACCTTCTTAACAATGCTTTATGCACATTTTATCTTTTTTGCCTGGTTAAATATTTATGTTCTACCTCCTGTCAAACCTCAGAAACATTCACGAGAAGAGAGACTTTCCTCTGATCATTACCCGGTATCCAGACAATGCCTGCCTCATGGACGGAACCTACTGAATGTTTACTGAGTTGTTTTAATCTTTGTTAACTCTATACTTAAAAACCAGTGGCTCTTTAACATTTTGAAAAAAGACTATGTTTAAATATAAGAATCTCTACCTATTTATAGTACTAAGTTTGATTTCATGAGTTCTAGGCACATTAAATCAGGAATAAGTGCCAATCACACCGCTACCCCTGGTACCCAGTGGGAGGAATGTCATGCGAAGGCTGGAAAGGAGATGTTCTTAGCTTTCTCAGCACACAACTTTCTCACACTCCACAGTCACATTCTAATCCCTGCATTCTTCTTGAAGACCAGTGGGTTCATGCATAGTCTGAAATGCCTCATGTTACTTTTTTTTTTCCCTTTTTGGGTCACACCCGGCGATACACAGGGGTTACTCCTGGCTCTGCACTCAGGAATTACTCCTGGTGGTGCTCGGGGGACCACATGGGATGCTGGGAATCGAACCCGAATCTTACATGCAAGGCAAATGCCCTTCACATTGTGTTATCACTCCAGGTCCCATGTTACTCTTAAATGCTTCTTCCACCCCTAATTTCATTTATCCTGTCCTTTCTTCCACTGTCGAATCTTTCACGATTATTTTGTTTCTTTCCTATTACTGAACTGTTGCTCTTGATGTACTTAGTTGTATACTTTACTGGGGAAGTGAGAACAAAGAGAAATGTGCAGGTTTAAATGACCTAAAACTACAGCCAATTGTCAATCTCTTGAAAGGTTAGAAACATACCTTTTATGTAATATAAACATTCTATTAGAAATGCCTTCTATACAGTTTTATTTAATTGGTTGGCAGTGAACATAGCTTTTTCATTAATTCATAGGAAATTTCTACAGAAATCGAGCACCAGTCAGAAGACCAATGTTCTAATGTTTGAAAGAATCATTTCCATGCAGAAAATACTTACCCAGAATCAGGTTCTTAATGAGTTTTTGCTCATCTTCCTTCTTATATTCCAGCATTCCTTGGAAATCCTTTTCTTTCCTGGGAATGTTAACTGGACGGATTGGTTCATCAATGATCTGACCTGGAGATATATTTTCCATCTGTCCCACTATATGAGAAACAGAGAGAGAGAGAGAGAGAGAGAGAGAGAGAGAGAGAGAGAGAGAGAGAGAGAGAGAGAGAAGAAAATATTTTTTAGGTGGAAAAGACAGAAGGGTGCCATGATCCTGTCATTTTAAATTAACTCTACAACAACAGAAACTTGGCATGTTTGACACTTAATAGTTCCCTCTTTAATTATTATTATTATTTTTTTTGCTGAAAGTGGGTGACAAATTATAGGGCAATCAGAGAATCACACGTGTTTGGCCTATTCAAAAACCTAAGATTTTCCTTTTATGCAAAAAGGCTTAACTTTGTAATCACATTAAAACATCCCCATAGTGCTTCACACCCTACCGAGGTCACGAGTTGCCCCCCACGAGCGGCTCTCCGGCACGGCCATGGCTCCAGAGTCACAGAAACCAATCTTATAATTATCTGACTCTCGGCAGAAATATTTACAGACTTAATAAGTAAAATATCAGAAATCCTAAATTGTGCGGCCGCTATAGCAGCCGCACAACATCATTTGGTTCTTGTAACCAGCTGTAGAAAAATTATTTCACAATGCCTTTTCAGCAGGTCTGATTTTGGGGGTGTAAACTCTAAATAATAATGGTGCATCTTTTGTCAAAACAATGAATCTAATCAAAGTAGATAGAGTGTTAACTAGAATTCATCTGCCTCACAGGGATTGGGAGTGTTGGGGGGGGGTTATTGGGGTTCTTGGTGGTGAAAAATAAGTATTGGTGAAGGGAAATGTGTTTGATGATTGCATGACCGAGACTTAAATCTGAAAGCTTTGTAACTTTTCCAACAGTGATTCAATAAAAAAAAAAATCCCCATAGTAAGTAATTCATCTCTTGGCTAACTAATAGATAATGAACTAGTAATCATGAATGGAAAAAATATTAACATTTAAATAAAACCCTAGAAAGAGGATGACAGAGTTGAAAAGATTCTTCTCATCAGAACATTTACTTAATGCATCATTGCAATAAATTTAGACCTCAGTGAGATAGCTGGAAAAAAATCACATTTCTTTATATTGATCGAGGCTAAGATCTAATTTGATCCAGCCACTCATTAAAAGAAATTAATAGCAAATAAAACAACCTCCACACAATATGATTTCCTAAATATGATTTTCTTTTTTGCTTTTGATAAAGAAAGTCCTACCATAAAGTGACAACCACTGATAACCAGCAGTTAAGAGTACAAGTGCTGAAGAACCTTCCGAGGAGTTCGAAATGATAACTGTAGTTAATGGCGACTTATAGAGAAGAATTTTGCTGAACGTTAAAAAAAAAAATAGAATTGGGTCAGAGAGACAGTACAGTGATTAAGCGCTTGCATTACCTCCCCTAACCTTGGTTTGAATCCCAGGCACCACCCATAGGTCGCCCTGAGCACCTACAGGGGTCATTCCTAAATGCAGAGCCAGGAAAAAATAGACCCTGATCCCTGCTGGGTGTGGTCCCCCTACCAAGTCCCCCCACCTCACTCCCCCAACCCCTGCAAAACAAACTAACAAGCAGACCCAGACTCCAATTCACCTCAAAATTGGAGAACCGAACAGGAATTGAAGGGAAGAAAAGAACACAATGAGTCATAATGTCAAGTCTCACAATGGAGACATTACTGGTGCCCTCTCGAGCAAATCGATAAACAATGGGAGGATAGTGCTACAGTGCTATTTATCTGAAGGGGCACAGTTAAGAAAATCTATTTGGGAATAAATTAAGCTTGACTTCAGAAACTACTGCTAAATAAAATGCAAGAAAGGTACCAGTGGTGCTTTTCTAATCACTCTGACAATTTCCTGTGTTAGTTGGAGAAAACCGGTTCCACAAGACAAGGCTGTCACAGAGAACATCAATAACTACCAGTCCTCTGGCTATAAGTGGCACAGAGCCTGGGGACAGACACTCTATTGACTCATGCCACGGGACAACCAGAACTAACAGGGCTGAAAATCAGCACAGCACCCAGCCATCAGCTCGATGGTATCTAAAGACTGGCCATTGAAAAGTGAATAAATTAGGGGCTGGAGCGATAGCACAGCAGTGAGGCCAACCCGGGTTTGATTCCCAGCATCCCATATGGTCCCCTGAGCACTGCCAGGAGTAATTCCTGAGTGCAGAGCCAGGATTAACCTCGAGCATCGCTCGCCAAATGTGACCCAAAAAGAAGAAGAAAAAAAAAAAAGAATAAATTAGCATTTAGCAGCCTTCCGTAATACCATATTCCGTATACATGATACAGTCTGGAAGCTGCAGGACTAACCATCAACAGAACTTCACGAATCACGACGACCATCCTGTTATTCGTCGATTGCCTCGAGCAGGCCCCAGTAACGTCTCCTTCATCCTAGCCCTGAGATTATATTCAAAGCTCTTTAGGAGAATAAGACCCATCATTGTTACTGGTATTTGGCATACTGGGTACGCCATGGGGAGTTTGCCAGACTCTGCCATGTGGGCAGGCTACATTCGGTAGCCTGCCAGTTTGTCCAAAGTAGGAATGAGATAATATGATGTCATAAAACAGGAACTTAAACAAGAGATAATTTATGTAAACTACTTATGCTATGTAAATTATCCTAGAGCTAATTTAAACTCAAACCACATAGACATCACAGTCAAAACACAGTGGCCTTCACTGCTCATGTTTAATTGACTATATATAAAATACAAAGCAATGAAATCCCCACCACCTATGTCATTAGTTACTTTGATGCAAAAAAACAAAACAAAACAAAAAGACTAATAGGAAGGGAAACAAGTGACAAAATCAACAAAGATTCAAAGTTCATCAGGAAATGTACATCTGCACTCCACATGTCCAACAGGAATGTTTTTAAATCTACTGGTATTTCATCTTATCTGAGGTATCAATGATTATGCCATTACTTTAGATAACACCAAAGAAGGAAAAATACTGCTCAAAACTCTAACTCATCAACAATTTTAAGATGTTTTAAATTTTCCGGTCCGGTCTTCCCGTTGCTCATCAATTTGCTCGAGCGGGCCCAGTAACGTCTCCATTGTGATCATTGTTACTGTGTTTGGCATATCGAATACATCACTGGGAGCTTGCCAGGTTCTGCCGTGCGGGTGAGATACTCTTGGTAGCTTGCCGGGCTCTCCGAGGGGGGCGGAGGAATCGAACTCGGGTCGGCCATGTTGGCTGCGTGCAACGCAGACGCCCTACCGCTGTGCTTAACAATTTTAAAATTAAAAAATTAAAATTTTAATCTACGTTCATAGACTTTAAATGTGGAATTTTGTACCTCAAAATTTACAAAATATGGTGAATCTTATTATTGAGACTGATCTGTTATAAACAAACTTTCACTTCCCTCTTGTAAAATATTTAACAAGGAGGTCACGGAGTCCATCGAACTTTTTCTGGAAAGGAATGATGCAACCATCATTTCCATTTCTAGATCCTTTGTACATGAGAGAAAGAGTCCTAAAACCTTTTTATCCTGGGAAAGGAAAGGAAACTGACACATTTAAAAATTATTTGGTACAGGAAAATTTCAATCTCAATTTTGATCAAATTCTTGAAAGTCCAGGAGATTCTGTTGTATCTCCTTATAGGACACAAAAAAGAGAAGGTAGGGGCTCCCACAGAAGGATTCCAAACCAGCTGGACCATTATTTGGTCGAAATTCAAAAAATTGGTTTCTGGGGTCTCACTTTAATTTTCTCCAGTAAAATAATTTAATTCAGGTTTTTTTAGTTCTAAATCCCTGATCATAAAAACTGAGATGGAACACCCACTTCTGGAATAAAATATAGCACAAAGGAGATCAAATTCTGAAACATTCTTCATTTAACTACATAATCTCTGCGAAAATTATATATGTTGGTGTGAAAAAGTGTCTTGGCTTCTAAAAACATTATTCTTAGTTAAGCACAGAAGGTGGCAAGAGACTTGTTAAGTCTGAAGAATTTAAAAGTATAAAATATTGATGCCTTAGAAAATATATACAATCATTTCTTGACCTTTGGGTAAGATCGAATGTAAAAAATATATTTAAATGTCTAGTTATTAGAAGATGCTTTCTGTCAATATTCTCTGAATAAAGGGTGAATAAGGGAAGAGGAAAGAGATGTTTCCAAAGACACTAACTAGTCTTTAATTTGGGGACGGGATGGGACTTCTATACTCTGTAAGTGCAAATCACATTAAAATAATAACATTTTACTTTTCAGACCTGTATCACTAAATTAAAAACCCAAATTTTGGGGCTGGAGCGATAGCACAGCGGGTAGGGTGTTTGCCTTGCACGGGGTTGACCGGGGTTCAATTCCCAGCATCCCATATGGTCCCCTGAGCACCGCCAGGGGTGATTCCTGAGTGCAGAGCCAGGAGTAACCCCTGTGCGTCGCCGGGTGTGACCCAAAAAGCAAAAATAAATAAATAAAATAAAAAAAAACCCCTAAGTTTTAACCAAGTATTGCGCCTCGTTCAGAGCTGCCCTCCTGCTCTGGTAGTCAAACTCTGGGACACGAAAAAGCTGGAGGAGGGGGCTGGAAAGAAGGGATTTCTCTACTCATTTCCCTCCCAACCTATTAAAATAAGCGAATAAAACAACAACAAAAAAAAACCCATAAGTTTTCTTACACCTTTAAAATCTGTTGTGGCTGCAAAGACAGTACTAGGAATAAGGTGCTTGCACTGCATGTACCTGGCTCAACACCCTGCACCACAAGAGGGCCCCCAAGGACCGCGAGGGCTCACTCCTGAGCACTGCTGCGTGTGGCTCCAGCCTGACCTTACCTCTCTAAAAAAAACAAACAAAAACAAAACAAAACAAAAAACCCCAAACCTTAATATTATATTCCTGTTCTTAAAAATTATTATAATGCCTTTTGCTTAACATTAATAGCACCTTGAAATACCTCATAATCCGCTCTTCAATTAAAATATACATATCTGGGACAGAGAGCCAGCACAGGGTAAGGCACTCGCCTGGCATGCAGCCAAACCCAGTTCGGTCCCCAGAGCCATACATGGTCCCCTGAGCTCCGCCAGTGGCAACCTCTAAGCACTGAGGCAGGAAGGAAACATAACATTAACTTTTTTCAAGCCAATGACCTGCTTTAATCTCTTGATACAATCAGAGAAGAGTTATAATGCATAACGATTCTACGAATGCATTTAATGCTGTGTAATGTCTGTTACAGCCTATGTATAATCTGAAGATTCCAATTTTTTTTTTTGTGTGGACCTGGCCATGTGCTTGGCTCTGTTCAAGGGACCACGCAAAGGTGGGGATCGAACCTGGGCATCTGGCAGGCGACTCAGCACCCAGCCCCCAAGCTACCTCTCCAACTCAGAGGCTCAAAGTTTCAATAGGATACACAAATAATGCAATTCTTAGGGATTATATATAAAATAAAGTAACTTCTTACATCTAACATTTCAAGCATTCATCATCCAGGGGAATATTGTCATTTTCAAAGTAAACAACCAGACTGTCCTACTTATTTCTGAGAAGCATCGGCTCCACAAACACCTACAGAATAATCACGACATGGCAGCCACTTTGCTAGGTGCTATGAGAAAAACGACACAAGTGGTTCCCAAGCTTAGGATGCTCATAGTCTAATAAGGAAACTAGTAATTCAAATAAGGAAACTGCTGAAAATACAACAGTAAAGATCCCCCCACAAAACTATAAGCAAAATTACGGTGCACAGAGCCACAAAAGCGGTTTGGGTCACAAAGACTGCTGTTGAGGGTGCGACAGACAGCCAGCCTGAAGGGACAAAAGGACTTTACCAAAAGAAACAGGAAGACTCACTGGAACCTGCAGTCGGGACAGGACTGGCGTGTGTTGGAGGAATGAAAGTCACACTTAGAATTCATCCTGGTAATGGTACTGGAGGGTACCACGCTGAGTGAAGCGATTTGAAAGGAGGCCAGGTGCTGAATGATCACACTCACTACATCACCGTCATCCTGTTGGTCATCGATTGCCTTGAGCAGGCCCCACTAACGTCTCCTTCGTCCTAGCCCTGAGATTTTAAAAAGTGCCACATTCGAGGCTCTTTCAGGGTCAGGAGAATGAGACACATCATTGTTACTGTTTTTTGGCATATTGACTATGCCACAGGGAGTTTGCCAGACTCTGCTGTGTGGGCAGGATAGTTTTGGTAGCCTGCCAGGTTCTCCAGAGTAACACCTAGATAATAAGATGTGGCGTGGCTGCTAATGCGGCCGCGCACTTCCGGGAGCAGGGTTTTATAGTCTCTGGGTCTTGCCCGTTGATGGGATTACATGGCACCGGGGGCAGTTGGGGGATGTAACGCCTGGGAGATGGGGGATCTGGGTGGAGGTGGCCCCTAGTCCCAATCCGAGCAGGCTTGGAGATCTACCTACTACCGTGAGGAAAATAAAGAAACGTGGTAAGGGAATAAAAACCCACCACTGATGGCAGAGTCCGGGGTGGGCCTACAGAGCTGAGTTTGCTGTGGGGGACGGTGGGTTTGGGAGGGACTCAGGACGGTGGTGGAGGGACGCTGGTGCTCTAGAGGTGGGTGTGGAGCAGCAACACTGCATGCTTGAAACGTGTACTATAAATCAGGATACCGAAACTTAAAAACTGAAAGAAAATTGTTTAAAAAATTTATCCGGGGGGGGGGGGGGTGTCAGACAGATAGCACGGGGAGAAGTCCTTGATTTCCATATGGCTAACACTGCATATGGTCCTGAACACTATTAGAAGTGATCCCTGAGCACAATGACAGGAGTCAGCCCCGAGCACTGTTGGATGTGCCCCACAAACAAACAAAATCAATTTTGGCAGATTCTTTTGGAAATGTCCCAGTGATGACAGGCTTTACTTGACCCTTTGAGCCAAGTAAAAACCATAGAGTATGGCTATGAGAGAATACACAGGGAGTCAGACTGCACGGTGTCATTTCTGGTCAAAATGGTAATAGCTGGCACAGGTTAATGGGCAATTACTGGGCTGGGGGACAGCTCACAGGCCTACACAAAGACCCCAGGGACTGCAGGGCCTGGAGAGCAAGGGAGAGTGAAATCCTGGTGGGCTCAGCAGTCCGAGGCTAACTCAGGCCATAAACAGACCACCGCCACCCACTCCCGCATCCCCAGAAAAAAAAAAAAAAAAGGAAATGCAGCTTCAAAGAGTCTCTAAGTCTCTTGAACACTGAGAATGTTCTTGGAGAAGGTTTAGAATTTAGCTCTATCTCTGTGTGTTGCTATATAGACCGACTGAACTGTGCCAAGCGCAGAGGGGGGCTCTGAAGAAACACAGTAATTCATAATCTAAGATGCTGCAAAAATGAATGTGGGGAGCCTTATATGACAAGGCTGTGTGGTTGGAGGAGCCCGCAGGCAGCGGCACACTGTGGGCATGGTCTGGCCTGGCCTCAGCCCTGACCGTGTTCCCCGGCACCGTCCTACTGGGAGAAGGGAGAGTCCCAGAGCCTAACTACTGAAACCCCTGGCAGCCACTGCCTCAGTTCCAACAGTGCCTCTAAGATCTACTAAGGCAGGTTCTGGCCTTCATTCTGGGAATGTGACTATACATAACTGCACTTTTCCAAGTTGCTTCTTTGCTGTTTCTGAGTGAAATTATTATTTTTGGTTTGGTTTTTCTTTTGAGGCCACACCCAGTGATGCTCAGGGATCACTCCTGACTGCATTCAGGGATCACCCTGGCAGTGTGCTTGGGGAACCCTATGGGGTGTTAGAGACCGAAACTGGGTTGATCATGTGCAGAGGAAGTACCTTTCCTGCTATACTAGTAGATAAAATTATTTTGGGGGCTGAAGCGATAGCACAGCGGGTAGAGTGTTTGTCTTGCACGCGGCCAACCCAGGTTCAATTCCCAGCATCCCATATAGTCCCCTGAGCACTGCCAGGAGTGATTCTTGAGTGCAGAGCCAGGAGTAACCCTTGAGCATTGCTGGGTGTGACCAAAGGGGCGGGGGGGAAATAAAACCATTTTATTGATGAGATAACTGGTTGCTTTCTTGTTCAAGGTTAACAATTCAATTGTATGAAGGTAATTGTACGTATGGTATTTGAGACATAGTTTTCTCATGCTTTCCCCAATATTAAGTATGCACTGCACTGTCCTCCCATTGTTCATGGATTTGCTTGAGCGGCCCCAGTAACGTCTCCATTGTGAGATTCGTTGTTACTGTGTTTGGCATACTGAATATGTCACGGGTAGCTTGCTAGGCTTTGCTGTGCAGACGAGACGCTCTCGGTAGCTTGCCGGGCTCTCCGAGAGGGGTGGAGGAATCAAACCCGACTTGGCCAGGCCAGCTGTGCTCAAAGCAAAAGCCCTACCACTGTGCTATCACTCCACCCATTAAGTATAAATTTTAAAATAAAAAAAAAACTTAATTTTTTTATAATCGTATTTTCTCTTATTTTTCTCTTTCCCTCCACTGTATGGGCTGGAGCGATAGCACAGCGGGTAGGGCGTTCGCCTTACAAGCGGCCAACATGGCCGACCCGAGTTCGATTCCTCCGCCCCTCTCGGAGAGCCCGGCAAGCTACCGAGAGTATTCGATATGCCAGACACAGTAACAACAAAGTCTCCAATGGAGACGTTACTGGGCCCGCTCGAGCAAATCGACGATCAACGGGAGGGCCTTTACCTTTACCTTTTACCTCCACTGTATTTTTTTTGAGGCAACCTTCATCATATTCTTTGAGGCAATCATCATCGTATTCTTCATCACAGTCCCCTCAATAATAAGAATAAGTGTAATGATAAAACTCAAAGTTGTATATAACACTTATTACGTATCTGAGAACTATTCTAACTGCATTACACATATTATCTCATTTAATCTTTGCAAATCTTGATGGGGAATATCATTATCATTCCATTTAACAAGTGGGAAAACTGAGGAATGGTGTGAAGTTCAGAAATTTGCCTGATGTTAGAAGGCTAATAGTGGAGAAGCTCGGATGTAAACCAGGAAAAACGGCTCCAGAACATGGTCGCAAAGTGCCTAGTAAAGGGCCTGGCAAACAGAAAACACTCATATGTTTCTTGAACAAATACTCTTCCATTGTAGAGAACTAAAACGAACGCTCTCCTAGTCTAGCAACGGGAATTCCCACCCCACAGAGGCCAAGTTTGCTGGTCATTTTTGCTATCATCTTTAGCGTTTCCATTACAAAACTCTTCTCTGTTCGTTTACCAGTCAAGCAGTTACAAAACCTAGATCCAGCCACAATCACCAAAATATGCATAAATACCTTCTAGTTCACCAATTTTCTTGGCAAACACTTTCAGTTGTTTTTTCAGTTTCCGGACGGTCTTATCTTGTTTTTCAAGTTGCTCCATCAGATCCTAAAGAGCAAAGTGACACTTGTAAGACAAAGATCAAAACAGGCCTTTGAAAGTGCACGGAAGCACAGCAGACACAGTATCACAGGAACAGCTGTTAGTCTCACAGGAAAGCTCAAGAGTTCACTGGGGGAGCCGCCATCGGGCACAGACACGGGACACGCAGCTGCCATGAAGCCACACACGAGCGTGACAACAGCTGCCCTTTGCAGCGTGATGGACAGCAGGCTGACAGAGTCTCCAGGAAACTCCGCACGGGTGAACCGTAACTGGACGCTCAGAGAACGTCCTGCTATCTCAGCGGCATGTTTCATTTTAATTCCCTACACAGATAAGATCCATTTTGATGAGCACACAAACAGTTCTGTGGGCATTTTTAAGGCCAGCAGGACGGCAGAGAGGGAGGTTCAACGGCTGTGTCTGAAACACTGGCTCTCTGATGCCAAGCTTCTGGAGAGGTGAGCATTAGTCCTGCCAGTAAGGAGACAGGAGCAGTTCTTGGGAATGAAAAGACACGTTGGAAAAACAGACATAGGGAACATGAGAGACAGCAGGAGTCAACCTTAGCGTTTCTCAGCCGGGGGCCGAATGCACCCCTGAAGCACCCAGGATATGTCGAGGGCCCACAGGTGAAAACTGTGCAGATGGTGGGTGGGGCAAGGCACAAACTACGGGGCCAACAGGTAGGATGGGGGTGGGGGAAGGAAACTAGATTAGACGGAGGCCATGGGGAAAGTTTGAGTCACATCAGCCTAGGACCAAGTGACAGGCAACATAAGTTGTCCATAGAAATCTAACAGGCGATAGAATTTTAGTTATAAAAGGCGATTAGAATAACGAAAGTCATAGTTGAGGCCAGAGTGACAGTACAGCGGGTTAGAGCATTTGCCTGGAACACAACTAACCCAGGCTCTATCCCTGACATTCCGTATGGGACCCAGAGCACTGCAGGAGTTATTCCTGAGCGCAAAGCCAGAAATAAACCTTGGGCACTGCTGGGTGTGACTCAAAAAATCCAACAAAGGGGGCTAGAGCGATAGCACAGCGGGTAGGGCGTTTGCCTTGCACGCTGCCGACCTGGGTTCGATCCCCGGCATCCCATATGGTTCCCCCAAGCACCACCAGGAGTAATTCCTGAGTGCAGAGCCAGGAATAACCCCTGAGCATCACTGGGTGTGACCCAAAAAGCAAAAAAAAAAAAAATAATAAAATAAAAAAGTTTTTAAAAAATCCAACAAACAACAAAAACAAACTCAATTAATTCCCTACACTTCCAACAATAACAACAACAAAAAAAAAAAACCAACCACAAAAACAAAATTACATTTTAGGATAAAGTTTATAGTGTTGATATACAAAGTTACTACTCCCCACCACCCCTCAAAGTCCCCATGATCCTCACCACTCTGACCCAATCTTTAGTCCCTCCTCCCTCACTGTAAGTTTTATACCACAGGACCAAAGGTTTTCCACTGTTCAATACTGTCTACTCCTTTGTTTTGTTAACCATATTTCACAGATGAATGAGATCATCCAGTACTTGTTGTTGTCCCTCTGACTTATGTTGCTTAAGATGACACAAAAATTCTTTATGAAGAGAGAGAGAGAGAGAGAGAGAGAGAGAGAGAGAGAGAGAGAGAGAGAGAGAGAGAGAGAGAAAGGACAAGAACTAAAGAAGTATATTCAAGGTAATAGTTAAAAAGGTTCCTGACAGTTGACTCTATTTTCATCAAGAATTCTCTCAAATGACAAGAAAAAGATCAGTTCATTAAGAGAAAATGGGCAATAGCAGACTCAAGAGTTTAGAAGAGCAAAGAATTGATGAGATCTATGGTTGTTCTTTGGAAGAAAAGTGTTCATAACTCTCACTGCTCATTCATTCTCCAGTTTAGATAGGGACGACTAGATGCTTGATCGATAATTCCAAGGCAATGATTGGGAACATTTCCAAGTGTTCAGCGTGCTTCCTGAATGTCACTTTCTCCGTCTATCAGTTTGCTTCCATCACACTGTAAGCCTAGTGTTAATAACAAACCAGACGTGATAGCGAAGGACACTGGCAGAGGTGACACTACTGGGGGGAAGACAGCTGTGGGGAGAAAGAGTTTCACGGAAGCTTCTGAAGAGACTCCTTGGGCGGGCGCGGGCTGAGAGCAGAGCTAGAAGTGGCAAGATGGCAACAGACATGTACTCCAGAGAAAACTACATACAATCATCCGTCTGTAAAGTGAAATCCGACATGACTGGTACTTCTTAGGATCATCTGCATATAATTCCTCATAATACTGAAAAAATAGGCACAATTGATTTTTGGTTTTCCTCCGTACGAGGAAAATGCTATCTTTCAGCAAAATCATTCATTAAAATAATTTAACATCAATGTGTTGCAAAACAAACGATGAGGCAGCGTGTGCTCTGAGGCACCGACACGTCCCTGCCACCATCTGCTCCTCTTTCTAGCCAAACAATCCTCACCCTCTCCCCATGCCCGAGCCTGAGATAAGGCGGGGCATGGCCTGCAGGTGAGCAGACAGCTACGTCACTGGGCTCTCACTGCTCAGAGCTGCCCACAGGCGACTGCGTCTTCTGGCAGCCAGATTGGGGAACAAACCCCATGAAGGTGAGGTTAAGGAAATCAAAGCACTGTCAGCTTACTTTAAGCAACCTACTCTGGAAAACATTTCAAAATGTTCAGTCTTGACATCCTGCTCGAAGAAGAGGCTGGCGAGAAGCTCCATGCCCCTCTCCTGAAAGGCACATGTTCACTAAAGGCAGAAGAGAACCGTCTTTTTTGCTTGTGTGGGGATTGATGGGGAAGTGGGTTAGACAGGATGCAGCTCCCAAGAACTCGAAGTTTCGGCCACTGCAGCATTCAGATTCTACTCATGTGGCTCTCCAAGAGAGATATCGTTAAGATGGAGAAACTATAAATTTTGAAAACGTGCCTCTATATTTAAGCTTGAATCCAATTCTCCTGAAGTAGCAGCCAACGTAATGGTAGCAATACCAAAAATTGTTAAGAAAATTCATGCTGCCATCGGGGCTGCAAGAGAAAGGTATAATCTGTCTAGTTTAGAAAAAAAAAAAAAACAACTTTGGAAATCTGGAGATCAGAAGCATCTTCTGGTGTGTACGTGGTGCCAGAGACTGGAAGCAGGTCTGGGACACACGAGACACGCATCTCACAGTGCACTCTGAGCATCCCACCTCCTGCTTCCTGTGGTGTCTTACGACAGGCAATGACAAGCACAGAATTTGTACAGTGATCAGTTATTATTACATTATGCGGCACAGTTTTTGATTCGTAATCATCAAAGCATTGTTACTTTAAGCAACAATATTCTTGAAATTAAACATTTCAAAAATATTGTAGGTCTCAAAAGATTTATGCCCACAAAAGCAGTATAGTGACTTCGGGAAAAGTCTGAACAGCAGTCTTGCCCACCTCCTCTCTCCTCCCCACAACAGAAACTCAAGCACAAAGCTTCTTCAGAGAGACTGAAAAGTGTATCTTTGGGCTTTGCTTCTAATTAGAACAAAAGATGGTTGAAGAGATGACACCAGAAAACTATTTGTAATGTACACGATGGGGCAATAATTCAGGTGGTTAAATCTATCGCTTCAATGACTCATGAGGTTTTTTTTTTAAATCCAATTTAATTAGACTGAAAAATCTGTCAGTTATTTTGTGCCTAAGAAATGCATATTTTAGAAAGAATTTTCTATAAATAAATGAAAGAAAAAGAAACTTGGGCTCTATGCCAATGTTCAGAATCTGGCAAGAAGAAAATTTCTTTCTTCAGTGAACTAGTTCTGCTTCATTCAAGTACGAGCTTGAACCCTGATCTCCTCCTCCCTCCCCTGGGGGCTCCGTCCAGGGTTGGACAAAAGCCCCTGCCTGGCCCGGCCGCCACCAACAGGACTCTAAGGCTCGCCTGCGAGAGATGAAGGCGAGGACTGCTTGGGAACCACAGGTGAAAGTCACTCCTGTCTCTGTCACAACACCAAGGAGCAAATCTCCTGGTGATGGCAGAGAGCCGGGCAGCTAAGGTGAGGACCAGGTTACCGGGTCCGGGGGGACAGGCCACGCTCAGCCAGTCATTCCCCAGGCTCCTGCCAGGACTTCGAGGGGCCAGGCGCTTCTCACCAAGTTCTCGTTGGTCAGCCGGGTGATCTCGTGCTGCAGGCTGGCCTCAATGCGGGCCTCGGGCGGCAGCTGCAGGTTCTGGGCCAGCAGCTGCTGCTGCCGGTTGTTCTCCTCCTTCAGGCTCTGGATCTCCCCACGGAGGGCTTCCGCCTCGTTCTCGTGGCTTCTCTTCTGTGACTGGAGCTGGGATTCCAGCAGCCTGCAAGGCACCACACGGGTAGAGGTGACACGGTCTGGGTGACACCCGGACCCTGGCCTCACAGGTATGGAATTCCATACTCACTCACAAGGGCCGGGAATAGAAATATCCTTTACCATCCATGTAATTACTAACTTGACTGAAATCACAAAACTCACACCTGGGCCAAAAGTAAAACCCAATACTCTCACATTTGTGGCCTTCTGAAGGTAGAGGCTGCTACAATTAGAAAGTTTTCCAAGGTCTCAGAAAAGGTTTCTAGGAAACAATGAGTCATAAAATCAATTAATAGACAGAGCTTTAATCTGGCTTACTACCTTGGACCAAAAAAAAGCATTTAAAATGGCAAAGAAAGAACCTTTGCCACAAATTAACTCTGCTTCCGGTAATTTCAGAATCATAACAGAATTATTTAGTAATTTCAGACAAAGAATGGGGACAAGGGCTCCATTTTTATGTTCTGCCTTTGTCTCTGAAGGACCAGAAAAGCTGGAATGCTATGAAATATATCTGCCCATAAGGCAGACAGCTCTGAAATTTATATTTTATATTTCTCTTATATTTATCTTCTCCCTCCCCATAAACTTCCATATTGGAAATAAAATTCTAACATAACATGGTTTTAGGACATAGTATCAGTAGGACGAACACAAGGGTTACTGCTTCGCTGAGCAAACATACAAGTCAGCAGAGGCCAGGAACAGATGGAAGCTGTTAGGAGTAGAATAGCAGCCGGGAGAGACCCACCTTCAACCACACCCCCACGCCTCTGCTCACTCACCCTTGACCCCAACAAACACAGTCAGGGTTAGGGGGCAACCGACAGGAAGGAGACAAAAGTCTCTGATTTCACTCTCCTCGGTTACCAACTGCTTAGGAAAACTTACTGACATTATTGTTAGTATATTATGAACAGTAGACCAAAAATAACGCACAAAGTTAATGACAAGAGTTAATATCAACACGAAACGGAATAAGCAGAATAAACAGTTTATTAAGTATTTTTAAACCTGAGAGCCAAGTGTTAGGATAGGGGTAAAAGTGCTTCACTTGCAGGTCGTCGACCCGGTTTGAGCCCCACAGAATTACCAGATGTGGCCCAAGCATCCCCCTCACCACAAATTCTTTAAAAAATTGAACCATTAAAATGATACTTTAGAGACTGGGGCGTGGGCCGTACTCCTGAAAGTGGTACTGGGTATCAAGCGGGAGTCAGTCACAGGCTAGGCAAGTGCTTGAATTTTCTGGCCCTTAGTTTAAAAACCTAAATATCTAGAGCAGACGTGTCTGTGCTAGAAAGGTGCTTGCTATTTCAATTTTATTAGCTTGCCCGGAGACTTTGGGACAAGTTGCATCTGGGCTATTATTCTGAACTGGAGTAATGTAGGAAATCTGATTTGCTGTTTCACAAATTTGAATTTTACAACAGCCATACAGATTGCTAAATCACGCACTTAAGATCACTGTTGGCAGGAGTAATAACAATATAGAAGAATGTATCCAAATTGTTAAAGGCACATCTATCCTTTAGACTGGTTATTTCAAATATGAAGCCACCAAGTTATAGGTACCAATCTCTCCCACGGTAGTTAGGCTCCAGTTGAAAAGTCTGGTTTCTTCCAATTCCACAAATTTAGTGTCTGACAGGAATTCTAGATGGTACCCTTCACTTACGAGCAGCAACTTCTTTTTTAAAACCATAATCTACTTCTCCTTTATTTATATACCTACTTATTTCTGTGGTATTGGGATCAAACCCAGAGTCTTATATAAAAGGCACGTGCTCTACCACTGAGCTACACCCCTGGCCCTATTCCACTGTTAATAGCATTCTTTAGAGGAAAACATGTGCAATAAGATGATTGGCCAACTGGGCTAAGGTACCCAGAAAGACAAGTAAAGCACAGGAAATACAGAAAGTCAGAAGACTTCTGTTAGTAAGAAAAACAATAAATTAATAACATTCCACTCAGGGGACAAATATAACCTGTTTGCTTGTTTTAACCCTTCATAAACAAGCCACAGCTCTCCATCCTCATTCAACTCATGGCAATCCATAGCAGACGATCTTCCATGCACAAGGAACAACAATGCAAAACAAAGGGATACAGGATGGTGATGAGATGATGTCAAACGCAGCACCTGGCATTTTTCCATATTGTATTACCATATTTCACCGCATAACCATGTCATGGTATAACTGTAGCATGCTGTTTTTGATAACCCACAAAATTAAAATAAAGAGACTCCAGGGCTGGAGCAATAGCACAGCAGGTAGGGCGTTTGCCTTGCACACAGCCGACCCAGGTTCAAATCCCAGCATCCCGTATAGTCCCCTGAGCACCACCAGGAGTAATCCTGAGTGCAAAACCAGGAGTAACCCCTGTGCATCGCTGGGTGTGACCCAAAAAGAAAAAATGAAGTAAAATAAAATAAAATAAAAAGACTTCATATAACGGTCACACTGACAGTTTTGCAAAGACAAATTGGTAGGCATAAAATCTGTGACAATTATGTAGTGAAATGTAGTATGGCAATAAGAATGTCTTTATTAATAAAAGATGAGTTTAAGACATTAACAATTATTTTTTGGTTATTTTTTGAAGGAGGGGAACATAAAGCATCACACATAAATGGGTGGAAATCAAAGCAAACTAACCACAGGTCTAGAACTACTTTCCTTGCAAAGTAAGAAACCACAGAAGAGATGAGAGAGAAAGTGGTTCTATTTCTAATGTTTTATTCAGAGTGATCTTATGTGCCACATACTACACCAGAGACTGACTCTCATAGTCACCCACTTAAAGAATGACAAATTTACTATTTTCTTCCTGTGGCAATCTTAACAATTCACTTCAAAATAAAGTCTTAAGTCTTCTCAGTAGGAACTTATCCCAACTTAATAAAATATGGCTGCTTCTTTTAAAAATTGTTTTAAAGATTTTACAAGAATAGATTCTAAAAAAAACCTGTCTTATGTTCTCTAATTTTGTTTGACATGACTTTTTGGCTTGTTTCTGGGCCACACCCAATGGTACTCAGGACTCAGTCCTGCTCTGCACTCAGGGATCATCTCTGGCAGTGTTTGTGGGACCGAATGGGGTGCTGGGGATGGAACTTGGGTTAGTCATGTGCAGGGCAATTGCCTCTCCTGATGTACTATTATCCCAGACTCTATGACATGACAAGAGATTTTTTTTTGTGTGTTCTCTCTAATCATGTCTGCAGCTACCACTCAACGTGACCTCATCCCTACCTGAAGGAGCCAAATGCTAGATCAGGGATCTGGGTTATGCAAGTGTAGACAAGAAAGAAGTGTGAGGAGTATCTATCTCTATGATTCACAATCAATCTTCAGAGCTAGAGGCTCCGAGGCCCAGCGGGCCAGGTCTGTGGGAAGCTGTGACCTCACATGGCAGGGATGTGTTTTACCCACCAAGCCAGACTTGTAAACTCATTAGGCTAGTAACTCACGTACCAGAAGCTTATGAAACGCTAATCAGGATTTCGCTAAAAAGAATTAAGTTGAGGGAGGGTAGGGTCAAGATGTCAGAAAAGGGGCAAACTGGAACACTACTGGAAACTCACAGAGCCGCAACTGCCATAAACAGGCGACAAATCTGTCAACTCAAGGGGCCTTGCTGAGCAATCTCGAGGCTGAGGTTCACATAAGAACCTTAACACCATCTCTGGGAGACTCTGCTTTGGGTAAGGGGTTGGGGCTGGCTTGGAAGCTACACGTAGAGATCTGGGCATTTTTGGTGTGTGCACGCGCGCGCGCGCACACACACACACACACACACACACACGACTCTGAGGATATCCATGCAGTACCCAGGAAGTAACTCTGCTGTGGAATGAAACAGCAGAGAGTAGCATGGTGACAATGTCAAGAGATGGGGGGTGTGCTAGGGAGTTGGTTGAAACCCGGTGTCCTGGGACCAGACTTCAGGGGCAAGGGCTCCAGGCACTGGAGATAGGGAGGGGTATGCCAATGCCCTCTTTCAGACACAGGGCCTGTCCTCACAACCACAGGACTGGGGCCTGAGTGATGGAGACCTAGAAGCCTGACTCAGGACCAGGGCACTGTACCCACAGGAGGGCAGGCGGGAACTGTCACTTCCGGTCTGACAGTGGGGCAGGCTGCAAGTGGCCTGGTCTGGCCGAGTCCAAAGGCTGAACCCGGTCTCGCACACTGTCCATTGGGTGCTGCTCGCAAGCAGGCATACTTTCCAAAGCATTTTCTGTCAGGAAGCTGAGGACAGCCAGACCCAGAGGGTGCAAGGACCACCTCACACCATACATAAATTTGAGGTCAATTAAAGACCATATATTAGACCCCAAACCATGCAATACACGATGGAAAACAAAGGCAGAAAGCTCCCGACAGTCATTTTAGAGGTACTTTCAACAATTCAACTTTACTGGAAGAGAGAACAAAAGCCAAAACAAAAAAAAAAAATTCTATTAAAAGTTTCTGTACCAGATGTGAAATGAGGCTAAAATTTAAAAACATCCTTCTAAATGGGAGAAACAACTTGTACACTATATACCAGATAGAGACCTAATAGCCTATAGAGAGTACTCACAAAGCTTAACAATTGCAAACCACAACACCCAATAAGAGAGAAAGAACAAAAGGGAATGCCCTGCCACAGAGGCAGGGGGGATGGGGGGGTGGGGGGAGGGTGGGAGGGATACTGGGATCTGTGGTGGTGGGAAATGGGCCCTGGTGGAGGGATGGGTATTTGAAACCCAAGCACAAAAATTTGTAAGTCTACAACTGTACCTCATGATGTCTCACTAATTAAAAAAATTTTTTTAAAAAATTTAAAAAAATTCAGTAACCCATCAAAAAACGGGGAGTGGTGATGAATAAGAACTTTTTGATGAGAATATGTAGTAAGCCAGCAAGCACATGAATTAGAGTTCAGGGCTGGAGAGACTGTACTACAGGGAAGGTGCGTGCCTTGCACATGCCTGACCAGGTTTCAATCCCTGGCACCCCTGGGCCCCACCAAAACAACAACAAAAGTGTTCAATGTTACCAGCACTATATGATTTAAAATAACCATGAGCTGTCATCTCACATTATTTATCAAAGTCCGGAACCAACCAGCACTAGAGGGGGTGAGGTGTGAAAGGAATTCTCATTCATGACAGAATGCCCTCTGTTCAATCTCTATGACAAACACTATGGAGACATCAAAAATTAAAAATGTAATGACCAATTCTATTCTATTCTAAAAAATGAAATAGATCCACTGATTTCATTCCTTGCTGTCTATTCCAAGAACACAAAGCATCAATTCAAAAAGACGTATTCACACCTATGTTATCTTTAGAAATATTTATAATTTATATTCATGAAATAAAAATTTAAGTCTAACCAAATACTTTTATGATGATTCTTGACCCTATTAATACGCCCCAGGAACGCTATGCTTCATACTGACAATACAAATCCGCAAAACCCTATTTCTCCATGATCATAACTATGTTCTTTTAAGCACATAATCTTCTATGTTTGGAATCCAAAGCACTTACAGCTCTCCTGGGCAGGGGGTGGCAGGGAGGCTGAAGGAGTTTCAGAGATGAGCAACCCTCCCACACCCGGCCAATAATCTCGGTTACAGGAAAGCTTCCGCAGAAGTTTAGCAATTTATGACTGACTACACACTGCACTGTTAGTCAAGACTTCTAAGTGTGTTGTGATCAGATGCACAGCAACTTCATTCATATTTAGGGTAAGTGGCATAGACATTTTTTTTGATACCTTAGTAACTCTGATAGAAACATGGCTCAAACAGCAGGGCTGAATCGAGAAGTCACCGTGTCCATTAAAAATTATATGACTAATACTAATGTGATTCCAGATTCTTCCTTCATTTCTCTTCACACCATTTAAAATACTGAGAGTAGCAGTTGCCCCTACAAATCTTCATAAATAATTATGTTGAATATTAAATGTAAGTGACTAACCCAAGACAATCAGCAAATGGTTTTTCTTCTCAAGTCTAAGATTTTGAACATATTCCTCTGATCGAAAAAAATTTTTTTTCTGATACCTCTCATCAATAGTACAACCTTATGCTATAAATACAATTTTAACTGTGAATAGATTGGGAATTGAGTTTCCTTTGAAGGGCAGTTGATATCTAATAAAGCAATGAGTCAACACTTCCACTTACTCTGCAAGAGGCTAACTTGAAGTCTACAGATCAATAAGATTATAAGGCAAATCAGACAAGTATCAACTTACCTATTTGTCTCTTTCAAACCAATATAAGCTTGTGCTATTTCACCCTTATCTTTCATCTTTTGTACGTCTTCCAGAAGGAGTGTGGAATCTGTCATTGTATTCTGCAGGGAAAATAATACCATTTCCACATTAAGTACAATTCAGATGCTTTGAACTATAACATATTTCTTGCCTCCAGAATAGGGGAGTTTCCATGCCGCACCCACTCCCAGGCCTAGACAGCTTCAGAGGAGAGTGGGGACACATGAGGTTCCCGGACAGAAGCACCTCCAGTGGCTCTCTTGACAATCTCTGATCTCTAACAAAAGGCAGTGAGATTCTAGTGTACTGCTCTGACTTACCCATCAATTCAGCAGCAGGTAAATATTTCACATGAAATATATACACATATACATAAATACATATATGTATGCATGCAAACTTTTAAATATATAAAGCATACAGTATATACAGTTCAGAACAATATCCATTAAGAACACCGAGAAACTGACAAAATGTATAGAATATTCTTCTTACTACTTTGAACCAGATTATTCTTTTTACTACTTTGAAGCAGTTATAATAAAACAAGTGCTCTAATAAAACACTAAAACTTTGGAAAATATACATTTTTAAATGAAAACTCAGTAAGAGAAAAAGGTGTTGTTTATATAATTTTTATAGCATTGCTTTTTTCCTCACACCCTTAAATACATATGAATGGAAAGTATTTCTCTCCTTTTGCTTTAAAAAAAAAAAAGGACTTTCCTGCCAACATTTTTATTTCTGATTTTCTTTTTTCTTTTCTGACATCAATTATAATTTCAAAATTTTTCTTCTATATATTCTTTCTTTTAAAGTAGAGCAGGAAGAGAGACTACAAACACTTTAGAACTCAAGGCCCATACTACTCATTTAAATATAAATAGTATCTGTTGGTCCTTCAGTTACTATTTGCTCTAAAGCCAATATTCCAATAGAGAAGAATTAAGAGAGAACCTGTATTCAAACTAAGAAACCTGTCCTAAGACAAATAAAATTTCTTTTCTTCCTGTATCCCTAAGACAACTATCACCTTATCGAGACATTTCAAATATGGCTCAGAATATTGATGTATATGCCTGGTGCATGCAAGGACTAGAGTTTTGAAAAGACGGCCATGGAGGAAGTCTCCCCCTGCTGGGAAGGATGCCCTCGCCTCTGAGGCTCCTCTGTTTTGATGTGTTCCAAGCTAAGGGTTCCCATCCCTCCCCTGACACTTACGGATAGTCTGTCATAAGTACTACAGCAAGTCACTAAAAATTAGAAATCACACAGATGTCTGTATAATTTAAACTGAAGCTTTATAATTATTTACTTTTTTTGCTTTTTGAAACAAGATTATTAAATAAATCAATTTGGGGATTTTTAAAAATCATTTACTAAAATGGAAAACGAAAAAAGTAATTACCTTGTCATCCTGAACATCACAAGTTAGCCAGCACACACACACACACAAAAGAAATGGAGAGAACAATAAACCCTTAGTTCCATAAACAAATTCCATCATTCATTTTTATAACATTAAAAACTATAGAAATAACTATAGACAGACAGACAGACAGACAGATAGGTAGATAGGAACTAACAGAAGTGAAGCCAACTCTTAATTCTCTAGAACAGTGCTTGGAATTCTTTTAGAGTCATACTGGTTTTTCTAATCGCAAATTATTTACGAGTGAGGGAAATTTGAACCTACTATTAAAATATAATAATGACAGTCTGGGGGTGGTGGTGGCAGGAGGGATGTAGGGATATTGGTGGTGGGAAATATGCACTGGTGGAGGGTGGGTGTTGAAACATTGTATGACTGAAACTCAATCATGAAAGCTTTGTAACTGTATCTCATGGTGACACATGATTCAATTTAAAAAAATTAAAGATGACAGTCTGTTTTCTTGGAGGGAGTGCTCACATCTGGCAGTGCTCAAGAGTGTCTCCATCCTTTGGAGCTACCCCCGGTGGCACTCAGGGGACTAGGCAATGCCAGGAATTGAAACTGACTCCTTGAGTCCAGGGGTCTTCAATTACTGGTCTGTGGACCAGTGCCATCTGAAGATATACAAAGTTTGGGTGGGGTTTTTGACATTTTGGGTCACACCCAGCAATCCTCAGGGATTACTCCTGCTCTGCACTCAAGAATTACTCCTGTCAGTGCTCAGGGGGACCATATGGGATTCCGTGGATCGAACTTGGGTCGGCTTTGTGCAAGACAAACGCCCTCCCCACCGTGCTATCACTCCAGCCCCAGGTATGCAAAGTTCGAAAATCACTGGTTTGTAGGTTTGGTTCTAACTGCTTGTCCACGGACCTGTGTGCAAGGAAGATGCACATCTGTGGGTGTCAAATAGTTGAAGAATTCTGCTTTGGTCCACTGAGCTTGCTCTCTGGCCCAAGCAGAAGATTCTTACCCAAGGTCTGTGAGGATTACAGTCATGCCCTATGACAGAAGGTCACAGGTCACAAGCGAAACTTCCAGTAGTGCTTGCAGGGGTCCAGCATATAAATTAGACCTGGAGCAGTACCTTCTTCACTCCACTCACTCGTCACTGTCTGACCAAGGACTGGAAACAACGTGACTCTGACTACAAGCCAGGAACACACCGCTCTGTGGTATTTGGAAGATGTCAAGCACCGGGATGGCAATTTTTGTAGGAGAAGTTTAAGCTCCCAACCTATACACTGGGCTGAAAAGGGAAGGTGCCACCTGGAATAAGCTAAGAAGAGGAGTCTGCGCGGCAAGACAACGGCTTCTGCTGGCCAACTGCCTCTTATAGCCCGTGGTTGTTTCCCTTCTCTCTGCTCAAGAGAGAAGACATCAGGAAGATGATCTGAGATTTCCCTTGCTGCTTTTTGCTCATTCCAAGTAACATTTGCACGGTTTATAAAACAGCACTGAAGCTTTGAAAGAAAGAATTTAGGACTTACAGGCCAAGGAGACTTAAAATGTTCTTATGTATTTGCATGAGTAGAGGCTGGAGGGACAGTCAGGAGAGAGACTCGCTCTGGCAGTGCTCACCTTGGGCTGGATGGCCTCCTTCTGGCTCACCAGCTGAGACCTGAGGATGAGGACCTCCTCCTTGCGGACGTCGAGCTCCTCACTCACTGAGGTCAGCTGTTCCATGAGGACCCGGTAGGCTGGTGCACCTGGCGCGGTCACCTCGGGGGCACTTTTTTCACTAAGGGCTTTGCGTAATTCATTTAGCTCATTTTTCAGTTTTTTGTTTTCTGATTCTAGTTCTTGACGCTAGTAAGAAGAGACAAAGGAAGCAGATTTCCGTGATCCTCAACTTCACATCAGAACGTCCATCCCCTCCCCCTGATCCATCACCAAGACAGTGGAAGAATTCTGCTGAGAAAGACCATCAGATCGCCCTGAGAAGTGGCTTCCAGCATACAGGCATCTGGCCCAAGCCAGGGAGATGGGTCACGGGCTTTACATCACAAGCCCCTGGCGTGATCCCTGACTTCTGCTCCCACAAACCAGATTCCAGAATCAAATCTGTTCCAGACCTGCCCGGGGTTAAATCTAGAGGTTGGAAAAGACCGCTGAGTCCTATGGGGCAAGTTAAGTCCCTTCCAAATACCCAGATTTTATTTCTGGATAAAAACAAGGGCAAACATGAGGGTCTGGCTGGCCAGGATATTTCCAGTGAATGGATCCAATGAATAGTTACCCAAAACCTTGAGGAGCATTCTCTTATTTCCTTTGTCAAGTAGAATGAAAACACTACTGAGATCCCGGGGTTTTAATTTCTAACAAAAAATGCCATATGGTTTAAACTGGTAAGATACCCATTAGTGTTTTAACAATAATGTATTTTTCAAACATTTCCCTGGATAATATGCCTATAAATTTGCTTTGGAGGGCAGCAGAATGGACCACCTCTTCCTTTAGCCACTAGATGATCATGTGAATCCTTTCTTCCTCCTTCCTTTCACATCTTACCAATCTCATTCACGAGCATGAGTCATTCCTGGCACACTCTACTCAAACCATGGTAATGGGAAGACAGAACAGAGTTAGAAAAAAGTGCTCTTCATCCCTTATTAGGGAAATATAAAGAAAAACAATGAGGTACCATCTCAAAGTGTGAAGAGTAGAAACAGTCAGCTCTAGAGGGATGTGGGAAAAAAGGGATCTGGTACAGAGATATCTCAAAAGTTAGGATCTAAGTTTCCATGTAATAAAGCAATTCTACTTCTAAGCAACTATCCTAGCAGTCCAAAACAATATTAAAAAAAATTTATTTGTACTCCTAGGTTCACAGCAACATTATTCACGAGAGTCAAGCTCTGGAAACAACCCAAATGGCCCTCAAGCCAAATAATATAATTAAAATAAAATGTACGTACACCATAAGCAATATGTGAGTGACGCCAGTCACTTTAACGATACTAGTAAGGAAAGGCATGGGGGAAATGCTGGGAGTCACACTAAAGCCATTATCTAGGTGTGCAGGTGCTATCCTAGGCAGCTTAATAAGATAGTTGTCAGATTTAGTACTCTTATTAACCCTGCTTTATGAATAAGAAAACACAGGTACAAGAGAGATATGTAACTTGTACCATCCCTGGGATCTAAACTTGAATTACTGATGAGTTCATGTCCCTCACTACCTTTCAGAAGCCTACATTCCATGAAATACAAACTATACAGGGAAACAACACAGGGACAAAATAAACTCCCAGATAAGGTATAACTTAGAAGCTCTGCTGTAGCATCCAACCCATAAGGTTAGTCTCCAAGAAAAGGAAAACCTCTTAACAGCTCTCTTGCCAAAACAGGATACTTCATTTTGGTCAGGATTTCCCATTACCTTCAGTGATTCATATTCCAGCTCTGTACCTCTAATTTGTGGTCTTTCTTCTTCCTAGGGAAAATATACAATTTGGAACTTTATAAATGGTTTGATTTTAACTGTCACGGTTTTATTCTTGGGGCTATTTCCTTGCACTGCAGAGTTTTGCCCACAGTGCTTGAACCAAATGTGCTACTATATGGATAAAGACGTTCTGGGCTTCAAGGACAGTAGATACAGGGGCCAGGAAGATTGCTCCATAGTTGGTAGCCTGCCTCATGAGCAGGTGGGGGATGGGGGGAAAAGGCAGCTGGAATAGAGAAGGGATCACTAAGAAAAGGAGGGTTGGAGGAATCGATCGAGATGAGAGATGTGTGCTGAAAGTAGATAAAGGAGCAAGCATGACAACCTCTCAGTGTCTGTATTGCAAACCACAATGCCCCAAAGTAGAGAGAGAGTATGGGCAATACTGTCTTCCATGGAGGCAGGGGGAGGGTGGGAAAGGGGGGGTGATTGGTGATGGGGAATGTTCACTGGTGGAGGGATGGGTGTTTGATCAGTGTGTGATTGCAACCCAAACATGAAAGCTTGTAACTATAGGTCATGGTGATTCAATAAATTAAAAAAAAAAAAAAGGCGTTCTGGGCTGCTGGTCCATTGGGGAAGGGCGCGGAAAGCCTCCCACACCTGCGCTCTGCCACGGAGCACCAGCTCCTCCTTGCGGTCCAGCTCATCCTGCATCAGCTGCTTCTCCTGCTCCAGCTCCGTGACCCTCTTCTGGAGCTTGAGGAACAATGACATGTCGAGAGGCACTTTCTTCTCACTTGGTTCCTAAACCCCAGAAACCCAAAGATGGTTAAGAGAGTCCAGGAAATGTACAAGCCTATGAAAATTGGTGAAAATCCCACTAAAAAAAAAAAAGAGGCAGATTTACCAAGGGGAAATAAAAAGGGCTGAAGAAAACACAGCAACATGCCAAGTCCAGCTAGTACAGAGAGAAATGCCAATGACACAGTCAAGACCTACTTTCCCCTATCATATTGGCAGAGAATTAAAAGAGCAATGAGGCCATCAATTAGGAACAGTATTTCGTATGGTAAGAGTGAAGTAGTGAAAAAGCTTTTCAAAGAGGCAGGCGAGCTGTGTTTGTGAGTAGACATTCACTGCAGTGTCACTTCTGTGGATGAAGCTCTTGGGATTTGCCCCTTCAGGCTGATGCTCCCTGCCCTACCTACCCTGCCGCAGAAGAGTGAAGCCATGTGGGAGACCCAAGGGAAAGATTGCAGACACCACAGCTGAGTGTCAGGGTCACCGATAAACAACATTTGGGGAGAAGAACTGCCAAGGCAAAATAGCCAGATTAAAGCAGCAATAAACCACTGCTGTTTGAAACCACCAGAGTTCAGAATGGTTTGCTATGCCACACAGAGAAATGAAATCCGACTTTCCTGCTATAAACTAGTATTCTGCTGGAGGAATGACCAAGACCTGAAGTTAGTCACACAGGCGCAGTGCTCAGGGACTGCAGTACAGAAGCTTTGAGGGGGGCAGGAAGGTGAAGCACTCCAGAAGGACAAGCCTTGGAATACTGATCCTGTCACTTAGAAGGGATGAACTGGAAATGACCGAATTCTTGTAAGTATGAGTCCGACTCTATGACATCTATTTTTAAAGTTAACAGAATGAGATGGGAGAAATGTTTCCTTAAGTCAAACTAAAAAAATCATTCAGCAGTCAACAGATAGTTCTGACAGTTGTGCCTGAGTTACTCATTACTGACACTGATTATCACACTTGAAAGGAAGACCTGCGGATTGTGTGCATCTAACTCAGAGTCACAGGAATCTTGAATTAGAATGGCTCTAATTTAAGACTGTGGCTCTAACAGTAGCACGGTCACATTTACCTGTTGGTGACAGAAAGGGATTAAAATATATCCGACGGCAGGAAATGTGGTTCAGAGGTAGCAGAGCTCTTGCCCTGCACACGTGAGACTTAGAATTCAATTCACAACACCACCCCCCGATCCCCACCTGCACCCCTGTACCTCAGTTCTCAGTGGAATATCTTCAGTTTCTGCAAGTTCTGAGCTGAAGGTATATTCAGATTCATTGCTGCTGTGAGTAGAATCTGTTCTCTTGTGTCCAGGCTTTGGCACATTCTGCAGGACAAATAAAGTGGGTATTATGGGCACTATATAATTAAGAAAACACTGGACTAATTTCCAGATCTCAGTTTTGTCATGAGGAAAACGGGGACACTAATTATCTACAATAGCCATACTATAGTCTATCTATAAGATCTCTAATACAGGTACAAAAATCATCTATAATATTATGTTGCATAATAATATCATGCAAGGATTATATAAGTAGGACAAGCAACGAGTTTGGCACTGTGTCTGGAATATAACAACCAACCAGTCAAATTTAACTGCCCTGTAGCGAGTCACTGAACAACTCGGTGACCTATCAGTTCACCAAATTTTTCAACCTCTATTCCCCTGGCTATTTAATTCCACATGTCTGATTTTATCACCAGGCTTTCCTACCAAATCTGCATCCAGTCTCTCTATATTTGCCTGTTCTCCCATAATTCCTCCTTTGATTACTCTATTTCTGACATGTTGGGTTCTCTCCCTATTCAAAATTAATTTATCTTTACAAGTCTGCATTCCTTCACCCAATTTTCATTTCAAGTTGGCTTGACAATCCTTAGCCATGGGTCAGTATTTTTTTCACTTTTCTCTATTCTACAACTGAGGATTCTTGGAGAAAACTCCTTCTTGGTACTACGGTAATATTTTGGTACCAGGACCAATCGGGGACACTAATCTTTATCACACAGATTAGGGGTGGGCAGCTCTTTCTAAAACTTCTTGCCATTCATTTGAAGAGAATATATTTATTACAAATGGCATTACTAGCCATTATGGGTCATGGCGGTGAGCACTCTGGTTGCAGACGAATGTCAATGAAACAGTAGCCAAACACTTATCTGTTAGGAGCAAAGTTCAATCTACACTTGAAGACATTAGTCTTTTAATGATTTCTAAATTATAAGGGCTGGAGCGATAGCACAGCGGGTAGGGCGTCTGCCTTGCACACAGCCAACATGGCCGACCCGAGTTCGATTCCTCCGCCCCTCTCGGAGAGCCCGGCAAGCTACCGAGAGTATTCGATATGCCAGACACAGTAACAACAAAGTCTCCAATGGAGACATTACTGGGCCCGCTCGAGCAAATCGATGATCAACGGGAGGGCCTTTACTTTACTTACTAATTGGGGGCCACACGAGCTGTGTTTGTAGCTTGTTCCTGGCTCTGTGCTCAGAGATAACTTCTGGTGGTACTGAGGGGACCAGATTTAGTGATTGGGATGGAACTGGAGTCAGCTGCAAGCAAGGCAAGTGCCCTAACCCTCTAACTTTATATCTAGCCCCTAACCCTGACTTTAAAAAATTCTCTATAAGCAAACGTTTCTGCAAAAACTATGATTTTGATTCCATCTGAAACTAGGAAATGAGACTAGTGAACTATTAAATAGGCAGCAAACAACAGCCAGTCTTCTATGTTTTCTTCCCCTTTGTACTGGCCATTTTGTTACTCAAAAGAAATGACAATGAGTCACACGAGGTAGGTTTCAGGCTTGGAACTCAGAAATCAAGTGGGTTCACTGATGGGCTGCACCTCTCCTTTCCACAGCCCTGTGGGACCAGGAGGGACTGGGCAGTGACTCGCTCAGCAGGAAGTTCTGTTAAGTCTGGGGGTGAAGGCCGTCACAGGAAGAGATCCAGAGACCCACCAGGCTGGCACTCTTTTCAGTCTGGTAATTCACTGACATCGCTGTAATATGCTCAGATTATGCTCAGATAGTGATACAGTTGCCAGCACATGTTTCTCTCATTTTATTTTCTGGGGTTCAAAGGCAGTAATATTAAAGAATTTACAATGTTCGGTACAATAGCTAAGACATGGAAATAAGCTAAACATGTCTGTTTTTGTATCTTTGTTTTACCTGGTTAACTGCCACATTTACTTGACATCAATAATTTATTTTCCCAATCTTACATCTGAACTTCTCAAGTAACTGGCATTCTTAAAAATGCCCAATGGGGCACAAACCAAACTGACCACAGTGCTAGTCTAGTTATCCAGTAAAGTAAAAGCACACTCAAGAATTAAACACTGGGAGAATATAACAGTACAGACAGACGAAAAGGACCTCTCAAGACAGCTCAGAATGAGAGGATGTGAAGAAGAAAAGGTTTAAAAGGGCAGAATATATTATAGAAAATAAGATAAGAATTAATTAGGGTCCTTCAGACATGCCAATTATAAGAACAATAGTGATCTACTTCAAATTTCTCTATGTTACATATAAATTAGGGCAGAATGAGGTTTTACGTAATGTGTTAACAACATCCTTGAGATAAGTTTGTATTATCTGTAAGGTGAAACATTTATTTTGTGAATAATCTTTCTTATTTTTTAAAAAAATTATCATTGGTTTACAAAGTTATGCAAATTTCAGGAATATAGCTCAATAAATGCAAACATCCCAATCATAACCAAGGTTCCAGTACCTCTTACTGCTATCAAATTCACCCTTTCTACCTGTTGCTCTCACCTCATTGCCTTTTTTTTTTTTTTGCTTCTTGGACATGGGAATAAGCTAAACATCTAGCAAAGGATGAGTGGATAAAGATGTACAGACACTGACTGATGAAGGGTTTGGTGCTGGAATACTGTGCGCTAAACTTCAAATCAAGAGGAACTTGATGACTTTGTAATTCATGGTGATTCAATTAAAAAAAAAGAAGATATAGGCTATATATACACAATGGAATTCTTCCTGCTCAGCTAGTGTTAAATGATGAAATCTTGCATTTTGTGACAGCATAGGTGGAACTTGAAGAGATTATGTTATACGAAATAACTCAGGAAGAGAAAGGCACAAACAAGATGGTTTCAGTCACAAGTGGTAAAGAAGCAAAGCAAATGGACTAAAACGATCTTTGTAACAACATTTCTGGGTCAGGCCATTGTTTAATGGTGGGTGCATAGCTCCCATGTGTGAGGCCCGGGATCATTGGATCCCCAGCATGTTACTTTCCCTTATACAGCGGCCACAGCAACAACTACAGCTATACTCAGCAATGCTAGGGGAGGTCACGCAGTGCCAGGCATTGAGTTAAGGGCCTTATATATGCCAGAAATGTGCTTTATTAATTCAGCTATCTCCCCAGGGTCCAAAGCATTTAATTGATCCACAAGTATTCCCGGCCATTTGTGTAATTAAGTTACCTTCATTTTATTTTTAAAAGTTATTATTTATGTTTTGTTTGATTTTAGGAAATCACACCAAGCAGTGCTCAGGGTTTATTCCTGGCTCTGTGCTCAGGAATCACTCCTGGCAGAACTTGGGGGGCCACATCGGGTGCCAGGGACTGAACTCAGGCTGGCCAGTGCAAGGTAAGAGCATGCCTACTGTACGGCTGCTGTGGGCCCGTTAGGTTACTTTCCAGCTGATACTTGTCAGGAACAAGAGAGGGAGCAGGAACTCCATTTCCTGACATCAGGTAAGTAGAAGAGGGAGAGTATACAGGACTACTAAAAGCACAAAAGATAATGGCAGATACGAAGGAGTCAGGAATTTATCATTAACAGGGACTGAATTTTCTGTGTGTGTGTGGGGGGGGGGGGGCGGTTTGCAGGGAGACAAATAAACCAGACAAGCAGTCTATCACTGAGCTGCACCTGGGCCCTGAATTTTCTTTTTGTAGGTATGTTATGTACCTTCAAATCATACTAAAGCCTCGCTGAGGAACGTTCAAGTATATCAATATTGCTTGACATACAAGTCTTACAACATGTTATCCAGTAAATAAAACTCAGCTTTATATATTAGCTTCCTCCCTCTTTTTTTTCGCCAGCTGTGCCCATGAGTTATAACTCGTGTTTTTATACACTAAGCTTAAAAAGATTCATGGCTTTTATTTTTTTTTTTTGTTCTTTAAATACCTCATTTTGAAGTCTTCCCAGATTGAAGACCAATGCACAGTAATACAAAATGATCGCAAACACAGCAGGCATTCTGGTATCCCAACTGAAGTGGCATTTCTCATAGTAATTTTCTTCTAACTATGATCTCTCTTAGTTTTTTGTTTTTTTTTTAAGTTTTATTAGTGAAACACCATGAGGTACAGTTGTAGACTTACAAATTTTTGTGCTTGGGTTTCAGTTATATAATGATTGAATACCCATCCCTCCATCAGTGCCCATTCTCCACCACCACATGACTTTTATTTTAATGTTGTACATCTAAAACCTACATATAATCCATGTGACTTTACTGAAGTATTTAAAAATTCATATAATTTCTGGATTTGCCTTAACATAATCCAATTTCCAGAGTCAGAGATGTAGCTCAGTGACAGGGTACATTTATGAGAACTGGGGTTCTACCTCTGTAATAACAATAACAACAGAAAATAATAAATATAATCAATTGGATAAGGTGAATGGAAGAGAATTGTTTTGATGATCTGAAATTGATAAGTATGCATGGATTTAAGCTATTATTTAATCTAATTTTGTATTTGTCTAAGTTTTTCATAAAAATAAAGCAAGATTATTTGACTCACCACCATCAGAGTCATTTCTTCTTTGAGGTCATCGTATCGCTCTTCTAAGCGACTGAACTCATTCAGAAGGTTCTGATACCTCAGCCTTTCATCATTAAGATCGAGTTCCAGTTGTTTTGTTTCTTCTACTAACTTCTTCTCCATCGTCTCTGAAAGAGGGAAAAACATGCAGAAAAGGCTCCACATAAAGGAATGCAAACATGTACTCTAACTTCCAGTTTCTCTGCATGGGGTTTTACTTTTAGCACTGATATGAAGAGTACTCAGCAGAGTATCTTGGTAACAAGCATCACAACTCCAAAATGAAGTAGCTTAATTATAACTATAACCATCAACTGTCTTCTATTGCTATAGACAATGTCAATAGTTCATTTACTAGTTACAGTATGTCCTTGATAAATGTTCACTAGTCATTATCATGAAATTTAAACAAAAATTCTTTTGGACTGGGGCTGGAGCGATAGCACGGTGGGTAGGGCGTTTGCCTTGCACGCAGCCGACCCGGGTTCGATTCCCAGCATCCCATGTGGTCCCCTGCGCAACACCATAAGTAATTCCTGAGTGCAGAGCCAGGAGTAACCCCTGTGTATTACCAGCTGTGACCCAAAAAGCAAAAAATAAATAAATAAAAATAAATTAAAAAAAAATTTTTTTTGGACCACACCTGGTGATGCTCAAGGGTTACTCCTGGCTCTGTACTCAGGAATCACTCCTGGAAGTATTTGGGAGACCATATACAATCCTGGGAATCAAGCTCAGGTCAGCTGTGTGCAAGGCACACATTAGCCACCACACTATCTCTCTGCCCTTTTTGGGGGGTGCAGGGTGGGGGGGGAGGCAATCAGTGTGGTGCTCAGGGGTCATTCCTGATGGGTTCAGGGACCATACGGGGACTAAAACCTGTGTTGGCTGCATGCAAGCCGTACCTGCTGTACTATCTTTCAGGCCTCTATCATGAAACTTTTATAACAATTTTTTTATTCTAATAGTATTCTTTCAGGTTATTTATAAAGTGTCCTTGGTCGAATTAGTTTATGCTCCAAAGAAATCAGAGATATGCCTGAACTCCTGAGACTTCTCAGCTATCTGTATTCTCTCTCTCCGTTCGCCTCCTTCCCCAGGAGCTGTTGTCTCACAGCTCTGAACTCCCTGTTGGCTGTTTCTCCCAGCTTCTATTCTGCAGGGGTCCCGCACCTGGTCATGTGTGCCATTTACCAGCTGGTCGTCTCCTGTGTGCTGCCGGGGAACCCTGGCCCGCCCATTCAGCCCTCACTGTGCTGCCTGCTCAACTCACACATGACACATCATCTGCACTCTGGTCACTAGCCCGAACTGGAAATAGAAGTCAAGTGAAAAAGCCTACAGTTGTGGCTATATATTTTAACACAGTGAGCCATGCTGCCAACATGGATGACAGGAAACTTTCTAGCACCGAGTTTCTCTTACGTGAATATCTACGGCTCACTCTAACCGCCCTGATCACTGCTATGGCTCCATTTTGGTCTGCAGGGTCCCGTCACCACTGATTTTCTGATGCCCACCATAGTGTGCCCTTGTGCAAGGCTCTAATACAAAAATTTATAAAGAATAAAGAATTTCTTCTGTCTGTAACATTTATAAATTGCCTCTTACTTTCACCAGTTTGCAGAAGTTGTCCGGCAATTTTTCTAAGGCAAATTCACTATTATTTCTTAATTTCATCTGTTAGTTTCAAATAGCATTTTCTATTCTGAAAGTATTCTCATCATTCTGGACAGTTCCATTGCTTTCTGCAACCTAGCAATTTCTTTTAAGGGAAAAGTGACTTTTCCCTTTATCTCCTCCTTACTTTGTTTTCCGGCTACTTTTCTTTACCTTACTCCTTACCTGTTACCATCTAAAGTTTCATTTCACATTTCGTTGACTTTTCTATACACTGTGCCCTTCAATGGGAAGAAACATGCAATTTAGGAAAAAAAAAACCAAACAGCACTATGGCTTTACTTTTTACTAAAAAGTATTTTGACTGAGAGTCTGATGTTTATAATACTGTGAATGGTTTCCATGCACATAATTCCAATACTACATCCATTACCTGTGTACCCACCTGTCTCCCCCAAGGACCCCAATGCCCACCCCCTCAAACCAACCCCTACTCTGCCCCACACCAACAATTTGTGTGGGTCACTTCTCATATTGTGTGCCTTTGGACATCTGTTGCTACCTTAAGTCCTATCTATGAGAGATTACTCTGTAGCTACCCCTTTCCTTCGGACTTACTTAGTGTGATAGCCTGTCTTCTATCCATGCTGTGGCAAGCTGCATAATTTTGTTCTTTCTTGAAGCTACAGAGTATTTCACACTTCTTGATCCATTAATCTGCAGCTGAACATTTGGGTTGTTTCCTTATCTTGGCTATTGTACTAAGTGTAGCAATGAACATAGGTGTGCACAGCTCCTTTCAAATTAGTGTTTTTGTATTTTGGGGATAGATGAAAAGAAGTAGTGTCGCTGGTTCATATGGTAGTTCCATATCAACTTTCTGGATAGATTTCCGTATTGTTGTCCAATAGAGGCTGAAGCCGACAACATTCTGACCAACAGTGGATGGGGGTTCTGTTCTAATCACAACACCACCAATACTAGCTGTTTCCAAACTTTTTGATATGTGCCATTCTCATAGGTGGGAGATGACGTCTCATTATTGTTTTGACTTGCATTTCCCTAATCATGAGTGAAGAAGAGTACTTTTTTCATAACAGCATCGTAACTTTAATCGAGATAGATAAGACTCACGCTTTCAGAATGCTTTATCCTGAGACTTTAGCTGACATTCCAAGCTTAATACTCTTAATCACTGTTTTCATTAATTTCTCTCAAGTTAACAGGTACTATTTCGATCTCAACTTCATCATTAATAATAACATAGCAGTTAATTTTATCACTTCATCTTAAAATTAACAAAGCATCTCAAAACATTAGAAAATTAGAAAACATATGTTCTTTTGAATACTAGATCAAAATGATAATATCTGGCTAATTCTTTTAATATATCATTGTTTTGTTTTGGGAGGGCCACACCAAGCTATGCTCAGCACTTATTCCTGGTTCTGTACTCGGAGGTCAATCCTGGTGGTGCTCAGGGGTTCACACACCATGCCAGGATCAAACTGGGGTCAGCTGAATGCAAAGCCAAGTGCCTTAGCCCCTGGACTACATCCCTGCTTCACTATTTCTTCAGCCCCTCTTACAACATTTTAAGCTTGAAGTCTATGTTGTCTGATATAAGTATGGCTACCCCATCTTTCCAAAGGGAATTGTTTGCCTGAAATAAAGTTTTCAAGATTTGACCTTGAGCTGTGTTTGCTCTGACTATTAAAATGTCTCCTGTAGGCAGCAGAAAGTTGGGTTATACATCCCGAAACTGCTTCCATTTAACTTTTACTATCAGGTCAGCTTTACAGTCTCATGATTAAATCTCAGAAGAGATAACTATCTGCAAGAATTCATGGAATTCTCTGGCTAAGAACTCTGGGGCGCCCTTGGGAAGGAGGGAGTGAGACCCTACTCTGCCCCGGCAGCCAAATTCACAGCCCAGGAGTTGCTGCTATGCCCACGCTGGACTCTGCCTCCTCATGATCACACTTTGCAGAAATGACAAACTGCTGAAAATTTCAGGTTAACTGGGCTTTTTGGCTGAGAACTCTGGGGATTTTTTTTTCCCAGAGTGGGGGGACAGACAGCTACCTTACTTCCTGAAAGTCCTGGCAACCACACCGACATTCCACAACTGCCATCATGTAAATATTCTGGAGTTTCTGGAGTGTGCATCTACAAACGTGGCCAAACAACACCTCCAAACCCCATAAGACTGACATCCCAGTCAAAGCACACTGAAGAAGATGGGAAAGTAAGAGAAACCAACTGAGCTCAGTTCATAAAAACAGTAACACAGAAGACTCAACTAGCAACAACAGCTTAGTAAATCCTCAAAGATTTAATTTCCCCTGCTGTCACAAGTTTTCTTTTTACTGAATTATTTTTTTTTTATGATTCAATTAGCCATTTGTAACAAGCAATATAAAATAAATTACTTCGGGCCTACTAAGGGGGAAGGCATGGGGGTGGCTGGGAAAATGAAATTGAATGTTGGAGGTCGCACTGGTTGTGGGATTGGTGTTAAATATTGAATGTCTATAACAAATGCATTATGAATAACTTTGTAATCCAAGGTGTTTGAATAAAGTGCAAAAAATTAAACAAAATAAAAATGAAAGTTGGGTTAAATTTCTTATCTACTGTGCCACTCTGTGTCTTTTGGTTGGTAACATCTGGGCCATTGACATTGAATGGGATTACTGACATAAAGGAGTTTATGTCATTATTAATGTTACCATTCTGTATAAGTTATGCATGTTTGTGAAGTCTGGATTGTCTTAATGAAGTCCCTTGTATCGCTCCTAGCAAAGTTGGTTCCACCGTTATGAAGTCCTGAGCTGTTGCTCATCTGTGAGGTTTTGTACTGTTCCTTCGATCTTGCCTAGACAGTCTCACTTGATAAGTCGGCTGGGAATCTTAAGGAAGCTCCTCTGTATATCATTTTCTTCTTTGATCTTGATGTTTTCAATATCCTCTGTCTTTCTTTGGCTTTTATCATTCTGGTTATGCTGTCTTAGAACATTATTATTTGGGTCTCATTTGGCTGAAATCTTTAAGGCCTCTTGAATCTTGGTGCATGCACTCCTCAACTCTAGGACTTTCTCAGCTAGGATTTCATTGACTAATGACCTTCTCTGAAATTCCCTTCTTTCTCTGGGACTCTGATGATTCTTGCGTTGTTCCTCTTGAACTTGTTCCACAGTTCACTCATGTGCTGTTCATTGATTCCGAAACTTCTTTTCCCATCTTCTGAGGTTTTCTAGAGATTTTCTGCATTTCTTTTTGGAATGCAATGACTTTGTTCTCAGCTGCTGTTATTCTGCTGCCAAAGTCTTCCAACTGAGGGTTTTTTTTTTTTTTATTTCACTTACCAACTCTTCAGTTCTGTCATTTCTAAACTTATATTTTCATATACTTACACCACTCTTTTTTTTTTTTTAAACTCATTAAACATCCTCAGCAGTCACATCTGAGTCAACTCTATGGCCTATAATCTTTGCTCTGTCAGTCTGGTGGGGTTCTACGCTGCCTCCCTTACCACCCATGCCCCATATCATAAGTTCATCAATGAATTCAAGTAAAATGTTTAAAGCACTTTACAAATTTACTGGAATCTATAAATCTGTTGATGACAGCATCAACATAAAAAGTAAGATTTTAGTTCTAGGGGCCAGAGGAACAGCACAGGAGTAATTTTCTGCTCTTGCGTATGGTAACCAGGTGGGACCACACATAGTCCCTCGAGCACGACCAGGGATATGATCCCTGAGCATGGAGCCAGGAGGAATAAACCCTGAGAACAACCAAATGTGCCCTCCCAGCTGAAAAAAAAAAAAAAAAAAAAGAAAAAGAAAAACTTAGCTCCAAACAAAAGTAGCAATGCACTGTAGCACTGTCCTCCCGTTGTTCACTGATTTTCTCTAGCGGGCCCAGTAATGTCTCCATTGCAAGACTTGTGACTTTGTTTGGCATACTAAACAAAGGTACTTACAAAACTTTGATCTCATGCTAACTAGAATTGTATCCCTTTGCCACCGGACCTGACCCTGTGCAGGCTGTTTCACTCAGGGAACCCCAGAAAGAGAGGGTGAGAGCCCTCCCCGACCCAAAGGACCATGCCCCAGCAGACAAAAACCTCCCAACTCTACATGCTAGGGCCAAGACTCACGTACGAGTGAACCTATTCCTGGACCGCATGGTCACAAATCATAAGACAGTCCCTACCCATTCTCCAAGAGCACCACACCACATTTGATGGGGTTAAAATAGTAGGCAACCAATCATAGAGGGAAATATATATATATATTTATATATATATGCACATATACATATTTTCTGATATATATATGAAAACTCGCATCACTCAACTTTTTTTTTTCTTTTTGGGTCACACCCTGCGATGCTCAGATGTTACTCCTGGCTCTGCACTCAGGAATTACTCCTGGTGGTGCTCGGGGGACCATATGGGATGCTGGGATTTGAACCTGGGTCGACCGTGTGCAAGGCAAACACCCTACCCCGCTGTGCTATTGCTCCAGCCCCATCACTCAACTTTTAACAACATGTAAGTGATATACTAAAGAATGTCTTAATGGCCCCTGCCAAAATAGAACAATCTTCACACTGTTTCCGGATACTTTTTAGTAGCATTTTCAGTGGTTTTCCATAACAGACAATACAAAGCATATTATTTCGGTTATGCCTCAGGGAATGGGGCTTGGAATGCAAACATCACAAATATGGTGGTGGGAAGGTGTAATGGTGGTGGGATTGGTGTTTGAATATTAAATGTAATCAAATATTGTGAACTTATAAAATAAAAAAATTAAAGAAAAAAAACTTCTAAAAAACATCAGGACGCTAAATATCATTGAAATATGGTACCCCATGGTCTGGATGCTGGAGAGGTAGCAGCAGGGAAGAGAAAGGATCCTAGTTTTTCCTGAAAGGAGCCATCCCACCCCACCAGGGGGCGCTAGACCCACCTGGAGCTTTCTGTTGATTCTATTAAACAAAGATCACTTATCACTTAATCACTTAATCCCCGTTATTCATCGATTTATTCGAGCGGGTGCCAGTAACGTCTCCATTCATCCCGGTTGCGTGCTAGCGTAGCCCAATGGTATCTGTTCGTTTTAGGAACATGTAGAGCCTGAAACCGATCATTTAGGGTCTTGACGAAGAAGTCTGACCATCTTATAGGTGGGCGTCCACGTGATCTTTTGATGTCTCGTGGAATCCAATCAGTAATGGCTCTAGTCCAGCGGTTGTCTGTAAACCTCATTACATGTCCAGCCCATCTGATTTTTGATGTCTTGGCAAATGAGACAGCGTCTCTGATTCTTGAGCGTTGACGAAGATCAGAACTCCGGATTCTATCTCTCATTTGAGTGAATCGTGATATTCCAAGCATAGTTCTTTCGATTCCTCTTTGAGAGACCCGAATAGCGTTCTCATCCTGTTTTCGTAGGGTCCAGGTCTCTGAGGCATATGTTAATGCAGGAAGAATAGTGGAATCAAAGAGATGTGCTCGTAGTTGGAGGTTCTTTGTCCTTTTAGTTATTTCTTCAATGCTCTTGAAGGCATTCCAAGCCGCTCTCTTCCTCCTGCGCAACTCAGGTGCCAGGTCATTCATCATGTTGATTTCTCGACCTAAGTATATATAACTGTTGCATTCGGAGATGGTGGTTCCGTTGAGAGCGAATGGAGCGTCAGGAACAAGGCTGTTTCTCATAAACATTGTCTTCGTAAGATTCAGCTGTAGTCCGACCTTTCCACACTCACGGTCAAAGTCCGCCAGCATTTGTGCCGCTTGGCTGATGTTTGGTGTTATTAGAACGATGTCATCAGCAAAGCGGAGGTGGTGTAGTTGCCGACCATCTATCTTCACTCCCATGTTTTCCCATTCTAGTCGTCGCATGATGTTCTCGAGGGTGGCACTGAAGAGTTTTGGTGAAATGGTATCACCCTGCCGAACCCCTCTCTTGATATGGATGATTACTTCTTTGTAGAATGGTGAGATCTTGGTAGTGAATCCGCAATAGAGCTCACGAAGTATCCTGATGTATTGAGTTTGTACGCCCTGATTGGCTAGGGCTTCCATGACCGCTTCCGTCTCAACAGAATCAAGGCCTTCTTTAAATCAATGAACGTTAGACAGAGCGGCATCTTGAACTCCCGAGATACCTCAATGAGCTTGGTTATTGTGTGGATATGGTCGATGGTACTGAATCCTTTTCGGAATCCAGCTTGTTCACATGGTTGTCCTTCATCTAGTGTTCTGCTAATCCTATTCAGGATGACTCGAGTGAATAGTTTGTAGATGACAGACAATAGGCAGATTGGGCGATAGTTGCCAATGTCGTGGGTGTCTCCTTTCTTGTATAGTAGTACAGTCTTGCTGGTTTTCCATTGGGATGGAACCTTGCATTCAGACAGGTAGCGTGTGAAGAGTCGAGCTAATGTATTGATGAGTACTGATGGTAAGTTCTTCAGGTGTTCAGGTCTGATCTTGTCTGGGCCAGGTGCTTTTTGTTTCTTTACCGACGAGATGGCATGTTGGATTTCGGAAGGGAGAACATTGGGAACGACATATCCATCATGTGGTATGTGGTATGTGGGCAAGTGGATGTGGCTATTAAAGAGATCTGAGTAGAAGTCATGAATAATCTTCTCCATCCAAAGATGTCTTTTTATTTTTTATTTTTTAATTTTTTGCTTTTTGGGTCACACCCAGCGATGCACAGGGGTTACTCCTGGCTCTGCACTCAGGAGTTACTCCTGGTGGTGCTCAGGGGACCATATGGGATGCTGGGAATTGAACCCGGGTCGGCAGCGTGCAAGGCAAACACCCTACCCGCTGTGCTATCTCTCCAGCCCCAAAGATGTCTTTTTAAAAACAAAACAAAAAACCCCAGAATCGTATGCCTTACCTGTCATCTCCTTAGCTTGCTCCACAATACGTTGATTGAGGGTCTCTTTTTCCTGTTTCAGTAAAGTATTTTCTTCCTTCAGATTTGATACCAGCTACAAAAATCAAACAATAATCTGAGATGACTACACAGAGGAAGAATAATACAACATCTGAAGACCATACTGTGTCTCTCCTCTCTTCCACATCTCAGGGCCTCATTTCTTGGTATAGCTACATTCTCTCACCATCCAAACACGGCTCAAACATTGTACCTCCCGAGAGACTTCATGGAAACTACCTCCAATTAAATGTCTCTTCTCCGCAGTGCTACAGGACATTTCTATAGCCCTTATTAGGGATTGACTTCTTCCCAAATAAACTAGAGGAAACTGATGATTGCTGTTTAGCAAATGGCCAGCACCGAGGAAGCATTTGCTCATGAAATGGTAAGGCCTCCTCATCTTAACACTCTAAATACATGCTTACAGGATTCAATGAGAGAAAGATTCAGGGGTTCAGAAATATATGAAGGACATTTGACTATGGAAATTAACATACGACTGTCTCAAGTGCCCTGATGTTTGTATGGACAAAGAGATATTCCCTTTAGTCTTTTAAAAGCATTGTAGGTTTGCAAACTAGTCATATGTATCCTGTTTAAATAAACCAATGCCTTAAAAAAGTATGAACATCCTTAATGTCAGAATTGCACAGTTAGAAATGATTAAAATGGTAAATTTTAAATTATGAATATTTTACCAAAGTGCTTTTTTTTTTTTTTTTAAGAAATCACTGACCTCTAACTTTATAGTTCCTGGTTGGATAAAAATTCCCAGGAGGTAAAATCAAAACTAAAGGTAACTTTGCAAAATACGTAATTTTACTCAATGTTTGGAATAAAATGTGTGCTTGTGATGAGTGAACAGCCACTTACTTTTTCTGAAAATATACTTAATGAACTCTGAGAGCGATTCTTTTCATAAGTGAAAGCACCAGGAGTCTAGAGACAGGAAATGAGGCCCTAGCACTGAGGGGCCCAGGAGGCCACACCAGAGATGACAACATGGTGTCACTCAGAAATCGGTCCAGGGGTGTTCACTTTGATGGTCCATCTCTGCCTCTGCCCACAATGGCTTTGGAGACAGCTCTCAATATAAAGACCCCATATCTCTGTGGGCTCGAGAGAAACTTCTCTTGGTCAGACGTGCACAACCAAGAACTAATGGTACCCGTGGAGCTTTTACGAAACAAACCTAACCCACGTTCCCAGAGTTAGGCAAGTGTTGTTTTAAAATTTTTTTTTCTTTTTTTGGGTCACACCCGGTGATGCACAGGGGTTATCCCGGGCTCATACACTCAGAAATTACTCCTGGCAGTGCTTGGGGGACTATATGGGATGCTGGGAATCAAACCCGGGTCGGCTGCATGCAAGGCAAATGCTCCAGCCCCTTAAAATTTATTTTTTATATTGTCCAGAAGAGAGTGGGAGATAGATGAAAGGGCTAAAGTTCAAGCTTTACATGTGGGAGACACAGGCTTGAGCCCTAGGACCGTGTGGTACACCACTCCCCTTGTGTGGGTCCCCCAAAGATATAAAACAAAAATCTTCCAGAAAATTCGGTATATATTTGACTGGAAACACACTTCTATCAAACCTTTGTTTCTAACTTTAGAAACAGCTGTCATAGTGACACCAAAACATTTCACTGTGGCAGCTATATCTAGTCAGAAAGAGCCATTTCCATGGCTCTCCTATCACTAGACTCCACACAAAAGAACCGAGAGTATGAAAAGCAAAAGACAATCAAATGAAAAGAAATAAAGTTGAATCTGCTCGTGTGTGGTACTGTTAGGCCAGAAAGATACGAATTTCATTTGGTTTTTGTTTGTTTTTGGATTTTGGGGGGGTCATACCCAGTGATGCTCAGGGTTTATTCCTGATTCTGGCATTGCTTGGGGGACGATATGAGTTGCCGGGGATTGAACACCAGTCGGCTGTATGCAAGGCAAATGCCCTACCCACTGTACTATCTCTATAAGGTAAGGTAAAGGTAAAGGCCCTCCCGTTGATCGTCGATTTGCTCGAGCGGGCCCAGTAACATCTCCATTGGAGACTTTGTTGTTACTGTGTCTGGCATATTGAATACTCTCGGTAGCTTGCCAGGCTCTCCGAGAGGGGCGGAGGAATCGAACTCGGGTCGGCCAGGTTGGCCGCTTGTAAGGCGAACGCCCTACCGCTGTGCTATCGCTCCAGCTATGGCCCCTCAATATGGCTTTGAAGAAAGAAGACAACGTTTTTAAGATGCTTAAATAATTGACAGATTTAGAGGAATGTGAAAATATCTAGAGATTCAAAATATCAACAACCACAAGCCACGAAAAGTTCTTAAACCTTGACTATTCCTTTGAAATGCATATATGAATTGTTACTTGCTATGACAAAATTATTTGTTTTAATGTAAGGATGTTTAATTAAAATTAATTAAAGGCCCTCCCGTTGATCTTCGATTTGCTCGAGCGGGCCCAGTAACATCTCCATTGGAGACTTTGTTGTTACTGTGTTTGGCATATCGAATACGTCACGGGGTGCTTGCCAGACTCTGCCGTGAGGGCGAGATACTCTCGGTAGCTTGCCGGGCTCTCCGAGAGGGTCGGAAGAATCGAACTCGGGTCGGCCATGTTGGCTGCGTGCAAGGCAAACGCCCTACCGCTGTGCTATCTATCACTCCAGCCCTGCTGGAGGATGTTAAGATCAACTTGTAACAAGAGGTAGAGACAGAAGCATCAGAATGACCTGATTGTGCTGGTTTTTCCTAACTTCCCTAGTCTCCATGTATAGACTCCTGTTTCCATATACTGAGTATAGCTCTGCTGGACATATGAAAAGATAAATTAAGACCTTGACTACCAAAGAATTTTATTAGGGCCTCATGATAGCAGCTGTTAACATTTTTTTTTTATGACATCTTATTGTCTTATTTCTACTTTGGACAAACTGGCAGGCTATCGAATGTAGCCTGCCCACAGGGCAGAGTCTGGCAAACTCCCCGTGGCGTACCAAATATGCCAAATACCAGTAACAATGATGGGTCTCACTCTCCTAAATAGCCTTGAATATAATCTCAGGGCTAGGATGAAAGAGACGTTACTGGGGCCTGCTCGAGGCAATCGACGAATAACAGGATGATGAATGAATGAATGAATGATAGCAGCTGTTAACATTCAGAAGTCGCGTCTAGTTAAGTATACTGTGATTCCAGCCAGAATGTTACAGCCATCTAAAATTGCTTTATTTTCATTAACATGGAAAAAATTGGGTCAGAATCATGGTATAGTGGGTATGGACATTTGCCTTGCATACAGCTGACCCAGGTTGAAGTCCTGGCACCCATATGTTCCCCAGAGCCTGCCAACAGCAATCCTTGAGAGCAAAGCAAAGAATAAGCTATGAGCACTGCCAGGTGTGCAACAAAAGCACAAAGAAAAAAGATGGAAAAATTGGTGGGCTCACTGAATATTCATTATTTTCCCCAATAAGCCTTAAGTAGAGGTATTTTTATGAATATTTAATACAGCTCAGAGCCAAGAAATCTCTCATTGGTATTATTCACTGACTATGTGAGAGAAATGCATGGGAAATGCAAATTGTGAACTAATTAAAATTTGTATTTAACCTACATTTCTAACCATCACCGAGTCACATGAACAGGTCAAGAAACCAGACTTTCCCCCCGTGAAAGCACACAGAGAAAATGTGAACATTAGTTGCTACCTTCTCAGTTTCTTGTTTGTATTGGTCTGCGTGTTCTTCAATGGATTTTTTCTCTGACTGGGTTCTTTCCAGGTCTTTCCGGAGCTTGGCGATTTCCTCCTGCAGACTCAGAACCCGCCCGGTGGCAACCTTCGCTTCCTCTTCACTGAGCTGAAGACGCTCTAAGTCACTTCTCAGTTTCTCAGTCTCAGAGTTGTAGACGCCTTCCAGATTGGTCAGTTTCTCCATGAGGCATTTGTAGTCTTTGTTCTTGAAACATACACAAGTAACAAAAAGTAAATATTCATACACACCATCAAATTGATTTAGTGAGAAAACTATACGGTATTACACACTTATGCAATATCATCATAGCATTAATAGCACCTAACTCAAATACTAAATAGATAAATATTGGTTGTTGTGTGATACATTGCTAATCACACAACTAATACCCACCTAGTTTTACAAAGAAAGAATATGCACAATTACTTCTATTTTACGTGATGAACAACAGATATGTTCTCATAATCACAAGATAAATCACCACCATAAACTCCTCACTTGACTCTTAATCCAGAAACAAATATTTATTTGCTCTCAAAAACAGATTAGCGTTAAAAAGCTACTCTGTTAGATAGGATAGCTATGTTCTATCCAGGTGATGCCACAAAACAGCCTCCAAATCACAAGTTCCTTAACATCTAAACTTACTGTCTCAAAACTTTTCATCCCAATTCAGGAAAGCTCTCTGGTAATCCCCATTTCATTCTAAATTTTGTTTTTATTTTCGCCCTTTTGCATCTTTATGGCAGTTGAATCTGCGAACTACTGAATCTCTTAAAAATCAAAAATCTTTGTTTCTGTAAATACAATGTATCTTCCTCAGAACCAACAGAAGCCCGGACATCTGAACACTTCTACACTCTCAACGTTACACAGCTCATCTGCCAAAGGACGAGCAGATGGTACGAAATGGACAAAAGTGATGAAGGAACTTTGTAGGGTGCATTAAAGGTTCGGAGCATTTATAACTCTGGCCGGGACCTCAAAAGTAAATCTCCTGCCTTACAATTGTAATTGGGCCCACGAGTCTGTCACTACTTTCATTTCACTTTTTCACTAGGACTAAAAGGTCAAGTGCAGGGCAGATAAGGAGGGAACAATGCCCGTGCACTTCTTCAGGCACACTTCACACCCGCAGCTCTTGCCGAGAACGCACCTGCTCGTCGACTTTGCGCTGCAGCTGCATGATCTTGTTCTCCATCCCGATGTGGAGCTTCTTGTAGCGCTCCACCGAGCGGGCCTCGATCTTGAGCTTCTTCAGCTCACGCTTCGCCATCATGCGACGGAAGCAACACTGAAGGTAGATGATGGCATGCATGCTCCTTTTGTAGTGGACGCGAGCCAGCCAGCCTCGGACCCGCTTCTGAATGATGACCACTTTGTGTTCACGGAGAATCTACGGAGAAAGAAAAGGGCATGTCAGACCCTGGACGAAACTCTAGGCTCGTCTCTCCACTTCGGGATCTCAGGCTAGGCATATTAGCAAAAGGAAGAGACACAAACAAATCAAAGTAACAGCATGGCTTACAGATTACACAAATGAAAAATAACTTTCAGACGGGATCTGAGGGCAGAAAGATAGCAGAGGGTGAAGGTGCTGCCCTCTGTATGGCTTATTCCATTTTTATCCCAGGCAACATGGTCACCTGGGCTCTGTGTACGTATCAGAGAAAATCCCCTGGCCACACTAGGCGTGGCCCAAAAACAAAAAATTAAAAAGGCTTATTTGCAACAACATACATAATACCTCAGGCATATATTTTCCCCCCACAGATCAAACGGGGGTTGGAGCAATAGCTGACTGACAGGGCTGGGTCCCATACCTTGCTTGTGTGAGGCCCCAAGCTTGATTCCATCACCCTAAGGTAGGCCATGCAATGTCAAGGTGGCCCTGATGGCACCAAGCACCACTGGGCCCAAGCAGCACTGCATCGCCAGGCAAAGCATTGGGACAACTGGCCAGTTGACAAAGTTATCACCAGGAGTGATGGTCTGGATCCCTAAACATTGCATAATAGGTATTGCCCCCAACGTAAAATTAGCCATTTAGGTAAAAAGAAACCAAATTACTGAAAGGCACATAATTTTTAAAAGTAGAATTATCCTAGGGTAAAATTCTTTTCTGGCATGACTTCTATTAGCAATAGATGATTACCTAAAAAATGAACATTACCTGGCACCCTGTGAATCAGGTATAAGCATATTTATATCCTTATATGCTCTTAAGCCAAAAAGACTCACCCACTATCCTGTGTTTTCTGTTTGGGGTTGGGGGACTGGGGGTTAAACCACATCCTGCTGTGCTCAGGGCTGGCTTCTGATTCGGAGCTCAGGTATCATGACTGGAGGGTCTTGGGAGACCATATGAGGTATCAGGGACTGAGTCCAGGTGGGTCCCATGCGAGGCAGGCTCCTTCCCCACTGCTACTGCTCCAGCCCTGGCCCCTTACTGTCCTCCACCTCCAAAACCAGCAGGCTCAAGTGGCGGGCCTTGTGTCAGGGCATTCGTTGCAAAGTTTGTAACCGGTTTATTAATTTTTATGCCACAATAAACAAAATTGGCACTTTTTCTTTTCTGTTTTTTTTTTTTAATTTTTATTAGTAAGACATCATGAGGTGGAGTTGTAGACTTATAAATTTTTGTGCTTGGGTTTCAATTATACAATGATGGAATACCCATCCCTCCACCAGTGCCCATTTTCCACCACCACGGATCCCAGTATCCCTCCCAGCCCCCAGACCCCCCATTCCACCCTGCCTCTGTGGCAGGGCATTCCCTTTTGTTCTCTCTCTCTTATTGTGTATTGTGGTTTTCAAAAGAGACAATGGGTGACAATCATGTTTGGTCTGTAGTCTACTTTCAACATGCTTCTCCCATCCTGGGAGGATCCTCCCAACACCCTTTTTTTGGTGTTCCCTTCTCTACCTGAGATCCCTTTTCCCTGAGCATGTATGGCTGTCGTCCAAGCTATGGAGAAAAATTCCTGGTACTAATCTCAGTCATTCTTGGGTGTTAGTCTCCTATTTTGTTACTTTATGTTCCCCATATGAATGCAATCTTTCTATGTCTATCCCTTTCTTTCTGAGTCATTTCGCTTAAAATGATAATTTCCATGTAGTACCACTTGTATATAAATTTCATGACTTCGTCTTTTCTAACAGTTACATAGTACAATTGGTACTTTTTCTTAAAAAAATATAAAGCTGTTCATGATGATTCATTGCATTCAATATTCTGACACCAATCCCACCACCACTGCACTTTCCCACCACCATTATATTCAGTTTTTCCAACCATCCCTCAAGCCAGCCCTTGTAGCAGGCCCTCAGTAACTTATTTTATATTGCTTGTTAGAAATGATTTGCTAAAAATGATCAAAAAATGTTTCATTAGAAAAAAGTGAAGACTGTTGATCTAACCATGGAGCCATTACAAAACGATACTCCTGACTGTCACTATTAAGGAATACTAGTGAGGATCACCCATTACTGTTTCAAATATAGCAGAAATCCATTTATGTGATTCAAAAGGAGGAGAGATGAGGCTTTAAAAGGAGAGGTAGGGGCTAGAGAGCCAACCCAATAAACTGAGTGCATGCAGGAGGCTTGGGTTAAATCCTCCGCAAAACATGGCCCCCCAAATAGTCTCTACACACTGTAGAGCACCGAAAAAAATTTTAACATGAAATGCAACAAACTAGCCTTAAATTTTAATTTTGTTCTCCATTTTTTTTTATTGTTTTCCATTTTCTTAAAAAAGAAATCATGCATTTTCCTAAACTTACAGGGAAAAAAACCCCCAAAAATGGTGTTTTGTGAGTTGAATTTCTGATCATGACTAACCGTATAAGAAGAGAATATACAGATATTTCCTAGAAATGACAGAAAAGAAGTTATTACTTTTTTTTTGTCCTTTGGGCCACACCCAGGGGCACTTAGGACTTCCTCCTGGCTCTGAGCACAGGGATCACTCCTGTTGCAGTGCTCAAGGACCCTATATGGTGCCAAGGTCAGGCCACAATTGGTCGCACACAAGGCAAGTATCCTACTCACTGTATTAGCTCTCTGGCCCTATACTTATTAAAGTTTTAAAATGCACTTTCGTTTTTAGTCGCCATATAGATCTAATGTCTATGGGATCCATATAGTACTTTGTATAAATTTGGTGAGTATTGATTGAAAAAAAAAAAAAAAGGTTAAAAATAACACCTTACCTTCCGATACCTATTTCTGGTCAGGTAGCCTCGCCAGTGAGACTGGAGGACAACGGCAGCCGCGCGCTTCTTCCTGTACCTCCTCCGGACCATGTACATGCGCCAGTACTTCTGAATAGTGGTCGCTGCCTTCGTTCTGCGCAGGAACTTGGTGTAGCTGGTCAAGGGTCATATTGTCAGAAATTAGAAACCCAAGAACATTGTTTGTTGAGACACAGCACTTATGTTTATCGCCTAACAAACAGCACTTGCATTCTAATCCGATAATGTACACGTGAGATCTTCATTTTTATTATAAATATAACAATGTAGAGTCCCCGAAGATATTTGTTAACATCCCCCCAGTAATATTCATTTTTCATTTGAGCCTTGAACACTGAAAGGTATGGTCTCCCATAAAGTACAAGTTTATAGTAGAACAGCAATACTTGCCGGTTTATTTCCTTCTAGAAAAGTGCTTATTATTAGAGCTTTACACAGGAGACTGGCTCTCTACAACAGTCCCATTTTTACTCATCACCCGCTTTCTTAGATATGTATTGCTAATACACAATATTTCTCATTCACTTCTCTGGGTCCAAATTCTTCTTCATTAATTTATTTCCACAGATATTTCTAAATTAAAATTGTCCTAGAGAGGGAACAAAAGGGAATGCCTTGCCACAGAAGCAGGATGGGATGGGGGGGATAGGGGGTGGGAGGGATACTGGGATCAGTGGTGGTGGGAAATGGGCACTGGTGGAGGGATGGGTATTTGATCATTGTATAATCGAAACCCAAGCACAAAAATCTGTAAGTCTACAACTGTACCTCTTGGTGTTTCACTAATAAAAAAAAAAATTGTCCTAAATTTTAGTGTCATTCTCCTCTGGACCTTCTCAGTTAACTGCTCCTGGAAACTCCTCAATGGGCTCACACTGACGAACGTTTTAATTTACAGATGATTTTTATCAAGACCACGTAAACATATTTTAAAAATACCAAAGCCAGGAGTAGAAATTCATAGTGTCTTCGAAAATAAATCCAAATCATTCATAAGGGTGACTCAAAATTCACTACGGCGTCCTGCCATGTGGACCCCACCCTCCACGCCGTCCTGGGCTGGAGTAAGAATCGGACAGTTCCCAGCCCCTGTGTCAGCGGCTGCAACAGGGTGACCGAGAGCCCCCAGGAGACCCACCAGCGGGCCTGGTAGCCGCGCACGTATCTCTGCACGGCGACGGCCGCCTTCCGCATGCGCAGGTACTTCTTCCTTAGCAGCCAGCCTCGGATGGTCTTCTGGATCCGGATGCAGGCGGCCCGCAGCTTGTCCGCCCTCAGTTTCTCCAGATAGGCCACTTGGCCGGCCCGGAAAAAGATCTTTGTCTTCCCAAACTGGTATTTGTCCTTGTCCTGTTTTTGAGAGAAAGTGCTGACTCAGATGTCGAAACGACGACCACATAAATCAAGCTTTACAGGAGAAAAAAAGTCTAAAAGCAGAATCAGTAAAGAAATGACTCTATCAGCTAAAACTTGAACTACGTCACGATTAACTAGTGGCGCCAGGCTTTTGATCCCGTGTAAGTCGAGCAAACAGAATGGGTTTTAAGAAAAACTGCGGTTTAAGCGTTATTTTCCAGAATTATTCTACCTGCAATTATTATCTGAGGCCAAAAACTTGGTTGTGAGTTAGAGACAGCTATTATTTACTTGTTTGTATTTTAAATGCTCACACTCCCTCTGACTGACTCAGGCTGTAATCTTTACACCGGGCTGTACATTCCACGGAAAAGCTGAAGGGACAGAAAAACCAGGATGAAGGCAGGAAGTAACACACACAAAATAAAAATTAACAAAAAATTTCTATCTATCAAACTTATGAACAGTACCTGAAAATAAACAAACCCCACATAAATGGCTTAAATTTTCAAAAGATTCAAAATATAATCATTTTACTGCTCAGACACTTTTTATCATAAGCAGAGGTATGCATATACATATGTATTCCATAGGTTTACATATCTATAGTAAACAGGCATGCTTGCTGGATCCTGGCACCCCAGATGGTCTCTCAAGCACTACAGGAGTGATCCCCTGAGTATAGAGCCAGGAGTAAACCCTGAGCACTGCTGGGTGTAACCCCAAAGCCAAACTAAACAAAAAAAATATAAATAAAATTTGGTTCCCTCGTCTTTTCCCCTATCCCTGCTTCATGGCAGCCTCGCCACACCCCCTGCCCCCCTTCAGACTGCTCAGAGCAGCCCTGAAGCACAACTGGAACAGCAGAGGAGAAAAAAAGTCTAAAAGCAGAGGAGTCCAGGCATAGGACTGTCCACCCGCTCTGCTCTACTTTCCATCTGAACCGGCAACCTAGAAAGGGGTGGCAGTCAGACTCAAAAAGGTATCATTACTCAAAGTGGTCACAACTCTTTCAAAGAAAATGAGTATTATTATTATTATTATTACTATTATTTGCTTTTTGGGTCACACCCAGTGATGCACAGGGGTTACTCCTGGCTCTGCACTGAGGAATCACTCCTGGGGGTGCCCAGGGGACCATATGGGATGCTGGGAATCGAACTCAGGTCGGCCACGTGCAAGGCAAACGCCCTACCTGCTGTGCTGTCGCTCCAACCCCCAAAATGTGTATTATTACCAAAGAAATTAGGTCAAATTTATTTAGTAATTATGACTACTTCTTACCTCAAAGTGTGAGAATCCAACCAGACAAGTGACAAACAAGTGAAAAAAAAAATTTTTTTTTAAATGTTTCCCAAGGGGCCAGGGAGGTAGTATAGGGATTATGGTATCTTCCCAGAATGCGGACCACCATGGTTCCAACACTAGCCACAATGCCAAGCACAGTGCAATTTCCAAGCTTATTAAAATGCTCTTCCTCATTCACACCGTCCTACCCACTCATCAAGGCCTGACTCAGATAAATCTGACACAGGATTATCCCTCCTTTCTAGAGTAGCTGTGGCTAATCTTAACTCTCACAACATCAGACACAAATTATGTCATACTGTGTTTCTTTTTAAAATTCATTAACTTCCAGAAAGACTGTTACCTGAGGGCAAGACTTATGTTTTCCTAATCATGACCTGGGTCTTCTAGCAGTAAACACTAAGTGAATCTTCCTTGGTAATGAAGCTGGTCCCACCCTGCCGTGACAGGGGACGATCGTCCTCACTAGCCCCAGGAGCCTAAGCAGAGCCAGGCCTCAACTCTTGAAAGACAAGAGTTGCTCCCAACCCTGAATAGTCCGGGCCAGCTGCACATGGATTTTCGCAGGGTTTTTAGAGGCTATAATCAGAGCTTGGCAAATGTCTGTTCGGGTTCCGAGTGAGTGAAAATCTTTCTCACCGCTATCAGTTTCTCTAGCACATTCTTGCATGTCTGCTTCCTGTCACCCAGAACATCCTTCTGCCTCATCAGGACACGGTAGCGGCTGAAAAATTCTTGGTAAGTCCACCTGCAATGGGAAAGCCACATCAGCACCAGAGAGGAGGGGCCTCCCGCAGCAGGACCCTCCCTGCCGTGAGACACTGGCTCACCTCGAGGGGAAGCCCGCCGCGCTGATCCGGATCGTCTCCAGGACGCCGCAGGCCCTCAGCTGCTGCACGGCCCTCTTCTCGTCAAACCTACAGGGGGGAAACAGAGCCCATGAGCACACATGGAAGCCTGGCTGCAGCCGCAAGTGCCTTTCCTCTGCCCAGAGTGTAAATTCTTTTGTAAAGAGTCAGATGAGTAAATTAGAAAAGCATTCAAAGTGTGAGCAGGAGGAGGGGAAGAAAGAGAGGTGCGAATGGAATATTACGCGGCTGTTAGGAGAGATGACGTCATGAAATTTGCTTCTGAGTGCATGGTCATGAGAATATCATGCCGAGTGAAATGAGTCAGAAAGAGAAGGACAGACACAGAAGGACTGCACTCATTTGCAGAATATAAAATAACATAATATGAGAATAACACCCAAGGACACTAGAGTCAAGGGCCAGGAAGATTGCTCCTGCCTGACTGGCAGCCTGCCTCATGAGCTGGGGGAGAAGGCAGCTGGGATAGAGAAGGGATCACTAAGTCAATGATGGTTAGAAGGATCGTTCAGGATGGGAGATGTGTACTGAAAATAGAAAAACATGGTGGTCTCTCATTATCTGTACTGCAAACCGCAATGCCCATAAATGAAGCTTGAGAGAGTTGAGGGAAACGGTCTGCCACCGAGGCAAGGGAAAGGTGGGGTACGGTGGGGTGAGGGTTGGATATTGGGGACATTGGTGGGGCAAAATGTGCACTGGTGGAGGGACGAGTATTAGATCATTGTATGACTGAAACTCAAACATGAAATCTTTGCAAGTGTAGCACATGGTGATTCAATAAAAAAAAGAAAAAAAGAAAGCTAAAAAAAAAGAAATGTGAACATATCTGGGATGCACATACTTCTCAGAAATACCATGGAATATATTTTTTAAAAAAATATTCAAAATTTTGGGGCTGGAGCAATAGTATAGCGGGTAGGGTGTTTGCCTTGAAAGCAGCTGACCTGGGTTTGATTCCCAGAATCCCATAGGGTTCCCCTAGTACTGCCAGGAGTAATTCCCGAGAGCAGAGCCAGGAGTAAACCCTGTGCATTGCCGGGTGTGACCCAAAAAGCAAAATAAATAAATAAATAAATAAAAAAAATCAGAATTCCTTTGTACTTTATTAAAATGTATTATGTGGCTTGGTCTGACCATCCTTTCCCTGAATTCATTAGCACCTCTGAGATAAAGACACTGCCAGCACTGGAGATTAGCAAGAATAAAACACTAAGTATATCCCAATCAGTTATTTTGCTTAATTATCTAAACAAGCTAAAAGCTTTGTTGGTCTAAAAGCCATTCAACTCAGGATGTAAATATTTAGCATGTAATGTGTTCACATTGTTGAAAACTGTATTTATATAATACTCTGTATATTTTGAATTTTTTTCACTGTCGACAAACGGCATCTTAACATAAATTTACAATAAAAAAGGATGTAGCAAGATCTGCCATTCACCTGTACTGAGTACCATCAACCCCCAGTTAAGCCATGAGTAACGTGTCTGTCTTAAGCCTTGTGTTGACGACAGAAAACAGAATTGGTTTATGGAATGACCCCTGCAACTTTGGGCCTGGAAGTAGCAGTAACTCCTGGCTTCCCATTTTTTCCAGAAAGGGCTTTTTAGTGATAAGGAAAATGTGCCGTTCCTGAAGTACTCTGGAGTCTACAGCACCATGTGTAGAGCAGTACTGGTGGCTGGGGAGGGATGTGGATACTCAAGCTCTGGGGAGCTGAGATGGGAATCTTTGCCTTTGCTAAATGTTCCTAGTCTAATGCCCACAAATTCATCTTTTACAAAGACACTGTCCTAAAAAGATAAACAGAAAATACACAAAAATGCTTCAGCAAAGACGGTCATTGCTGTACCTACTAAATGACAGTATGTCTATATAACGGGACACTATGCAATCATTAAAAGGATGCAAAACGTTTTCATCTGGGGAACATAAAGTAACATAATGGGAGACTAACACCCAGGAGTGACCGAGATTAGCACCAGGAATACTGCTCCATGACTTGGAGGCCAGCCACACGTGCTAGGGGAAAAGGAAGCTCAGATAGAGAAGGGAACACCAAATAAAGGGTGTTGGGAGGATCCTCCCAGGATGGGAGAAGCATGCTGAAAGTAGACTATAGATCAAACATGATTGTCACTCAATGCCTCTCTTGCAAGCCACAGGACCCAAAAGGAGAGAGAGAGAACAAAAGGGAATGACCTGCCACAGAAGCAGGGTGGGAAGGGGGATGGGTGGTGGGAGGGATGCTGGGACCCATGGTGGTGGAGGATGGGCACTGGTGGAGGGGTGGGTATTTGATCATTGTATAACTGAAACCCAAGCACAAAAATTTGTAAATCTATAACTGTACCTCGTGATATTTCACTAATAATAAAAAAAAGACTGTGAAAAAAACAAAAACAAAAAAAAATGATGCAAAACTTTATTTACTAGTATGGAAAACACCCACATTTATTATGTTAAAAGCATATACAAATGAGCTCTTTCCACACACCCCGAGACACAGGCAGACAGACAGACACAGACAGAAGACAGATAGACGCGCGCGTGTGCGCGTGCGCACACACACACACACACACACACACACACACACACATCTAATTAGGGAAGGAAGATGTTGATTGGTCAGGAAGGGTCTGTGCCAGTTAACAGTTACAATATATCTGGTTTGATAAATGAATGCTTTTAAAATTTCTTAAAATATTTCTTTTTATACTGCTTAACATTTCTTTAAAATATTTTTATAATGTGACTTATTATTTCCAAAATTTTAAAAAAATTTAAAGCACTGAAATTTAAAGCAAAGATAGAAATAAAATCTTCAAAATGAAGGACAACTGCCCATTTGTTTTCACATCCACAAAAAAGGAATAGAAATTGGAAAAAACATCCTATTAACTACGAGTTCACATTACAAGCCATGAAAGTATATTCTGCACTGGGTTACCTTCTGTTGGTTCGAAGCCCTCCACGGGATGTGGGCATTTTTATTTGGCAGCTGAGAAATACTCACGTGAAGGGAAACTTGAAGTCATTGGGCTTGATGCAGCGCACATAGTGAGGGCTGGTGGCATTGAGTGTCTCCATCAGCAGATGCAGTGAGTTTCGGAACTGCACAGAAAGGGCAGACCTGGCATAAGAGTGCATTCAAACTCCAACGCGACACAAAACAATTCCTCCAATGATACTAATGCAGATGATGTTGCCACCTATGAACCTTTTTTGTTCTCTATTTTGCCAATCTTCATAAGGGAGCTGCTCCTAAGTGCAAATGCCAGGGTTTTAAGTCAAAATTTGCTTCTAGTCCTACTATTTACATGTGTGCTTTAAGAAATAGACATCTGGGGGGTATGGTGCCGCCAGCAGGTCAATCTGTACCTGTGAGGCGAGTGCATCAGCAGCCTGATGGCGCATTCAGACTTCCAGATACCCTAAAATTGCTGCTGTGCCTTTGGCCAGACACCAACAACTTGGAGCAAAGTTTACCAAGAAAGTAAACGGCCAAAAGTTAGGTATGTGGGAAACACACCCACAAACCACCTCCGGCTCAGCTATATAATTGGAGGCATGGCCTCTCTGGTTCCTGATCGAACTGCTTAACGGCCATGATTCCAGAGACTCAGAAACAAATCTTGAAACCCAGCGGCTTCCAGCAGAAATGCATCCGGTCCCTGCAGTACGTTGCTGGCTCCGGGCCACCCCCGGTGGGAATAGGTTTCGTGCCTTGGTCTGTTTCCCCCTGGCGGATTGGTGGCTGCCATCCTCCAGAGGTCATTGGACAGTCAGGTTTGGGCCCACAGTGATGAGACACGTGGGGCCTCATGGGATGGGGTGGAGCCGGCCCTTTTATCCCCGTCCCAAAGAAACCCGAGTCACTGCCCAAGAATGGCCTCTCTGGCTCCCGAACAAGCTGTTTAATGGCCATGATCCCAGAGACTCAGAGATAAATTTCAGAACCCAGCAGCTTTTGGCAGAAATGCGTCCAGTCGCCTTGGCAGCTTGGTGGCTGCTATACTCCAGAGGTCATTAGACAGTCAGGATTGGACCTGCAGTGATGAGACATCCAGGGCTTCGAGGGATTGGGGTGGAGCCGGCCCTTTCCTCCCTGCCCCAAATGAGAACCCTGAGTCGCTGCCCACAAATGGCCTCTCTAGCTCCTGATCAAGCTGCTTAACGGCCATGATCCCAGAGACTCAGAAACAAATCTTGGAATCCAGCAGGTTTTGGGAGAAATCCCTCCAGATTCAATTGTTAACATTTCAGAACTCCAAAATTGTGGGGCCACTACTGTAGGCGCGTGACATCATGTTATTCATAACCAGCAATAGAAAACAAATTGTCTACTGCTGCCTTTTTGGGAGATCTGAGTGTTGGGGTAAAATCCCAAATAATAATGGTGGATCTGGTGTCAAAATATTTAATGTAATCAAAGTAGAGAGAGAATAATGTGGCGGTCATCTGCCCCAGAGGTAGGGGGATGGTGTGGGATGGGGGGTATACTGGGGTTTTTGGTGGTGGAAAATGGGCACTGGTGAAGGGACAGGTGTTTCATTGTGTGACCAAGACTTAAACCCGAAAGCTTTGTAACTGCTCTCATAATGATTCAATAAATAAAATTATAAAAAAGGAAGAAAAAAAAAGTAAGGTGGAGTTCATGCCCAATTCAATCAGCCTAATGAACAGTTGAATAAATAGCAGTACTCCTACATTAAAAAAAAAAGCAAGAAAGAAATAGACATCTGTTCCCCTTCTGCCCTTACCCCCAACCTCCCACTGTTAAGATGCATTTTGTTAGAGCAGATGCAGGTCCAAAGAAAAAACTGAATAGAAGATACTGAGATGGGCCACATAGACTCAGTGGCCCCAGAGAGGCACACCTTGGAGCTAACAACCCCCCAGCAGAGTTGGGGGGACCTGATGACTGTGCTTTGACATATTAGCCAAAGCTCACTGATTACATCCAGGTTCACTCTTCCAACCCTTTTAATGGAGATTTCTGTAGCTCTTTCTGCTCTGTGGTCAGAATTTCTACAAAATGCAGAGCCTGAATTTAAGGAAAATAAAGACATTTAATCATGCAGACTGCAGATTCTGCTACAGGAGGCTTTGTTTGTTTGTTTGTTTTAAAGGAAGCTATGACCTGAAGCAGTACAGACACAGAGAAGGAGAGGACAGGCAGGCAGGGCTACCCCTGGACACATGGGGTCACAGCTTGTGGCCATGGACTCTGCCAGCCCCACTTCCTCCGCTCACTGGGCACAAGCTTCCTGCTCAGGGGAATGAGACGACTGTCTACCTGCCTCATATCCAAGCCTCCAGCCCACAGCGAGGCACTGTGAGGGGTGCACAGGGACGAGGTACCAGAGAAAGAAGTGGGCACTGTCCTCTCACTGAGCCAGATTAAGAGAGAGCAAGGTAAAAGCCTGAGCTATAATGTACACTAGAAGAATTATGACACAGAGGAAATAATTCCGAGAAAAGCTAATAAAATCTTTTCCACGGGTGTAAAGTGACACGGAGAGCCCAGCTGAACAGTGCAATGGCTATGAGCACCTGCTCTGCAAGAATGTGGTCGTAAGGGGTGGAGCGACAGTACAGCGGGGAGGGCGCTTCCCTTGCATGCAGTCGCCCTGGGTTCGATTCCCAGCATCCCATATGGTCCCCTAAGCACTGCCAGAAGTAACCCCTGTGCATCCCCGGGTGTGACCCAAAAAGCAAAAAAATAAAAAGGATGTGGTCGTGAGTCCAGATCCCTGGGGTCAGCCTGTGTGTCAAGTGGGATCCCAGCAGCTCTGCGATTGGCAATCTCCAACACTGCAAGACATTTACAGGCGCAGCACAGCCAGGGCTGTGAAGCAGAATAAACAAGGGCTGTGCCTCTGACAAGCGACATGGCCGGGAAGCGCAATGCACAGCTACCACTGGGGGCACTACAGCCAGCACCACCACCGTGACTCCTGTGCCCCAGCCACCACGGCCACGCCCAGGGAGCATGTGACAAGTGCTGCAACCCAAGCAGATGTGCAAGCCTCAGGAGCACCCCAGCCATATCTGACATCCTGTGAGCTGCGCAAGCGAGAATGTGAGCACTTGGCGAGAAGCATCTGCACAGCCCCTAGGTCCTTTCAGCATTGCCAGCAATGAAGAGAAGGGGAGGGAGGAGAGAGCACAAGCTTCTATTAACTGAAAAAGGCAGGTGTCGGGGGAGAGGACAGTCCAGCAAGTGTCTGGCCCGAGTGAGACTTGTGGCAAAGTATGGTCATCAGCTGGGCAGCCCCGGACGCCCCCGAGCACTGCTGGGGCGGCCTCGATGTCCTGGCACTGCAGGCCTGGGCAGAGCTGCATCCTCGGTTGGTGGCACTGAACTGCTTGCTCGGCTGACCAAGAATTGCCGTGCAGACCCTGGGCCTGGCTTGGGAGGCCCAGAAATGTCAAATGAATCAATAAAATTGATGCATACAAGGTAAGCAAATGAAACATAAAGCTGGGCGGGAGGACAGAGAAGGGGGTGGTGTTCCATGCTCTCGGGCAAAGCCCCAGCTCCCTCCACACGAGGACCCTCAGGGAAGCGCAGCACCCCTGCACTCACCTGGTGGCCCACCGTCTTCCGGTGCTCTTTGGCAGTCTGGCCTGGCCGGCCTTTGGTCGGCTTCGCGGAGAGGCGGGTGAGGGGTGTGCGCCCACTGGAAGTGGTGGCTGAAGTTGGGCTGATGGCCTTGTCATCATCCTGAAATAACTCTGGCAGCAGCTTAAACTGTGTCAGAACAGTACATGGAAGTTACACTCTACCCCCGAACTTCAACGTCAACTTTCAAAGGAGGAATATTAATGTGTAATCAATGGAGAGTTCTTGCCTTAAGCCATTCCTTTTAAGTCACCTCTCAGAAATAATCAATATCTGCATGAGAAGCCACAACTAAGGAACAAAATGAACACAAATGCCACAAAAATATGGGTTGGAAAATGCATAACTCCACAAACATGTTTGGGGGAAACAAAAACTACTCTGACTTCAAATTCTATTAAGAATTTTTAATTTACAGAAATATCCATTTAAAATATCTTACAGGTTTTGAACCAAAATTATTTTCTGAGCAAAATACTAATAGATAGTTCTACCATACTCATTTCTACAAAATGTTTTACTGTCCGTGGTTCATTTCTCTATCCGTAACTTCAAATGGTCAGTAATAATAAAAACATCTTTAAAAATCTTAGCAGCGATTTAATATATTATTTTTATAGCATTAAACTAGTTACATAATATAATGGGCTGGAGCGATAGCACAGCGAGTAGGGCGTTTGCCTTACATGCGGCCGAGCCAGGTTTAATTCCTCCGTCCCTCTCTAAGAGCCTGGCAAGCTCCCCGTGGCGTATTCGACACGCCAAAAACAGTGACAACAAGTCTCACAATGGAGACATTACTGGTACCCGCTCAAGCAAATCGATGAACAACAGGAGAACAGTGCTACAGATAGTGCTACATAATATAATAAAATTATCTTATTATCTCATAATAGGATAAGCATGAGCAAGATACAGAAAAAACACAGATGCCCATCAGTAGTAAAGAGTAAAGAAAGGTGTGGTATTTATAAAACACTGAATACTATTCTACTGTTAAATTTGTTTTTTGTTTTTGTTTCTTTTTTTAGTGAAGCAAAATAGCATTTATTGAAAGAAATTTAGAGAAAGGTGAGGGGAGGAAGAGAGAAAGAGATATTTGAGAGAGAACACAAGCTTTGCCAGAAGGAAAAAGCCTGCTTCGGCATTTTCAACACTGTGGATGGATCTGAGATCACCCCAAGCGAAAGCCAGAAGAGAAAGGCTAATGCTGCGTGACAAACTCTGACCGGAGAGACAGTTCAATGGGCTCATCACATGCTCTGCACGCAGCCTGGTTAGACCCAGGGCTCTGCAGGGAGACCCTGATAAAGGAGGGCAGGAAGAGCCCTGTGAGGGTGGGAGGGACAGGAGGAGCTTGACGCTGTTGGTGGGCATGTGGCTCGGTGCTTTTGCTCCAGGGAAATGGAGATTTCTCAGAAAAATAAAATCAGACATCCCAAATGATCCAGTGATAACACTCCTGGACATTCATATGAAAGATATGAAAATACTGATTTGTAAGGAACCTGCACTCCTATGACCAGAGCACATTAGTAACAAGAGCCCAAACTGGAATCAACCTAAATTCTGGCCACAGATGACAGGAGAAGGGTTGTGATACCCTGATGGAATGCTACTTTGCCATCAAAAAAGATGAAAACAGTGCCCTCTGGGACAAAATGGATAGAATTAGAGGTGATATGCTAACTGAAATAAGCATGGAAGAGAAGGACAACTCTCGTGTGGTTTCACTTACATGCGTTACTAAGGAAAACAAACTGCCAAGAACCAACAAAGCTAACTTTTAATCTCAGTTAAAACGATAGTGGTAGCCAGAGGGACAGGAATCTGAGAGAAGGGACGGGTAGACAGTCTTTGTGTTGGTGCGGCAAACTTATATCTGCACTGTTTTCTCACAAACACACTGCTACCTCTGTTTTTGCAGCTGCCCAAACTGTTCTTTCTCCTGAATCAAGCTAATAAGCTGGCTGCAATATCATATTCACCACTAGAGGCTACACTTTCACCTAATACGTTAGAAAACTAGTGTCAGGAGTTCAGAATATACATATATGTGCATGTTAGGGGTGTGTGTGGCTTTCTGCTCATTGAAATCATGTTAGAAATTCTCTACACTGAGTATTCTTGATAGACAAAGGGAAGAGAGTGAGAAAAAGAAAGCAAAAGAGAGAGAAACAGAGACAGAGACAGAGCCAGAGAGAGCACACATTCAACACTGCATCAGAAATAGTGCTACAAAGTGTAGTTCAGGCGCTGTCCTGAACGTGGCTGGCCCTGAGCCAACACCAGCACCGCTCAGTCCGGGACCCCTCCTTGCCGCTGCTTAAGCACCAAGGGGTGGCCCAAACTGTACTTTCCCCTACACATGTGGGTTGCCCGTAAGGACTGCCCAATAAACGACAATAACAACAAAAGAGAAATTCCGGTTAAGAGAATTCACACAGATCTAGTCGAGCTTTTCACTAAGTATCTGAAGAGTTGCTTTGCTGAAACTAAGTGGCTGTCTTCCTGATTTTCTTGCTTTAAGATGAAAGTGAGTCAGGTGTGGACACATTCCATTTTTTTGGGGGGGTGGAGGGGGTCCCGAGGCGAATCAAAGGATAAAGGCTGAATAACCTGATCTACTGTGGCCATCTTCATTCTCTTCCCTCTGGAACATTCTATTCCCACCAGAAAGCAGTGTATCTAATTTCAACACACAGGAAAAATACTACGCTTCGGGCCACAGCTGATACTGTGCTCAATGGCCCAGCCATTAATTTTCATCTAGAATCTACAACCGCTGTGGAGGTGACAATTTCCCAGTGGACACAGCAGGTAAGAGCACAGGCCCTGAGTCAGGCAGCTAGGCTTTGAATTGATTTGACAACCCACTAGCTATGCTGTTTCTAAGCCTCAATTTGTTTATCTATAAAACCAAAGTAGCTAAAACAACACCTATAAGGAGTAAAGCGTTTAAAATAACACATATAAATATTAAATATTTGATAAATTTTAAGCTACAGAGTATATGAAGTTCAAAACAACCCAAACAACCCCCAAAACAAGTCACTAGGATCAAAACAAACAACTATAGTAAAATAACTTTGTTAGAAAAACAATTATTTTTGCTGAAAAGCTGATTAAATAGTTAACATTTTGCTGAATGTATCCTCAGTTAGAAAGAGTTTACATAGTCAGCTACCTTGCTTGATTTAAGAACTTTAATTTGTTCTTCAAACACGGTGTCTTTGTTCTTTTCCAGAAAGCCTTCACATTGGTACTCCACCTGAAAATACATAGGGAAATCTCATACATGAAACACTTGAGTAGTTATTATCATCAACAACAAAATATTATAAACTCAGGTTATATATATATGTATATATATATCACAGTCACAGTCCTCCCGTTGTTTATCGATTTGCTCGAGCGGGCCCAGTAACGTCTCCATCATGAGACTTGTTACTGTGTTTGGCATATCGAATACGTCACGGGTAGCTTGCCAGGCTCTGCCGTGTGGGTGAGATACTCTCCGTAGCTTGCCGGGCTCTCCGAGAGGGGCGGAGGAATCGAACTCGGGTCGGCCATGTTGGCCACTTGTAAGGCAAACGCCCTACCACTGTGCTATCGCTCCAGCCCTGTGTATATATATATATATATATATATATATATATATTTTAACTGACACTCAACACAGTAGTATCACTAGTTTTATTCTAAGAGTTCAAAACACTTTTGGATAACTCTAGAGTAAAATTCCCTAATACTGTTTTTCCTAGGGAATGATGGTAGTGCCAATTGGGTAACAGATCCTCCAAATTCATGGCTGACTTGATGGATAGTTTTTTTTTTCTACTGCTGACGAAAAAGAGCTCCTTTAAGGCACACCCGATATATCTTCTAAACCAGTTCACCATCTGGCAGGTGAACTTTCTCTTGGGAAAGAAGACACTAAAATCAGAGTGTCAGAGGGAACAAACATTTGCTGACGAAAAGAAAGTTAGAGTTGGTAAAGGGTGCAGGCTAGGAAATACTGAATGGTTTGATAAGTGGAACTACTTTAGAATTATTTTAGGCAAATGAAGATTTAACTCAACAACTAGTCAAGGGAGTTCCCGGAATACACCACGAGCCCACTATGATACTAGAGACACTGCAACACCTGCTAGCTCCAAGGAACGCACACTCGGTTCCTAAAGGAGCAGTTCCCTGGAAGCCGCTCCCAAGGCTACGCCACTTCCTTGAAAGATAATTACTCTCCATGCTTCTCATTTCCTCAGGAGGCTACAGAGCTTTATGAAGCAGCAAGTTTGCAAGCTCTGTCAGAAGAAACCCACTGAACCTATCATCCGAGGTGAAGTAAGTTCCAACCTCTAAGGTGAAAACCTTAGGGCAAACTGTGCTCTGGGACTCAAAATTGTTGGGTGGAGGTAGGACAGAGCAGTATGCAATCAAGACACATGGAGAGTTAGTTCTATGTCGACATACTTAAATATCCAGCCTAATTCCATAAAGATTGCAAATAATTTCCAGCTAGTTCAGTTTAGAGATCTGGTTTAGCTACTAAATGAATTCCAAAAACACTTTTGAAAACTTCGATTTTCTTGGATTTCTGAATTTTATAGAAAAAAAACTATCACCTATATTTATTTCAAAATATAATTCTGCTTTGGTTAAAGGAAGAGAGAATAAACAAACTAATACCGAAGAATATTTTCCCATTAGGTCCTAAAGAAGACAAGCTTCAGCAGAGAAAATATATACTTCTTGACTTAATTTTTCTTTTAAGCTTAAATATTCAAAAAGGGGAAAAAAAGACAATAAAGCTTCCTTACTTTGTCAGCAAAATGCTGGATGATGAACGCTTTGTTCGACATCCGAGGCTTCTCGAAGAGCGCGCACTTGCTCAGGTGCGTGTTGTAGAGCTTCTGGGCCCAGGTGTCGTCCGTGCCTTTGGGCATCTGCACGCAGGAGGGAAGGAGAGAGAACAGGGTGGATGCTGCCATAAGAATTCTCTGATGTTGGGGGCTGGAGCAATAGCACAGCGGGTAGGGTGTTTGCCTTGCACGCTGCCGACCCAGGTTAGATTCCCAGCATCCCATATGGTCCCCCAGGCACCGCCAGGAGTGATTCCTGAGTGCAGAGCCAGGAGTAACCCCTGAGCATCGGCTGGGTGTGACCCAAAAAGAAAAAAATAAAGAAATAAAATAAAAGGGATTAAAAAAAAAAGAATTCTCTGATGCATCAATCAAAGACTCATTTCTGGCTGTGACAAACAACTGCTGTATTCAATTTATTTTCTCCATATTTCCTTCTTATAGACCATAAGCCAATTACTGATGAAGAGCAGTGATTTGAGACATTCTCATAGACAAATCTAAAGATAACTCAGTCTTTGGATATTTTAATCTGCTTATACCAGAAATCATCAAATAAATACTTGATTTGCTTTCACTGGATCACTGTCATCCCGTTGTTCATCAATTTTCTCGAGCAGGCGCCAGTCACGTGTGCGAGCACCGCACACTGCACATGCGTGGTCTCTACACGCCACAGTCACGTGTGCGAACATCCGCACACTGCACCTACGCGGTCTCTGTGCACCACAGTCACGTGTGCGAGCACCCGCATACTGCACATGCGCAGTCGCACGCCACAGTCTCGTGTGCGCGCACACCACACTGCACATGCTCGATCTCCGTGCACCACAGCAACAAGAAGACAAAGAAGTTTCGTTTCAACTCATTTACCTGGGGCTGCGAAATACCTACTTCTGACAGTATAAGCATACCAGGAAAAAAAACCTACCTTGCATTCTTCATCCAGTAAGTCCAGGATGCCCAGTTTAGATTCTATAAGATTAATGCAAGGTTGGTTATCATAAAAATCTATGAGTGTCCATGGAATTTGTTCCTTCATATATTCCTCTTGCTCTAATTTGAAGACATGCTGAAAAAGTAAAAGACAAAGTTGGAATTACTGACTCATCATGAATAACGTTAGGTGAGAAAAGACATTTAATCCTTCAGTTACCATCCTCACCAATTCTTCCAACCTGCACCCAATCATTTCAGGAAAACGTACACTCAATAAGTGCCAGCCACTGTGTACCCGTCACCGCACAGACACAGGTTCTGCTTTCGTGAAGTTTGGACACCATGGGGGAGAGAGTCAAAACTAATAATTGCAAAGAATGTAACTACAAACTATAATACTGTTATGGAAAGTAATGTGAGCCAGGAGGTTAAGAGTTTGCAATTCATTTGAAAAAAGGAGAGTGAGAGACGGTTCCCGGGCTCCTTGGGGAAGTCCTTCCTGGGCTTGGTGATCTGGGCTCTGAAAATGGACGACAGTGACCTTAGTAGTAAGAATCATCTCATTGCCGGAATCATAGGATAGCCAGAAGGGCACTTGCCTTGCACGTAGCCAATCCAGGTTCAATCCTTGGTACCACAAATGACCCCCCAAGCCCCACCAGGAGTGACCCCTCAGCACAAAGAGTCCTGAGCACCACTAGGTGAGGCCCCAAACCAAAACACAAAAACAAACACAAAAGCACAACCACCTCTGAGCTCCTGCTTCAGACTGCTCGGCCAATGCAACCAATCAACAATTTCTAGCCCCTCTTGGTGCTTACACCTCTATTCCTTTATTTTGGGAGAAGATTTCTTCTTACGCTCGTTACTCTGGTCTCCCTTGGTTCTCTCACACAACCTGCTACTTTCCTGGGAAGATAAGCATTCAGTGGCTATGAGCAGATAACATGTATTTTAGGACCCCACAACAAACCCCAGAACAACATGAAACATTAAAGCGTGACCGAGGCTCCCGATATGTACTCTCCTTGTATACCATTTTACATTTGTTATAATTCCACTTTCGAATCATCTGCAGTGTTTACAGTCTGGTCAGCTGTAATAAGCTTCAGTCAAAAGATGGTCATTCACATGACAATATGGGCATCAGATTCTTTAATATGTCCACATATAAGACACGGCAATGTATTATTAATTCAGTAATGCCTCTACATATGTCAGTGATCGTGTTTCCTATGTGCACCATCCCACCAACAGCCAACGTTGTGAGAACTCTCCTAAGCACACTGGGAGAGTCACGTTCGTAGTCGTGAGCCTAAAGAAAATGCATTTGAGGTGTTGGAGAGAGAACAGTGGCAAGGTACTCGAGCTGCACTTGGCCTACCAAGACTTGATCCCCAGAACCACTTATGGTCACCCAAGCCCCAAGAGGAATGATCCCTGAGCAGAGAGTCAGGAGTAGAGTAGCCCTGAGAAAAACTGGGTGTGGTCTTCTATCCCCACCATGCCCCCTATATGATACGATATATTTTACTATTTTATTATATATGTATATATTATATATGGTATACTATAAAGTAAATATTTATTTTACTATCAAGTGATACAGTCTTGCTATTCAGGAGAAACAGTAGGAAAAATAATCAAAGAGCTTGGGTAAAATATAAGGTATATATATATATATAAATAAATATATATACACAAATGTTAATTCAAAGTGGATTGAAAACCTCAAGATTAAACCAGAATCCATAAAATACACTGGAAAATCACTTATCACTTAATCACTTAATCACTTAATCCCCATTATTCATCGATTTATTCGAGCGGGTGCCAGTAACGTCTCCATTCATCCCGGTTGCGTGCTAGTGTAGCCCAATGGTATCTGTTTGTTTTAGGAACATGTAGAGCCTCAAACCGATCATTTAGGGTCTTGACAAAGAAGTCTGACCATCTTATATATATATACACTGGAAAATAGAGGTAAAAATCTCCAGTACATAGACTTCAATACAGACTGAAGACATGTTTTCAATAATCTGACTCGTTGGCAAAGGCCATAAAAATAGACAAGTGAGACTACATCAAATTAAAAAAAATTGCATGGCAAAAGAGACTTGGGCTTAAATAAAAAGTCATTTTACTGACTTGTATACCATACATCAGATAAAAAGCTAATATCCAAGATACATAAAGGATTCACAAAGTTAAACAAAAAAAAATGCAACAACCCTATCAAAAAATGGAGGGAAATGGACACTTTCCTGAAAAGAACATAGAGTTGGTGAGTAGGAATAGGAAGGAATGTTCATCATCACGGTATCAGGGAAATGTAAATCAAAATACCATGAGATATCATCTCAATCAGTCTGAACAGTATCTATCAAGAAACCTAGAAACACCAGTATTGCTGGAGATGTGTGAAACGGAACTCTCTTTCAGTGTTAGTGGGACTATAACCTGGCTCAGCTCCTGTGGAAAACTGTTCTCTTCTGTTTCTTCCAGTTCTTACTGGCGACTACTTCTAATCATCTTGGAGCTTGTAGGGGATGAAATTATACTTTGTATGGGGGCTGGAGTGCTAGTACAGGGGGAGGGGGCTTGCCTTGCACGTAGCCAACTAGGTTTGATAGCCTGCACTCCGTAAGGTCCCCAAGCACTGCCAGGAGTGAACCCTGAGCTCAGAGACAGGAGTAAACCCAGAGCACAGCTGGGTGTGCAACCCCCCTCCAAATACAAAGAACTATGATTGGCATACAATGAGCAACTTAGTATCTCCTATTTAATCCATATAACTACATGCATTGTGTACAAGGAAACTAAGGCCAATTAACTTGTCCACAGTTCCCTGAGTAATGAACACAGTGTGGGGTTTCAGTCAACAGTTTCTGGTGCAGGACTGTTTGTCACCACTATTGGACTGGCTGCCCCTCCTTCCTGAGCATCCCCAAAGACTCCAATGCCAAGAGAATGTTCCAGGAAAGGCTTCTTAAAACTTTTCCCACTGTGATCCCTTTTGACCTGAGAAATTTTTATACAACCTCAGACACATAAGTATATAAAATAGATACACAAATCAAAGATTTACTGGTAATAATTTACAGCACTGCACTGTAGCACTGTCGTCCCCTTGTTCATCGATTTGCTCGAGCGGGCACCAGTAATGTCTCCATTGTGAGACTTGTAACTGTTTTTGGCATATCGAATATGCCAAGGGGAGCTTGCCAGGCTCTGCTGTGCAAGCGGGATACTCTCGGTAGCTTGCCGGGCTCTCTGAGAGGGATGGAGGTATCAAACCTGACTCGGGCGCATGCAAGGCAAACGCCCTACCTACTGGCTATCACTCCAGCCCAAAAGTTTATAAATAAATTTATTTAAAAATAATTTATCACAAGTTACACCCAGTTTCAGAAGCTAGGTTCTAGCATATTTGGAATTACTTCTAATCTCAAAATTATCCTCCCTTGCCACCCTCTCTCAAACTGTTGGTAAAATACAAAAGACAGAGGATGAAAAAATACAAAGAAGTCATGTGATTTTTAGTTCTGACATCTAGTAAATAATGCAAATAAGGGGCCAAAGAGATAATACAGCAGGTAGAGAGTGTGCCTTGCACAAGGCCAACGCAGGTTCGATCTCTGTCTGGTCTCCCGAGCACTCCCGAGGAGTGAATCCTGAGCACAGAGCCAATAGTGACCCCTGAGCACTGTTGGTCTGCTCCCCCGCCCCCCAAAAAAAGAAAAGATAATTGTAACTCCATATATGAGTAGCTTCAGAAACAAACAAAATGAAGATTTCGGTGTCAAAGCTTCATATTGTCTATTATACATACATCTTTCTTTCCTCATTCACACTTATTTGACCTATTTAAGTTTTCATTGTTCTAAGAAAGCAATCTATGGATTACTGTGAATCCTATCTGAATCATAAACATAATCTAATGCAATATGAGTCATTTGCGAGTTAATCATAAGAATATTTCATGAGTTCTAAACCTGAAACTGTAATTGAAATTTATTATATCTCATTTCAGGAACCAGACATGAAACACAGACTAGGAATTCAGAAATTAATTTTAGCAAAACATTATTGAAGAAAGAAAATTCTTACCATATTAAACTGCTGCTGTAGCTTTTCATTTGCATAATTTATGCAAAATTGTTCAAAACTATTTATCTCAAAAGTTTCAAATCTGCAAAACCAAAAAGAACATGGGATGGGTGAGGTAGAGGTGGGGGAAAGAGTTACAGATAGCTTTCAAAAAATATTCGAAATATGTTAGAAAAAAGAAATGGAAAATACCTCAATACTGTGAAACTTTTCCACAGCAGTGAAGACAAAGATTTATAAATGAGTAACCTGTCATATAAACCAGTAGATAGGTATCTCTCAAATGGCAAAAAATTTTTTTAAAGCCCCTGTATGTAGAGGTGTTAAATCAAAGTTATAGTCAATGATATTATTAATTTATAGACTCACAGGGTCTATATGCACATTGAGGGGTTAGTAATAGAGATTTAACAGGTATTTTTGAAAAATTAAACGTGAAAATGAACAATCGGGAAGCAAAATGTACAAATATACAGAAAGGGTTTTAACAGTAAAAGAAGGGTGTTCAGACCCAAAAGGAGAGAGAACAAAAGGGAATTCCCTGCCACAGAGGTGGGGTGGGGAGGGATGGGGTGGGGGTGGTAGGAAGGATATTGGGAACATTGGTGGAGGAGAATGGGCACTGGTGGAGGGATGGAGGAACAATTAATTGCATGACTGAAAAACGAAAGTTCGTAAGTTTGTAACTGTACCTCACGGTGATTCACTAATAAAAAATTTTTTTAAAAAATCAGGGTGTTCAGAGACAACAAACTGGGAAAGGATATTTGGATTTTGAGATTTTGAGAAGGAAAGAAACAGAGTAGAGGGGTGTGGGGAAGAGACCGGTGAGAGCAATGGGGAGCAGGTCAAGGAATTTAGGCACAAAGGTGGTGTTAAGGAGTGACAGAGCTTAGTATCCACACCAGAAAGTCAGCAACGCTTTGGCAACTAAACTTAAAAAGGTGCCTCTCCAGAGGGCAGGCAGGCATGTGTGTTCGTGTGTGTGGTGTGGGGACGGGGGTGGGTGCTGGAATATTATATGTCTAAAACTCTATACTATAAGTTTTAGATAAAAACACATTTCTTTTAATCATCTTTTAATTTAAATCATGGTGCCTTAAAAAAATTATATGTTTTTTAAAAGAAAGAAATCTTCCAATTTTCCCTACTCCTTATCAGAGGCAGACAGAATCAAATGACACTCAGAGTTACTCAGTAATCTCTAGAAGGAAAGAAACTCTCTCTGGCAGACCCCAACACTCCATATGCATACCCATAAATGTCCAGCACCCCAATGAAGGAGTGCTGCTTGACGGCTGAGCAGAGGGCCTGATTGACATGGTCAACGATCCAGTTAAAGAGCTTGGCGTAGATGTGCTTGGCCAAAGCATCGCGGGCATTGGTCGCCTGCAGCTTGGAAATGGGCTTGATGTACGTCTCTGTGGCAGTAGCCAGTTTCCGATGGCACAGCCAATGACACATCTCCTCATACTCCACACCCATGAGGTCACAGAAGATGCTGAGAGGTTCATGCTTAGGCTGGCAAAAGAGAACAAGTTATTTCCTATTACCCAGTCAGTCAAGTGAGAACTTACTAAAGAGATTTTAACAAAGTGGTAACAAAATTCAGCAGTTCCCTTTGTGAAAAGACACTGAGATCACTAGAAGATGATGAGGGATCCCAATGACTTATTCAAGTACTCCTAGGTAACACATTCAGTCTCGCCTGAGACTCCTTTCATCTTTTGTCTTTTCATACCATTTCTTTGTGCTAATTTTTTGTTCTGTTCATTTTTGGATCTGGGGGACCACAGTGCTCTAGGATTACTCCTAGCGGTGTTCAGGGGAACACGCAATGCCAAAGACCAAACCCATCTTTTTTTTTTTTTTTTTGCTTTTTGGGTCACACCTGGCCATGCACAGGGGTTACTCCTGGCTCTGCGCTCAGGAATTACCCCTGGCGGTGCTCAGGGGACCATATGGGATGCTGGGAATCGAACCTGGGTCGGCTGCGTGCAAGGCAAAAACCCTACCCGCTGTGCTATTGCTCCAGCTTCTCAAACCCATCTTCTAAAGGCAAAAGATGCCCTCAGTTCTTTAAGCTGTCTCCAGCCCTCAGACAACTTCTTTGCAAACATGTCCTTTTAGCAATAAATATATCAGTGTGCATTCCCTAAAAACCAGAGATATTGTCTTTTTTAAGAACAATGAACAAAATCAAAGAATTAGCAGTAATTAAAACAAATTATAATTCTATTAAAATTATCTTATTCAATTTTTGCTGATTGACCTAATGGTGTTTCCTATGAAAAAAATTTTTTTCACCCATTATTTAATTTTTTTCCTTGGTAATGCCAGGAATGGAACCAAGGAACTCACACATGCAGGACAATGCTCTTCTACTGAGCCACTACCATGACGAAAATTAAATTTTGATGATCCCCGATACATCTATAAAAATGCTTCGAATCTAGCTGTGGTGTTTCATTGGTGCTTTTCTGGTAGCTACTTTTTATTGTCTTTCATGCCCTTGACATATTTGAAAAGTGAGTCCCTAAACTTGGGTCTGTTTAATGCTCTGCAAGATTAAATCTGGGTCTTTTTTTTTTTTTTTTTTTTTGCTTTTGGGGCCGCACCCAGCGATGCAAAGGTGTTACTCCTGGCTCATGCACTCAGGAATTATTCCTGGCGGTGCTCAGGGGACCATATGGGGTGCTGGAAATTGAACCTGGGTCAGCTGCGTGCAAGGCCCTACCCACTGTGCTATTGCTCCAGCCCCCTGGGTCATGGTTTTTTTATTTGACAAAATAAACAATGGGGTGAAGTTATGTATCTCATAGTAGATCAGAAATAAGTAATGTTGACTGGTCCAATCATTGGTCACATAAATTATGATGACCAAGTCAAGGAACTGTCTACAAAATTTACCACTATGGAGATAACTATATTTCCTTCTGTAACATTTTTTGGGATGTTCTATCTTTTTAAATCTGATATTCATTTATATTATTGTTTTAATTCATCAAATGTTACCTTACTGTTTAGTGATTCATCATTTCTTGCATCTTAAATCTGTCATCAATTTCTTACTGCCTAAGTTATATTCTTTAATATTCATTCATCTTAACAGAGCCTATGAGTGACAACTTTTCACAAACTTTAATTTGTCTGAAAATGCCTTTATTTTTTCCCCTCATTCTTGATATTTTACTGGATATAATCCTATATTAATGGCTATTTTCTCCAGAACTCTCCTGACCTGTTTGGGAAAAGTGAGCTACCAATGTAATCACGAACCAAGGGTAATGACTCTGTCTATCTGCTGTTCTCGCATTCTTCTCTCTGCCTTTGGGAGTGCTAACAGGGGCGCCGAGGGATGTTTCCTTTCATTTACTCATTTTGGTTTTGTGTCATCTTTGTAAGACCTGAACTTGATTAGTAATCCTCCCTTCACACATTTCATCTGCTTCTTTCTTTTTCTCCCTCCTTTAAGAATTCTCAGTAGGGGCTGAAGCTCCAAGGGGCAGAGAATATGCTTCACATGGTTAATGCCTCCACATACCCTGATGACTGCCAGCACCCAGCACCAACAGCCCAAGTACCAACACCTGTGGTGCTGGGCTGGGTGTCCCCAGAGCCGGTCCCTAAGTGCTTAGCAGTGCTGGAGAGGTACCCCGAAAGCATTACAAAATGGAAAAATGACAAAATAGTAGAGAGATTTTTCAAGAAAGCAAGACTATCTCCCATATGATCCTGTTATTCCATTAGTACACCTAACTGTCCAGCAATAAATAAGCGGCTGAAGAAGCTGTGGTATAACATAACGGATACCATGCAGCCACAAAGAAAGATGAAATCACGCAACTCACTGAAACTTGAGCGGAACTGGAGGGTGCCATGGTAAGTGAACTCAGTCAGAGGTGGAAGGACAAATATCAGATATTCGTTCATCTCTGACTATACCAAGAGAACGGAAGGCATCGGTATGGGAAACCCTCGGCCTGCGTTCCACAACTGAGAATGCCAAGGAAGGAACAGAGTGTGGGGCAGGAGAGGGCAGAGAGGAATAATGCAGACTGATACAGGGTCTCTGTGTACATTAAGGTTTTAAGAGCCAATACGAAAGCAAACTACTATGAACCGACATCCCAAGTTATAACTGAGTTTGGAAAGGAGGCAGCAGGAGGGTGAGAGGGGCCCTCCGGCTACTGGTGGACACATACTGATACTGGTGGTGGGTTCAGAGGTAGACTACTGTCTGCGTGAAACTCTATCACTAAACACTGCTCCAAATCATGGTACCTAAATCTAAAATCACGGTCACGGTCCTCCCATTGTTCATCGATTTTCTCGATCAGGCCCAGTAACGTCTCCATTGTGAGACCTGTTACTGTGTTTGGCATATAGAATACATCACGGGTAGCTTGCCAGGTTCTGCTGTGCGGGCGAGATACTCTCAGTAAATCTGATATATATATTTTAATATAAAAATCTCACGGCAGAGCCTGGCAAGCTCCCTGTGGCATATTCGATATGCCAAAAATAGTAACAATAATGGGTCTCATTCCCCTGACTCTTAAAGAGCCTCCAATACGGCAGTGTTGGGAAAGATGAGTAAGGAGAGGCTGTTAAAATCTCAGGGCTGGGACAAATGGAGACATTACTGGTGCCCATTCGAGTAAATGGATGAACAACGGGATGACAGTGATACAGTGGTGCATAAAGGGAATATAAAAATAAAAAGAATTCTTGCGATATTAGATGAGAATGAAACCTTGTATAAGCACGGTGCAAATGCCGTGGCACTTCCTGAGAAAGCTAAATGCCAAATACAGAGCTGAAAGAAACGGTGTGAAGAGATGGGTACACTGGTGAGGGTGTAGTGTTGGGCTGGGGGACGTTGAGAAGCCACCATCGATAGCAGGTAGATAAAGGTATTTTTTTTTCTTTTTGGGTCACACCCAGCGATGTTCAGGGGTTCCTCCTGGCTCTGCATTCAGGAATTACTCCTGGCGGTGCATGAGGGACCATATGGGATGCCGGGGATTGAACTTGGGTCGGCGGCATGCAAAGCAAACGCCTACCCGCTGTACTATCACTCCGGCCCCAGGGTATGGTATCTTTAATTACCTAGTTTTTTATTTTCCCTAACCAGGGAATTTAGATTGTGGTGGGCAGGAGTGCCAGGGGACATGTAGGGAACCTAGGGTTAAACCTGAGACTCGCACTTGCCCTAGTATTTTCTAAGTCACTAAGTTATCTTTGGGGTCCTTTTCATTTAGGATCCCTAATTGCAGGGCTGTCAAGGAATGCCTGAATGTCAACAGGGTTATTTATGGTGAAGAGGCTTAAGCCCCCTTTTTTTTTTAATTTTTTAAAAATTTTTATTAGTGAAACATCATGAGGTACAGTTGTAGACTTACAAATTCTTGTGCTTGGGTTTCAATTATACAATGTTCGAGTACCCATCCCTCCACCAGTGCCCATTCTCCACCACCAATGATCCCAGTATCCCTCCCACCCCCCACCCTGCCTCTGTGGCAGGACATTCCCTTTTGTTCTCTCTTTCCTTTTGGGTGCTGTGGTTTGCAAAAGAGGAATTGAGTGGAAATCATGTTCGGTCTAGATCTACTTTCAGCATGCAACTCCCATCCTGGGAGGATCCTCCCAACACCCTTTACTTGGTGCTCCCTTCTCTATCTGAGCTACCTTTTCCCCTAATGTGTGCGGCTGGCCTCCAAGCCATGGAGTAAACCTCCTGGTACTTATCTTGGCTATTCTTGAAGCCCTAGCTTCTTAAACCGTGGGCTGCTTAACTGTGGGACTTAGAAGATATCAAGTGCAACTGAAACCCAAGCACAAAAATTGGTAATTCTACAACTGTACCTCATGGTGTTCCACTAACAAAAATTTAAGAAAAAAAATATTAAAAAAAAAATAAAAGGGCTTATTTAGAAAAAAAAAGAAAATATCAAGTGCATGATGAATTCGAGCTGTTTCTTTTTGTTTGTTTGTCTGGAGGCCATACTGGTGATGCTCAGCACCTATTCCTGGCTCTGCACTTAGGAAGTACTCCTGGCAATACTGGGGGACTATATGGGATGCCAGAGACCAAACCCAGGTTGACCATGTGCAAGAAAAAAAGCCCTCTCCGCTGTACTAGCACTCTGGCCCCAAATTTGAGGTGATTCCTGCAGTGCTCATCCATGTTGCATTTCTAACGTGAACGGGGTTGCCAGCAGAAAAAGTTTCACAAGGCCTCCTAAAAACCAAGCCACCAAACCATTCCCCTGACTGTTCATGGCAGGAATCACAAAGAGTGAGATTGTCCTGACCAACTCTGTGCATGTGGCGGCACCTTGTGCCTGTCAGGAGAGCACCTGAAGCCACTGAGCCATCTTCTGGAACCCCAAGTTCTCTTTTTATAAAACACCCAAGAGTGCTCTGGGAGTCCACAGGCGACTGGAGCATCACACATGCAGATGAGTGCCCGATCACTCAGCCATCTCCCTGGCACAAGGAATGCAGTTTCTTTCTTCTACACAATGCAATACGGTTCAGCTATGCACTGAAAGAAAAGAAACTTTGCTGTGTGTAACAAAATGGAAGGAGCACAAGGGAAATAATGTGAAGGAAAAAAACTGGAAGGAAAATGACAAGTATGGGATTATTTCATCCATATGTGATTATTTCATCTATATAAGGGTTAAAAAAATGATCAGGCCAAAGAAAAAAAACAGGCAAAAAAGAAAAATAAGTGGATGCTGTTTACTAGGCCAGAAAGAGAGGGGAGGAGGGACAAGAAAAGACCAAAGATCAAATGGGGTAAATCATATCTTAACTCACTCCCTAGTCCCTCAGCAATATGGTTCCTTCACATATTACATTTTCAAAGCTGAAAATGAACCCTTTTCTCTAGACTCACCAACTTTCATATCTAATATTTCCCTTGTTCATGTATACAGATGAGATATACCAATACTTCTCCCCCAAACACACACACACACACACACACACACACATCACTTACCTTCAAATATATGTCTTCTTTACAGAATAAACAAAACAGGATGAAAGAGACAGTCCAACAGGCTGGAGTAATTGCCTGGCACGCAGAGACTCTGAGTCCCACTTCCCAGCACTGTATGCCCCCTTGGTCACCATCAAATATAATCTTGGCATCCTGCAGCATCACCAGAATGACCCTGTTGTGTGTTGTGTCTAAGCTTCACCACAGTGACAGAAGAAAGCAGAAACCATTCAGTTTGCATGGCTGGGTTGGGTTCTGCCGGGGAGCAGATTGGGGTCACAGGAATAGACCCCAGTCCTCCAAACAGTGCTCAAGAAACCACCTCTCTTCAGCCTCTCCGCCCCAACCAACAAAACTAACATTTTTGGAATTGCAGCAATTCCACTGCAGTCGCACTAAGATGTTCTGCACTTACAGGTATTTTGCAGCTGTCTGAATCTTGAGATGTGAATCCAACATTGCCCAAGTGAAGAATACCAGCCAGTATTTGGAAAATCCCCATCTGGTATAATTCACTAATTCCTGAAACAAACAAAAAGATCCCTTTCAGAACAGGAAATAAACACAATAGAAGAAAAGTATTTTAAAATTCTCAAATAGTGGCAGAACTTCTGCACATTGTACTGTTTCATACAAATTACTGTGACTGCTTATGGGTGCTTTGATTACCATCACACTTAGTGAAACTCAGCACTGTGGCTGAGCTGTGACATGAAACAGAGCCGGCTCGAGGCTGCTGGCTCTACTTCCGGTCTGCTGTGACACAGGCATTGACTTCCTCCTTCTGTTTCCACCTTCTGATTTGAGATATGGCGGCAGTCATGCTCACCGATATACCAGCAATAAACTACTTGTAGACACAGGAACAATGGGGAATTGTGGGGATTAAATGAGATAATATTCGTAGCACTTGACACCAATGCCACACACACAAGTATTTTGTGATTACTGTTTCTATTCATCCTTACTCCAAATTCAAGTTACAGCACAGTAAAGGCTGTTTTACATCCAGTTAGTTACTTGTTCTAACAACAGTTCGGTTTAAGCCAAAGAGAGTCCAATGAACCAATGAAGCTAAAGAACTCAGATTGGTGTATACATATGAGTACAGCTGCCAAGTACAACTCCACAGGAATCATTTGAGTAGAATGTGAAGTGCAAGGCTTGAGGGGAAAGTGTTTCAAAAGATCATATTTTAATTTTATTTTGTTGTTGTTGTTTGTTTGGGGGGTCACACCCAGCAATGCTGAGGGGTTACTTCGGTTCTGTCCTCAGGAATTACTCCTGGGGGTACACGGGGTACCATGCGGGATGCCTGGGATCGAACCCAGGTTGAAGGTGTAAGATAACATTGGCCTTTACCTTTACCTTTATTAAGAAGTAGAATCAAGATGAATGTTTAAATGGTTGTTGGACTAAGGAAAGGAGAAACACACCTCTAGATGGTATTCTGTCCCTGAGAGGATCTCCTAGCTGCAGGAGATCTTTGTCTTATCTTAGAAGAGCTTCCCTCTGAAGGAAAGGCTTTCATATGTTGATTGTGCTACCTGACCTGGGTGTAGATACTACCCCAATGCTTGGAGGTCCTATCTCTCCAGCCCCTGAAATTCAATTTTCAATAAGGTAAGCATTTTTAGATTAGTTATATCTATATGCAAGCAAACCCAGAAAAATTAATTTCAAATCTATAAATAAAAATAATTCCAAGTATACAAGACCACTGAACTCAAATTTTCAGTTTTTTAATTATGAATAAAGAAACAGAAGTGAAGTACTGTTTTTCAAGGTGTCATACGCATGTGACTCATGAGTGTGAAACAGTATCTCTTATTAAAAGGAGATTCTGATTCAGTATGTACGAAATGGGAGGGCTGAGATACTGAATATTTACAAACTCTTTTGTGGATCATTAGCAAGGCCCTCAATGGTACATAATCTGATAGCAACTGCTTTTGTTTATTTTTATTGAATCACTGTGAGCTACAGAAACAAACCTTTCATGTTTGACTTTCAGTCATACAATGATCAAACACCCATAACTGTACCAGTGCACAATTTCTATCACCAATGTCCCCAGTATCCCTCCCCACCCAATCCCCAGTCCCACCCCTTCCCCTGCCTCTATGGCAGACAATTTCCTTCTTATTCTCTCTCTACTTATGGGCATTATAGATTGTCATACAAATACCGTGAGGCCATCATGTTTGGTCCTTTATCTGCTTTCAGCACACATCTCCCATCCTGAGTGATCCCTCCAACCATCACTGACTCAATGATCCCTTCTCTATCCCAGCTGCCTTCTCCCCCCACTCATGAGACAGGCTACCAACCATGGAGCAATCTTCCTGGCCCTTGTCTCTACTATCCTTGAGTGTCAGTCTCATATTGTTATTTTATATTCCACAAATGAGTGCAGTCATTCTGTGTCTGTCCCTTTTTTCCTGACTCATTTCACTTAGCATGATACTCTCCACTATCCACTTATGACTAAATTTCTTGACTTCATCTTTCCTAACAGCTGCATAGTATTCCATTGTGTAGATGTACAAAAGTTTCTTTAACCAGTTGTCTGTTCTCGGGCACTCAGGTTGCTTCCAGATCCTGGCTACTGTGAACAATACATTTACTGTGTGCTGCAATAAACATACAGGTGCAGACGTCATTTCTACTGTGCTTTTTTCACACCCTCGGGATATATTCCCAGAAGTGGTATTGCTGGGTCATACAGAAGCTCAATTTCTAGTTTTTTTGTGGAATACCCATGTTGTTTTCCAGAAGAGCTGCACAGTCAGCATTCACACCAACAAGGAAAGAGAGTCCCTTTTCCCCACTTCCATATCTACTCTTTTTGATGTGTGCCAGTCTTTGTGGTGTAAGATGATATCTCATTGTTTTAATTTGTATCTCCCTGATGATTAGTGATGCAGAGCATTTTTCAGGTGCCTTTTGACCATTTGTGTTTCTTTTTTTGAGGAAGCTTCTGTGCATTTCTTCTCCCTATTTTTTCATGGGGTTAGAGGTTTTTTTTTTCTTGTACAGTTCTACTAATGTCTTACATATCCTGGATTTTAACCCCTTATCTGATGGGTATAGGACAAATAATTTTTGCCATTCTGTGGGCTCTTTCTGTATTTTGGTCACTGCTTCTTTTGAGGTGCAGAAGCTTCTGAATTTAATGTAGTCCCAATTGATTATGTTTGTTTCCACTTGCTTGGATAGTGGTGTTTCATTCTTAAAGATGCCTTTAGCTTCAATGTCATGGAGGAGTCTGCCTACATTTTCTTCCACGTACCTTAGGGATTCAGGTCTGATAGTGAGGTCTTTAATCCACTTTGACTTTTATGTCGGGTGTTAGACAGAAGTCAGAATTCTTATTTTTTTTATTTTATTTTTTGTTTTTAGGGAGCTGTCCAATTTTCCCAGCACCACTTAGAAACTGCTTTTAAATAGAACTAATTCACTTCAGAGCCCTCCCCAAACTGATCAGTCCTTTCCTAAAGTCCAGAATTTGGTGGATTTTGTTTTGCTGGGCATGGCTTGTGGGCCACTCTTGGCCATTTCAGGAGCATCTCCCAGCTCAGTGTTGAGGGTTACTTAGAGCAGTGTGTAGAGGACCATGTAATGCTGGGGATTAAACCTGGGGTTCCCACACGCAAAGCATGTGCTCAGGGCCTTTGAGTTATCTCCCAGTCCCTAAATATGTTTTTTCAAATAGTTTTTTTTTTTTGAGGAATAATTTTTATGTCACAAAACTCACCTTCTTTAAGCAGATTTACAGGTACCCAATTAATGAGCACAATTTCAGTTTGGAGCAGAGCAGTTAAGTCACTTCAAAATAAAATGTTGTGACTTCCACTGACTGAAACTCTTTTTCCTTTGAGAAATGAAAATTTTAATTTATTTTTTTCCCTGTGGCACTTATCATTTTAGTTACCTTATTTTATTCGATCTTCCATTTTTGGTAATAATTACTTTTATTTTTAGTCAGCACTAATTCCATTGACTTAGCCTGACTGGATTATGATCGAAATGTCTTATAAGGAGCGCCTCGTTTCCCAACAACACCACTTAATGAAATGTTGAGTTTTGAACAGAAAGCGACCGCACCTGCAAGCTCCATTTAAACATGACGTTACCTAACAACGTGCAGGCCTGCCTCGTGTGCGCCATTTCCTTGGAATCATCCACTCCTTCAATCACCAGACTGCCACCCTGCTTTGTATAATGAAAGCTATCCGCATTTCCTGCAATTAAGAAAAAGAACAGATTTACAGTCTGACTTTCTTATCCCTTTTATCCATTCTAAGTTAAAGCACAATGGAGTGCAGGCTAGAGAGCCTGAGGGCCTGTTATTTCAATGACATACAGACTCAAAATAGTGGTGAAATGCTTATAGTCTATGGTGAAGTCCAGTCCTTTTGTAAATTTTATTCCAATACATGCTAGGATAATTTCTTTAAACACTTTTAATTCCCGTCATCAGAAACTCTGCAGACCTCCGTCCCAAAGGTGACTCTAAATTTTAACTTTAATGAAGGCTAATTCCAAATATACCCTGAAGCAGAGAGATTCACATTGTCAGCACCTACATACTCATCCCTCGTCATAAATGTCAGCTCAATGCCAATTCTGCTCCATTTGAATAGCCTCTCATTACTTCCCCATCTCACTGATTATCTTGAAACCTAGTGCAGTAATTTTAACATCCCATACATAAATATTTCACTGTGAGATTATCCCCTTGTCTTACAAATTTATGAGCTTAGGAACTTAGAGAAAACAATACCAGCACAATAAATCTAACACCATATCCATACCTAATCGCAGCATTTTAAATTCTGGCAACTTTGCTGAGGCACAAAGCTGATAGAAGATATGATAGTTCCTCTCCTCTTCTGCCTTTGAAATAAGAATTTTCAATTATAGCAATCTAATTGAAAACACAGGAAATGACAAAATAAAAATTTAATTTTATCTTCTCTGAAATAAACTACCTTTCCCAAATTTCCATACACATCTTTATGATTATTTCACCTTTTACTCTACTGACTACACGAATACAGGATTGTGTACTGGCTAGTGATTTTTTTGGGGTATTTTGGAGAGGGCACTCCTGGTGATGCTCAGGGGTGACTCCTGGTTTTGCACTCAGGAACCACTCCTGGTGGTGCTTGGGGGACCATATGAGATGGTGGCGACTGAATACTGCTCAGTCACATGCAAGGCAAGCACCCTATCTGCTGTACTTTCTCTCCAGTTCTAGCTAGTCATATTTAACATAAAACATTTGCTAGCAATGTTAAGTAGGCTAACAATTTTTTTAAACAACACTCAATACTGTTTCTCACAATACTGACCATAGTCATCATTTTCCTAACAGCCTGAAAGACAACAGCCAGTCACCGTCATATTTTAGACATGGCCAGAAACTGCACTGTATCACCTGTGTCATTTTAGTTCAGATATCATTAATTCAGTGACAATATTTTACAACATGTAATTTGCCGTCCTAAGATAATTTCTTAGTACTCCCTGATAGTCTTTTCTCATATCTAGTTTAAAAGTACAATTGTGACATTGTTATCTGTACAAAAACAAATCTTTAAAATATCATACCCTTGGGCTGTGCGATAGTCCAGCCCAGGTAGGGTGATTGCCTTCATGCAGCCGACCCTAGTTCAATCCCCAGCATCCCATATGGACCCTCAAGCACCGCCGGGAGTAATTCCTGAGTGCAGAGCCAGAAGTAACCTGTGCATCACTGGGTGTGACCCAAAAAGAAAAAAAAAGAAAATCCTATCCTTGAATTCTGTGATCTGGCTCAGTGGGCTGGAGAACAGTGTGAAAAAGCCAACAATGCCCAAGAGGGCTGGCGCTGGTAAAGAAAACTGAAAGGAACACTGAGCACATAAACAACATGACACAATCACAGGCATGTTCCGGAAGGGTCAGACTGCTCAGCAGACAGACAGTGGGAAAAGCAGGTGGGTCGCAGAAAGGTTTGGTCATCTTTTACAGGAAAGTGACAACAATTATGGCTGAATCCTCCGTATTATAAAGCCTTGGAGAGCCAACGTCTCTACCAAGAAACTAAGGACTGGGCATGACTGGTCACCCTATCATTTCACCTTTAATTATTTAGCTATCAATCAAATCTCTACTATTTAGACTCAATTTTTGTTAAATCTACATTTTCTCCACTCTTCTGGCACAATGTTCTTGTTTTTTGTTTTTTTTTTAAAAAGTATACAAATATATTGACAGACTTATTGTAACACTGCTCTGTATCTAAATATTAGAACAACAGGAGTCATCTGACTACTAGTGTATTATATAAATCCAGTATTACAATGTCGATGGCCACCACTTAGGCATACTGCCAAAGTTAAAACCAGAGTGAGACGGCCAAACTTACAACTCTCAGGATATTCCAGACATTTTCAAATTCTTAAAGAATTTTTGCTACGGAAACTGTAGACTCAGCTACAGAAACCGCCAGATTTTATGAACCTCAGTGCAGTGGCATTCAGGTAAGTGGCTACAGAAACCACAATCTTAAAACATAGAACAGATCTACAAATGCTGTTTCCAAAGATAAATCTGTATCACTTTAGAATGCATGTGAAAATGTAAACATATGCCAAGCAGTATTGTACATGCACAGTATTTCCCCACATACAGAAACATGGAAACAAGAGTCTGCATGTGAATGCAAAGCCTACACAGATACATGAAATAGAGGGCACTCTCTCACAGTAATACACACTGGGCTGTGAATGTAGTTAAACACTTTTTTTGTTTTTGGGTCACACCTGGCGATGCTCAGGGGTTACTCACAATTAAATTATAGCACACTATAATCATAATTATTTCATGTAATAGAAAATAATACTGGAAGCAAAAGTAATGATATTATTTTTTACTAGATAATTTTATTCTTTTAATACTTGAGTGTATTATGTATTGATTTTAAAATTAAAATTTCAGAAACTTGAAAAAAAAATTACTCCTGGTGGTGCTGAGGGGACCATATGAGATGCTGGGGATTGACAATATCATATTCTAAGAGGTGGAAAAGAAAGAAAAGTAGACAAGGATGACTTTCTGGAACTAAGCTCAAAATTATGTACTGGAGCTGGAGCGACAGCATAGCAGGTAGTGTTTGCCTTGCATGTGGTCAACCTAGGTTCAATCCCCAGCATCCCATATGGTTCCCCAGCACCGCCAGGAGTAACTCCTGAGTGCAGAGCCAGGAGGGACCCCTGAGCATCGCTGGGTGTGACCCAAAAAGCAAAAACAAACAAACAAAAAAAACTACTGAAACATGAGTAATTAAGCTAATCATACCCTTAACTAAAATTTTCCTAAAAGTACCTGTAAGAGAAAGTTTTACTATTAAATCTAAACCAGTGCTTATTAAATCTAAACCAATAATTATTAGTTTAACAGACATCTTCCCTACCTCTAACAGTTACTATTTTCCTTTGTCAAATCTAGTTTTAAGTAACCTTGTCATAACATGCACAAAAATTTCTGAAAATAAAATGCTCAAGAGGACGCTAGGAGGGGCTGGAGCAATAGCACAGCAGGTAGGGCATTTGCCTTGCAAGCGGCCGACCCGGGTTCTATTCCCAGCATCCCATAGGGTCCCCCCCAAGCACCACCAGGAGTAATTCCTGAGTGCAGAGCTTGGAGTAGCCCCTGAGTATCGCTGGGTGTGATCCAAAAACAAAAACAAAAACAAAACAAAAAAGAGGACGCTACGGAATTCCATAGCCATCTAAAACAATGACATAAGGAAGGGTACATGCTTAACTTACCTGGAACACCACTCTGGATTTCTCCAAAAGGTAAGTTCTCATGTTGGCACCTATGATTCGATATCGTTTATCGAAACCAATCTCAATGTACTTCCCAAAACGGCTGCTATTATCATTCCTTGTTGTTTTAGCATTCCCAATTGACTGTGAAAAGGGGAAATGCGACATTTCAGTCATGCAATTGATAACATATTTACAGACTGTGCACAGAAAGGCATAAGACAAAGCAGAAAACAACCCTTTAAAATGCATTCTTGTGCCTGTCAGGTGGCAGGATGGGATGGGACAGGGCTTACGGCAGGGAGGGAATACGGGAACACTAGCAGAGGGAAGCCGATACTGGTGGTGGAATTGAAATACTATATGCTTAAAACTCAACTCTTAATGACTTTGTAAATAACGTTTCTTTAATTACATTTTAAAAATTTTAAATAAATAAAATTTACACTTGGTGGTGTTGAGGTGGCTATATAGGAAGAATTTGGGTTTGTATTCTCCAGTAATCACAGAAGAATCTCAACCAAAACATGCATTAGTCACAGAAACATACCCAAAGCTCCAGGGACAGATTAGAGTACCCAGATCAAGACTGGTGACATAGGAGCATCCCAACTATGAAAGAACATGAAGAGCACCCCAACTCAGCCAAGAAAGATACGCATCTCACACCAACAGACTGCACCTGGGAAGAGTGCTAACATGCAAAATGTTGTTCCAGAGAGCAAGGAGATTACATCAAGCATCTACCACCCCAAGCCCACAATCCAGTAGCACATTAGAACCGTAGGCAATACACTAAAGGCCATAAGCAGGAAAGAGTGCCCAGCAGCCACCATCCTGGTGACCTCCCAACCATGCTGTATTTGGTCCCACTTGCAGTAATAAAGTCACCATCCCGCACCATCTAGGTGAAACCTCAGGATCTCTCCTGTGCCTGCCATATCCTTTCCTGGCTGTCGTGGGAACAGAACTTGGGAACACATTCCTGAGGTGAGTTCCACCCTCACCTAAGGCACAAGGGAGCCTCAGGCCAAGAAACAGTGAGTGGGGCTTGAGAGAGACAATACAGTGGGGCGGGCACCTCCCTTGCACAGGGATGACCCATGTTTGATCCCCGGAATCCCACCTGGTCTCCAGAGTACAAGCAGAAACTGAGTGCAGAGCCACACTTAGCATCGCTGGGGGTGACCCCAAAATAAAACACAACAAAAACGTACAAAGAAAAAACACTTCAGTAGACTCTTTTCCCCTTTTTATCCCCCTTCCCAAATCTTATCTCAGTAATAACCAGCAAGTTGTATGCCTACAGTCAGAAAGCAGGGACAGAAAGTTATCAGCACAGGAAGTTATCAGGAAGGCACACTGCCCACAGCGCCTCCTTTCAACCTGCCCAACCTGCCGTGTGCTGTACCGGAAACTCCAGCCAACACCTAAGCCACTCACACAAGCCCTCTGGCCATGCAGCAGAGCCTGGGGGTGCTGGGACCGACTTCCGCACAGACCTCTCCATCTCAGCGCACAAGTGCCTGGCCACCTGCAGTCTGGTCCCCAGTCACTCTCCAGTGTGAGCTCACCTGGGAAGAAGCGATGACAGGTACCTCTGACTAACAGCTATTCAGAACTGTTTATCACGTACACCTAGGGAAGTTCAAATCTCTGATATCTGCCCAAGTTTATTCAAATTTGGTGTTCAGGGGCGCCTGCAGCTTTGAACTTTAAGTTGCAGTCCAGGTGTTAAGTCTTGTGCCACAGGCCCTCCCAAACATTCATCACTTCACACCAAGGGACACTATCTAGGTTTTGGCTTTTTGACACGAAAGCTGCTGCCAGGTGCTGTCAAATGCAAATGCCTGGGTAGAAATGGCTGCCAAGTGCTGGCGCTGCTGTTGGGCACACGGGGCCATGAACACCCCGTCAGATCCAGCCTGACTGGCATCAGCACCATAGTTTCTGCTAGTTACTGGTGACTAAGAACTACATGTTGCTATCCGGGCTCACCCGACCTCCATGCTAGAGATAGCGCAGGCACTTCTGACTACAAACTCCCAACACTTATACACACTAACTCAAGCTACATCCACTACTTGGAGGTTGTGATCACAAACTTAGAAATACCCTACTGCTCTGAGGTCTTGCGTAACATCAGGTATAATGAAAAAATAAAGAATGTTGATTTTTTTTTAACTTTTTTGTTGAATCTCTGTGAGACAGGCCCTTAAAAGTTGTTCATGACTGGATTTCAGTCATACAGTATTCCAACACCCATCCTTCCACCAGTGTACATTTCCCAATACCAGTGTCCCCGGGTTCCCTCCCATCACCCTCCACCAACAACCCCGAATGAAGATTTTTATTTAAAATAACAAAATAAAATGTAAAATGAACAAAGAATTGCCCTGCACTAAAGACAAAAGCCTAGGAAGAACTCTAAGCACGCACATCAAAGCAATACATCACAGCAACAGTCCTAATAATGACAACTGAAGTGAGGAAATCCACAAAAGAGAAATTTAACAAAGACAGATAAAGGACAAGAAAAGTCCAAAATGAAACCATCTGCCTAAGTAACACAATAGTCAATTTGAAGTAAAACCAAAAGAGGGACCAAGGACAATGACAAGCCAAAGAGGGATCCAGTGAGCTAGAGGATAAGGCAGAAGAAACTCACAACTAACAAAAAAGAGAAACAAAATTAACAGAGACAACTTAAGAGTTTCAAGAGAAAGAACAGTCACATCAGAAAGGTTACAAAAAAAAAAAAGAGCCAGAATTCTTATTTGAAGAAATATTAGCCAAAAAATATACCACGTTGAGGAGGGAGATAAATAACAAGATGCAGGAAGCTCCATGAGATCCCACAAAATAACGCTCCCCCCCCCAAAAAAAAGATACACAGCTAAGACAAACTAACTGAAATGTCAAAGCTACAGACAGAACCTTACAACCACCAAGACACGAGTCGAGATGGGTTTTACAGGAAGCACCCGTAAGACTCACAACAGCCTTCTCAACTGAAGGGAATCGATGGGGAAAAAATCCCAAACAAGAAGACTTTATTCAGATAGGTAATGACTCAGATTTACAAGTATAAACAAAAACTTCTTAGATAAGCAACCACTAAAGGAATGAAGGGCCACAAAATGAAAAAAATACCAGTTGATTAAAAAAAAAAAGTGCTGCTTGGACCTGCAGTGAGCAAGACCTTCTATTAAGAATGTACAAAGGAAAGAAAGCAGCCTGGGATTGGCACCAGGAAACAAAACATAAACAGCTTTCCATTCCTTCAGCGGTCTCTGCTTTGGCATAATAATGACACTAGTTACCAATGGCAGCCATGCCAGCCGCAGGAGCCCACAGTGGGGGTAAGGAGAGTGTGAAAGGGTGGTGTCAGTCCCCCAGAAAAAGCCTGCTCTCCCCCCCAGAGATCCCCTGGGAGGGGCCGCAGACTACACTGCTAATACTAGGTAGCGCCAGGCAACCCAATAACAGCTCAGGATAAAATTTTCAAGTTTTCTGGACTCTGGTAAACCAAACCCAAGGACTGAAGTAAAAGAGCCAGGATGAGGCACTGGAAAATACAAAATCTGGATGTCAGTCACAGCCCTCAAGGCCCAGCCCCACAGAAGCCACCATACCCAAGGCCTGCGGAGAACAGTCTGGAGGGGCTCACACTACAATCAATATCTCACATGAGAACTTCCGCACTCGTGGAGACGTTTAATGAGCGCAAAGAAAATCTGGTGCAGTCAATAAAGCAAAAGCAAGCAAGTAATGTTCAAGAATATATTACTGGGTAAGGAAACCACTGTAACATACATATACCTGTAGCACTGATGCACCGTTGTGCATCGATTTGCTCGAGTGGGCCCAGTAACGTCTCCATTGTGAGACTTCTTGTTACTGTGTTTGGCATATCGAATACACCATGGGGAGCTTGCCAGGCTTTGCCATGCAGGTGAGATACTCTCGGTAGCTTGCTGGGCTCTCCAAGGGGGCAGAGGGATGGAACTCAGGTCCACCTCCTTGGCCACATGCAAGGCAAACACCCTACCCACTATGCTATACAAATACATATTTAGTGAAATACGGGTCAGCTATAAAAAAAAAATCATGTTGTAAAATCATGTTGTTTACTTCTATGTGGATGGATCTGAAGAGTATCCAGCTGATTGAAATGAGGAGAGGAACAGAATATATCCCTCAGAAGTAGGATATAAAGAGACATACAAAGAAACAGCAACTGCCCAAAGGCCACAGAAACTGAGAACTGGTCTTTAGCAGGAAGTTTTCCAGGGCAGGGGAGACTAGGTGAGAGGAGTGGGACAGAGGGAGGAGGGAACATGCTGGCAAGAGTAAGGGATATGGTAACAGAGTGGTTTATGCACGAAACCCTGCCATCAGCAGTATTGAAAACCACAGCGGTGAAAATAAAATCAGAATAATATCTTTTGAAGCACAAGAAAGTATTACAGAAAAAAAATGAGAAGACTGCAATCAGAAATGACAGAACTGGAAAAAATGATCAGCAAATTTAAAAAAAAAAAACCTCAGTAGAGGCCTCAGCATACATTGACAGCAGCTAAGGAATGAATCAGTGGCCTCTGATGTAACACAGGACTCTGCAGAAAAAAGGTAAAAGGTAAAGGCCCTCCCGTTGATCGTCGATTTGCTCGAGCGGGCCCAGTAACGTCTCCATTGGAGACTTTGCTGTTACTGTGTCTGGCATATCGAATACTCTCGGTAGCTTGCCGGGCTCTCGGACAGGGGCGGAGGAATCGAACTCGGGTCGGCCATGTTGGCTGCTTGTAAGGCGAACGCCCTGCCCGCTGTGCTATCGCAGCAGAAAAAAGAATAAGAAAAAAAGGGAAGAAAAATGAAAAGCATGTCGAGTTATAGAATGAGTTCAAGAGGAACAATATTAAAATCAGAAGTCCTTAAGGAACAGGAAAGAGAGTTCACCAAAGAGCTATTAGTCAAAGAAATCATAACTAAGAACTTCCCAAAGCTGAGGAATATACACACTCTGATTCACGAAGCCTGAAGACTTCCTGCCAAAATAAACCCAAACAAAGAAACCTCCAAGAAACACATCCTAATCAAAATGACAAAAACCAAAAAGAGAGAATATTTAAAGCAGCAATCTC